TCATCACAACTCTTACATTAGAACTTCCATGAAATTAAAAAGTCCTCCGCGCAAGATGCTGGTTCCAAGCTGTCTCATTAATATAGAAAGCTGCAGAAGATTCATTCACACCCAAAAAAGGAGTTTTCTGTGGCATTATGTAGGACCACCAAATTCGAACTCGCAACCCTTGCAGGACCCAATTACGCGTTAATCACTTTTCACCACTAGGTCGTGGACACGTCAGATGGTGCTCATGCCTTCCATGCAAAGGTTTCTGCCCTGTAGATGCAAGAGCGGGGTGGTTCTGGTGTATTCGTGAATGTTTATTCTACTGTTCCAAATATCACTTCACAGATAGGACCCGCAGCACGAGACCAGGGCACGATACGGAGTTAATCAGGTTCAGGGCCAAGGTCTCACCAGAGCAAATAGTGGCAGACAGCACAGCCGGGTATGCTGGAATCAAAGGTATACATGGTCTTTGACCAAAATGCTGCATTATGTCTAGGGTATCTTGCACACAGCCTCCGCGAATCCGCCTTCCTCCTCTTACACACCACTCCACTTGCCAAACTTGGTATACCTCTTGTACATCTCCCTCAAAATAGCCCTGCCACTGGTATCCATGCTATCGTTCAGAATCTTCCTCACTTCTAGCGGTGTGATATCAAACACAGAGTTCATGCCAGGCTCCAAAGCCTCGCGGACCTCGCGCGGCACATCCACGTCTAACTGAAGCTTGACGTACGCCATGAGGACGAGATACATGTGCCGGCCGGCAGACCTCTTCGCCGCGTCGGTCGCCGAGTCGAGGGCGCTCAGGTGCTGCACGCGGGAGACGGCGGCGGCGGCGGGCTCGCACACGAGGGTGACAAGACGCGTGAATTGCGCGGCGTGCTTGGCCCGTTGCTGCGTGGACGATGAAGGGTGGGCAAGGGCGCTGAGGAGGGCTTCGAGGGTGGTGACGAGGATATGGTAGTGGCCCTCGAGCCGGAGGCGGTGTTTCTTGATGATGACCTCCATCAGCTTGCAGAGCCACTGGTACACGCTCGGCGATGCGGCGAGGAGGTTGCCTTGGCCGTTGGAGACGATTGCTGCCACTGTGCTGAGTGTCGTTTCGATGTTCCACTGGGTCATGGAGTCTGACTTGACGTCGAGCAGTTGCTGGAGGACTTCGGCGGTCCTGACGAATTCGCGCACAGTTCTGGTCAGGGCCAGGTACCTGATCAGTTTACCGTGGGCCGTGGCCAAGTCAAAGGTCTTTGACTTATCAAGACCGACAGGAGATTCTATGAATTTTGGTTAGCATCGAATCCGAAACGAAGGTTAGAGTAAAATTACCAGTCATCTGGGTAACCACACGGCGGATGGCAAGGAGCTGGCCTTCGGAAGTTGAACCCGATGCCGGAGGAACGTCTACCTCAACGCCCTCAAGAAGGTTCTGCACATACTGGACCTTGCCATTGTAATCGAGACCGGCGACGCCAGCGTCAATGATGTCTTCCAATATGGATTGTCGGTTGAAGTCAGAAAGGGGATCGGGTACTGCGCCGCTCGGCAGGGGTGTGGGCAGCGTGCTGCTGAAGAGCTGGCCGAAGGAGGTCGGCCGAGCATCTGCCACCTTTGACGGGAAATACTTGATGAGGAACGCCCGAAGCTTCCATCCGCTGAAGTAAATATTTGTGATCGCCTGCTGGCTCACCTCTTCTAACTGAGACACCTTGATCTTGAGCCCTGCGACAGCGGGCTTTGGCAAGGCTTCAGCTGCGTCAAGTGCAACCAGGGCGCGGTTGATAATGTCTCCCTTGACCTTCTGCTTTCGCGAGGCCTTGGAAAAGTCACTCAAAGCGTCTTGAATAAGGCTTCCTAAGGCCGAAGCTACTTGATCGGTGTCGATGACAGCAAATTTGTCATCAGAACCAGCTTCAGGTAGCACAACGGAGAGCAGTGCCTTCAACAGAGTCATTTGCATAGAGGAGGCATCGCCATCTAGGCCCTTCAGAAGAGCGGGGATTTTGTCGAAGTATTGCGTGCGCCATTCCTGGTGATCGTTCATTTGTCGCACAGTCAATGTCGCCAATTGCGATACGAGCTGGGACAGGCCGAGAGCCGTCCTTGAGTCGCTCTCTGCGCAGACTGTTGCCAGTGAGTCGGCAATCTTCTGAAGGTCGGAGAATGACATCTTCTGGTAAAAGGTTGGCCTTGACATAAGCTTGATCAAGAATCCCAAAACCAGATGCCAGTCTGATGGATCCAGTTGGCCGGCTGTGTGTACTTTTGGAACCAAGAATTCCATGAGGCGCTCTCTCTGCTGTCTTGTGATGGATTCGTCGGGGATTCTTGACAGCTCAATCATGGCGGTTCTGCTCCGCTGCTCAGCCCAGGGAGAAGATTGACTTGAGGCCTTGCTGATTATGTCGACGGCTTGGTCCACCACCTCGGCTGTAAGCTTCTTCTTGCAGAGGTTGTTCTCGTTTGAAGCAACCGCGTGAAGGACATTCCCTAGCTTCACCTCGCTGCCCTTGAGAGAGCTCTCGTCACCCAAGGCGCGTTGCAAGTAGTCGGGCAGACCGCCCGAGGACTTCGCAAGAAGAGCCACGAGTCTCGATGCTGCAAGAGGGAACTCTGCGCAGAACTTGGGGACATTGGAGGGTTCTGAAACCGCAAAATCTCGAGAGTCAAAGAGACCCTGCAGTTCTTCCACCTTGACCTTCTTCAAGAGTCTCTCGATGAAGCTTGTAAGCAGGGAAGAAAGAGCAGTCTGGTCGCGGCCGTCGGGATGCATTGATAACCAGAAATTATATGCGCACTCCAGGGCCTCGCACGTATCTTCGTCATCAAATTTAGCCTTTTGTAATGACTTTGTGAGATCTGTCTGGACCTTGTCCCAGAGAGCAGTGGCCTGGTCGTAGTCTAGCCAGGAAACAGTTTTGGAGATGATTCTCCAACGCAAAGAGCGAATATCCGACGGTGTCTTGCTGGCCGACCCGACAATCAACGCAATGTCGGCAAGCTTGCGTTCAACCGCATCTGCATAGTCATCTTTGGTCACTGCAGACGCGAGGGTGTTGAGAAAAATGAAGACAGCAGCTGGACGAAGTTCCTGCTGTTCTTCAACCCATTGCAGCAGATTGATCAACTGCTTGGTGGTCAAGGACTTCTGAATGCCTCCAATCAGCGTCGGGTTGCGGTGTACTCTAGTGAACCAAACAGGCCGGTCTCCGGAGCGCATCTTCTTGTCTTCGAACTTGGAGAGTTGAGTGAACCACGTCTTCAGGAACGTTGTCAAGTCGCGGGCATTTTCAAAACCAGTTATCAGCGACTCGATAAGCTGGCGCATAGTGTCCTCGTCCGCCTCCGCGCCAACTGCAGTGATCCTGTCGCACACTTGGTTGAAGAGTTGTGTGCCCTCTTCTGATTGTAAAAAGACATCTGCGTCACATTTCGCAACAAGCGATAGGAGCCGCCAATCGGTCTCGCTCTGGTTATCAGAAAGCGCGTAAGTTTCGCAGACTGACAGAAGGTCACTCGGGGTGATGCGAGACTTGTTCGTGATAGCCTCTTCAAGGATCCCCCCCATCGCCTGCGACTTTTCGCTTCCAGACAACTGTCTCATGGCACGCTCAGACATCTTGAAAACCTTCTGCATCCAGGCCTCCTCAGCCTTTGTTGTTGTGAGTCCTCCGACAACTCTCGGGGCTGATGACACTAGACTGTAGAGAATAGGAACAGAGGCCAAGGCGATGTTCTGCACCATGGCGAAACAGCGAGTGATGACCTCGAGATCGGTTTTGTTCAGGTACGCGGACCTCGCCGGCAGAACAAGGTTGCGTTGGAGGAACTTCTCCAAGTCGCGAGTCCAGACCCTGGCCACTTGTTCATCGTTGCTCGACCGTTTCTTAGTCTTGCTCAGAATAGAGAAAGACGCCCGCGAGAAGTGGGTGGCGACTTCGAGCGCATCGGCGCCGCCCTGAAGATGCAGGTCCCAGGCGGATGAAAAGACTTTTACCCAGGACTCTTGCGCCTCGAATATTTCAGTCTCTGAGGCTTCCAGGGAGGAATCGCAAAGGGAAAGCAAAGGCGAGAGCAACTCTACCGCCTCAGTCGCAGGCTGGGCGAAGAGTGCCTTGATGTGTTCTGCTCCCATCCTGTCGTGAGCCGACCATTGTGCCGCCGGGTCTAGTCGTTCAAACAGGTTCTTTAATGCGCCAAAGATAGCCTCGCCTGTGACTAGACACCCCTCGAAAGACTGCAGAGTCTTCAGCTCAAACATTGCGGTATTGTTCCTCTTCCTCTTCTTCGACTTGGATCCTGAGGTCTGGGCTTCGGTGCTCGGCTTCGCGACGCTCTTGAGAGTCTGTTGGAGAACCGCCATGAACTTCCGATCGGCGAGGGACTTTGCGAGTGAAAAGAGAGGGACCCTCTGGAATGTGCAATCGAGAATGCGCCATGTTAGGGGGAATCGTCGGATCGTGTCGGCTTCGTCGTTGTTCGCTTTCATGACTTTGAGGAGCCATCGGAGGACGCTCTCCTCAGCGGCAGAGAAGGGTCCCTGGCTCGCAGATGTGAGCTGCTTCCATACTCGGTCGAGATTTTCGCCATTGGCTCCGGGGCCAGTTTGGTCGAGAGATCGCACTGTCTTGACCAAGTCCCTGTCCGACGTCTTCGACAACGGTTAGAAGGCGAGGATGGTGTTGAGTACATGGTTGAGGAACTTACGATAGTCTCAGAAGACCGACTGGGGCTTGCATCAGTCATTTCTACGTCCATTATAGGCAACCAACCACGAGGGACTTCAAAAGACGTGCAGATCTTTTGAGTGCGCTCAGGTGTAAGTCGCATCGACTCCCCGCGATTTTTGGCTGGAGCTTTCCCAAAATTTCGGGATTCTGCCGCCCCACCTAGGCCAAAGAGGTCACCGAGGCTCACACCGAGGCTTACCGCCCTCGGGTGTTCATCATCAATTTGCCGGCTCTCTCCGAAAACATCACTTGGTTCAATTCCATAGCTGAAGCTCCGACCTCGACAACATCATTGCGCATCGAGTCAATTGTGTAAGCACCGCCCCCCAGCTCTTCACTCGATCCATTGACGCTGACGACCAGCTCCACAGGGTATCGACGACCATGTCAGACACCTCCGTTCCCCCTCCCCCGAGCGCCGTCGCGCGCCCCGTCAGTGAGGCACTTCTCAACGAGAAGGTAGCTCCCCCAAGCCATCACCAACCTCGATAGCCTGAGATCTCCTAACAGTTATGTAGTGGGACCACTGCCTGTCCAACCTCCTCGTCAAGTCCACCCTCGGTCTTGGCTTCGGCGTCGTCTTCTCAGTCCTCATTTTCAAGCGCAGAGCGTGGCCCGCCTTCGTCGGTGTTGGTTTCGGAGCCGGACGCGCATACGAGGAGTGCAACTCCAGCCTGAAACAGGCCGCCAGAGAGATCAGGAAGCAGGCATAAGATGCCACGACTGTCTAATCGATAAATGACGCGATCCGGATCGGAATACAGCTGTACAAACATACTACGTCACACGCACGTGAAAGCTCGCTAGGGAGCCAGAAGCCGGCGGGCCCTTGTGCGATCACCCTGAGGAGCCAGTACACTAGGTTAGGGCGGGGACGAGCGAGGGAATAGAGTCTTTTTATTTGTCTGTACATCCTTGACTGTCCTGTCTTGCTCGCATGCTACCGCCCAGCTGCTACATATGGGACGTCGGTCCTGAGCCCGTATCCATGACACCTCCCTCGTCAAAGCGCCTCGACGGTCTACGACCATAATGTGCGGGTAGATGTTCATCGACTGAACGAATGATCCCTTGATCGTCGGTCGTGGGGTACTGTTCCGAGTCCCGGAAGGTACCGTTGGAAAGCCCCGTCGATGTGCCGTCGAACTTCCCAATCCCACCATTACGCTCATCGGCGGCGTCTCTCCAAGGCCTGAAGACGTGTTTTGGGGCGAGGGAGACCGTTTCATCTCTCCCCAGGAGATGGAGCTCGTTCCTCTCTTGTCCTGCTACCGAATCGCTCCGCCTCTGGACACCGTTGATGAAAAACTGTGTCGTGTCATGTGATTCCCATCCCTCCCGGCCATTGCTTTCTGGAAAGCTATTGGCCTCATGTTGTGTCCGGGAGCGCCTAGTCTTGATGCCGATCAGGACGATGAAACCGAGGATACAAGCAAGGACGAAGATGGCGATGGCGAGACAGAGAACTTCGAGGGGTGTTGCCTGGCGCGCGTTTGGTAAAGGATCAGGAGAAGCTGTGTAGTTGGTTTGCAGACCCTTGCCAGCGACGATATCTCTCGCGTGGTTCATGAAGCTAGACATGTCTGCCGTACCACCTGGGTTTGGGACTTGGAATCCGCCACGGCCGAAGTGCGGTCTTGCTGCTCTGTGTCGCGTTGGCTTGAAGTTATCGGCAAGGCCGAGTTTGTGAATAATAAAAGACATGGAGAATGGAAGTAATAAGTAGGTATCTTAGGTAGCATCTGAGTTGTTCTCGGGAAAGATTCTTAGGTGTGGTCGTATGGTCGAGGTTGAAGAACGACTTGGGCGATGCACCATCATCCAGAGGTCTTATAAGCTGAATATGCATGGCTGTCGTTCAGGGAAGCCATGCTTGGGTACGTGTAAGGTAGTAAAGAGGAAGAAGGACGGAAAGTGTAGTCCCTTCAGTTCTCACCAGAGTCGCGGGTTAGGTTGTGGTACCGAATTGAGTCGCTGGTGCCTCTTGCCCTGGTTTGTGTCTCGACTGCCTTACCGGACTTTAAGCTTCCAGAAAGTCGACGGCCTCCGTTACTCATTCCACTTCTCTCCAAGTCACTTGGTACACCTCAAGGAACGTACCGTAGCTGGTTTTAACGAATAAGTTCGATCACAAGAAGCATAAAAGGGCAAGCCTTAGTATCGGGATGCAACATTGAATGTGTAAGTAAGGTACCTGCCCGGTGGCTTAATCATTCCCTACGTATTGTCTTTTACTTTGGCATAGCGATTGGGTCGATGGAATACTTGAAACTTTGGAAGGAATCAACCTAAGATTAAGGTACCACGTCCAACTTGTCCAGCACTGGGTCATATGGCCAGGAAGTATATATTGCAGGATGTGTTGAGTACGAATAAACAATGGTTAAGCTATACAAGAATCTAGGATCTGTCATACACTAGAGATTTGCTCTCCGAGTTCCAATCTCAAAGTCCCGGGACCGTCCCGAAAGCTCGGCGATTGCAGCTGCAGCCTCCGATGGTCTCCACAGTTCCGAGGGGCCGGCTCCGACAACGATGACGGAACCGAGCTTCAACGCCACAACGATAGGTTCATCTGCAAAGACAGCCATGTGGCAAGAAATATATGAAGCTAACGCTACATTACAGGATTTCACGCAACGGTATGCAACCTGTCCGAAGAGGGTAACAATGAGGTATCATTGAAGATTATGGTCATGGAGTTGAAATCCGTCTATTACCATTGGACGAAGACCATCAAGCTCCCCCAGGCTGACTAATGCGGCAAACAACCAACTGCCGCCACCTACCGCCCACCACCTTTTACATCATAAGCTACCGTATTACCGAACATCACGGATAATATCTTCAAATTTCTCTGCTGCCGGCCCCCGTTCATTGATTATCCGCTATCACGACCTCGACATCGCAACAAGGCAGCTCAAAATGGTATCCCTTCGATGTATCCACAGCCCTTCGAGCGCAAATATCTTTGTCCAGCTTGCGCGCCGCACAACACCGACGTCGAACGCCCCGGCACCGATCCTCTCGGTACTTGTTCCGAGATGGCAGCCCGCCACCATCACCGCTACCGCCACCAGGAAAGCCGGCTTCAGCAGCACGCGACAATACTGCACCGAGGGCGTTCAAAGGAGGATGATGCCGCAGCGCTTTACCGGGAAGACGGTGCGACAGCAGACCCGAGCCTTCACAGCTTCCGTGGCGAGGAGGCAGACGAGATGCGCCTGGAACCCGAAGACGGATGAGGAAGGGCAAGAGATGAAGCTCGATATCACGGACAGAGCGGGCAAGGTACGTGCAGCTACGTGGAGCAAATCCTCGAATAAAGAAGTCCGAGATCTAACAGCCCTTATTCCGCGATTGCAGCGTCTAGCAACTATCATGAAGAAGGACAACAACCCGAATCTAGCCCTGAGGATACAAGTCGAGAGCGGAGGTTGCCACGGCTTCCAGTATCTTATGAGCCTAGTCACCCTACCCGAGGGTGAGAGCGCAGAGGACTGGTCAAAGGTTGTTGGGGAGGACGACACGGTTTTCCAATACCTGCCAGAAGATGCCAACCCGACTAGCGTAACGTTTGAGGGACCCAAGGTGGTGATTGACGAGCCGTCGTTGGATCTACTCAAGGGAAGCAAGGTCGACTTTACGATGGAGCTTATTGGGTCCCAATTCAAGATCACGGACAACCCGTACGCGTCAAGCAGCTGTGGATGTGGAACTAGCTTCGACATCAAGATTTGAGTATAAGTCAGCCTGACTTCGACGAGAAGAAAGCTGACGCCGAGTATGCCTTTGTATAATATTAATGTAATGCATACATACACCACTCATGGATGAGACATTGAATACCAGGGAACATCAAGACAGTCACACATGCACATGACACATACAACTCTCTGAAGAGGCTTGCATTGCTACCCATTGAACAAGGAGGATGGAGAATCCAGTGGTCGTCAAATGATCAATTCACACAAATTCCCTTTTGTGGTTATCAACGCCGTGCAACCGTGCCAATCATGTAATAAACCCTTGGTATTCTCAAACCTGCCGAAGTCCCGAGTAACTAGACGAACCCTGCCAAATCCCCATTTTTGTTGATCATGAAGCCGTACAATCGACCAGTTTAGTTCATCTGGCGGATGAGGGCGTTGATCTTCTCCTCACGGTTACCAAGGTCACCACCCTCGATGAAGTGCTTGAACTTGCGGGGGCGGAAGCCACCGGTGGGGTTGGAGAGCTTGAAGGGCCAAAAGAAGTTGGAGGCCTGCTTGAAGTTGGGGCCGACGGTGTAGATCTCGTGAATGAGATCCTCCATGCAGACGATGCCGTACTTGCCGAGGTTCTCCTCGATGATGGAGTTGTCGGTAAGAGCAACGCGCTGCTTGTTGACCTTTCCGTAACCGCGCTTGTAGACAAGCTCCTTGACGGACTTGAGGTTGGGGTAACCGTAGGCAACCCAGGGCTCGATGATCTTGATCATCTCGGTGGTGGCCTTGGTGATCTTGATGAAAACTCCGTTGTTGATCTGGAGGAGACGGAGGAGCTGGAGGATCTTGCGGGGCTTGGGGGCGATCTTGTTGATACCCTTGATGCGGATAAGGAAGATCAGGTTGGCCTCAGCGGGAACGTACGCGGAGTCGTTCTCGCGGGCAACGCGGGAGAGGCGGACCTTCTCGCGCTCTGCGTCGCGGTACTCCTTGACGTACTTCTCAGCACGCTTGAAGATGACACCACGCTTCTCCTTGTTGGCCTTTTGAGAACATGTTAGCAAAATGTTCCTTGGGTCAGATATGCATTGAAGATGTGAATGATCCGGCAAGTGTCAGACCCGAAAGAAGGTTAATTCCAACTGCATCGACCGTAGTCTAGTTGTGAAAGGTATGTTATGCATCATGAAGGCGGGGGGAGGGGTAGTAAAAGTAGAGATATACTTACAGCCTTGCGCTTCTCGGTGGCTGAGTTGCGCTCAGCGCGAGCCTTCTCCTGAGACTTGCGCTTCTTGAGGAGGGTCTCAGGGACCAGAATCTGGTTTGAGGTGGGGACGGAACTGTTGCAAATCAGATTAGTCCGCAGTCCGACATACTGCAAGCAGCATGGAAAGAGCGCCGGTGCGAGAATTGTAGCTGAAGCGCGACATTCTCGCTGTGGCTAACTCGAAGTTCATGACTTTGATCGGTGAGCAAACCGGGCAGTAGCATTGGCTCGCATGGGCACCAACAACTGTAGTGTGATGCTCATCCGACAACACCTCGAAGCACAGTCAAATGCTCGAGAGTATATGCACGCTTGTGGAAGGCTCAGGAGCAAGCTTTTCAGCACTGCTACAGGAGCCCAACAAACGGCAATGTTTTTGAGGGAGAACGAGTTATGTTCATCCCCAACACCCCGGGCACCGTCTCTCAATCCGCAAGCCATGTTCCAGGTCATGAAGGAAGGAGGGAGGCTGCCCAGGAGGGTTCGAGCTGAGAGCCAGGCATTCACGACAAGGTGAAGCAAGGACTCCAGCGAGAGGACCACGACAATCTGCAAGACATCGCAAACGGAACCAGGGGGAAAGATGCTGCCGTTGCTATCAAGAGCATTGGTGTACATACGTGGTGGCGGCCATTGTGAAGGCGGGTTTGGTTGTCGTCGGCGGTTGTCGTCGAAAATTGGTCGCTGAAGCAAAAGAAGAAGGGAAAAGAGAAAGTTTCGCGGGATTGCAGAAGTTTTACCCAAAATTTTGCGGGATCCGCTGGGGCTGGTGCATGGCCACCACCAGCAAATTGAAATTCTCACCGCCCATGTTTTTTCTCGCTTAGGTAGGGTTTCTGATGACGCTAGCCCTGTTTGGGCTCTTCTGCCGCCGCCAACCGCCCGACCCCCGTCAGGGCATTCTCGCCCACTCTTTTTGTTCCTGTGTGCAGGGCAGCGGGCTTTGTGAAATTTCGTTTGGGATTATTGCGAGAGACGGATTGAGAGAGCTTCCCTTTGCCAACCACTCCGACTAACCACCACCGAAAGACAATTCGCCAAACACAGCAGTCACGATGCCTCCCAAGTCCAAGACCGTCCGTCCCGCCCAGGAGAACATCTCCTTGGGTCCCCAGGTCCGCGAGGGTGAGTCTTCGCCCGTATCCCACTCGATTGTGACATCGCGCGTTTGATTTCGCATGCGCCGACCGCAAAATGAGAATATGAAGCATTTTTGCTGACTACCCCGCGATCATTAGGCGAGCTCGTCTTCGGCGTTGCCCGTATCTTCGCCTCCTTCAACGATACCTTCGTCCACGTCACCGATCTTTCGTAGGTCTCACCACCCCGCCGTTCTGTCTCCGAGTACCGGAATATTCCCACCTTTTTGGCGAACATGAAGACTATATCCATAACCTTTGATGGTGCAAGATGGCTAACTGGGTGATTCCAGCGGCCGTGAGACCATCTGCCGTGTCACTGGTGGTATGAAGGTCAAGGCCGACCGTGACGAGTCCTCCCCCTACGCCGCCATGTTGGCTGCCCAGGACGTCGCTACCCGCTGCAAGGAGCTTGGCATCACTGCCCTCCACATCAAGATCCGTGCCACCGGTGGTAAGTTTAAGACCTTCTGGAAAGTCTCCTCCGAGCCTTCACGCTGACTTTGGTCTTCCCGCAGGTAACGGCACCAAGACCCCCGGCCCCGGTGCCCAGTCTGCCCTCCGTGCCCTGGCCCGTTCCGGCATGAAGATCGGCCGCATTGAGGACGTCACCCCCACGCCCTCCGACTCTACCCGCAGAAAGGGTGGTCGCCGCGGTCGTCGTCTCTGAGCGCCCGGTTTTACATCATTACCTGGGTGGCTTCCGTGGGACAGGAGCGCTCATTATTTGGTTTCTTGGTGGCATCGCGAAAAACGCGGGGAACGGCGCCTTAGCCTGGTCCCCACTCTACCTCTACGCACTGTGACATGCCTTCTGCTGCGGGCGACAGTATCTATCGTAGACAGAATAGAAACTCGCCATATATGGCCTGAACTGAAGAGTAGCTCCTGAACCCTCGACAAAACTGTGCACACATTCCTATGCCGTGATGTGAAGTGTGAATAACGTAGTAACCGACGACTGCTTCATCGCTCAATTATTGGATCTATGAGAGGCAGCAATCTTGTCTCACTGAATCAACCGTGACGAGTCTGCTGCTTCTAAGTCTGGAAGTAACCATGTCTCTCCTGAACGACATTCTCCCGGTCCTTAACGTTCACATCATGACCCTCAAGTTGTCCAAAGGGAATTGACCATCTACTACTTGAATCCAGGCTTCAGTGTCCAGGTACCTCGACCTGTGCCTCCCGTCTTCCCCAGGACGGCTACCCTGTCCAGCGCACTCTTGAAGTCTTCCGTCTGTTTCGAAGTCTTGCAATACGGGTTGAAATGATCAACCAGCATCTTGGTGACTGCCTTGCCTCCTTGACGTCTCATAAAAGTCTGGATCAAGGGAATGAAATCCTTCTCCTTCAAGGGTTTGTCGGTCCCTGGAGTATTGGCCCGCGAACTAGAACCGCTGACTGGCTGACTGAGCCCCTGACGATCCGCAAGTGAAGTCATCACGGCCGAAGAATTCACCCCTCGGCGTCGCGGTGCCGTAGGTCGTCCGCCCTCGCCGATCTCGCCAGTCCAGGTAACGGTCCCGATGGGAACGTGGCGCGCAGCCTCTCCAGCTCGTCGCAGATGGGCGGCAGCCTGGGCCGCTATCTTGTTCGCCTCGTGTCGATTCATGGCCTGATCAGCCTGCACCTTCTTCTTGCCATTCATGATTTGGTCATGCTCGTAGGCACTATCCACGGTCCGCGAAAAGAGATTCTCGGTTATCCGCTTCTCTTCGCTGTCATCTGTAGGCTCCGTGAACTCTTCCATCGCAGCGACGCCGGAAAGCTTGCGGACCGTGTCGACCTCATCTGCAGCCTTGACGGATGAGATGGGAACGGCGTTCTTTAATGGCTTCTCCAGCTGATTGTGGCCCTCTGACTGGTTGAACTTAACTTCTGCACCCTCAAATACCTTACTTCTATTGGCACTGGCCATACTATGGCTGTTGTCACCAAAGCTGAATAGGTCATAAAGGTCGGAAAGATCGAAATTGGCTCGCTGCTTCGGATCTTTGAGGACTTTGTTCGTCATGAACTGCTTGAAAATCTGGCGGTGGTAAATCTTCTCCTCGATGGTGCCCGATGTCATTAGCCGATAAATCGCAACCGGCTTTGTCTGGCCTAACCGCCAGGCTCTCTCTCGCGCCTGCAAATCCGTCGACGGATTCCAGTCAGGGTCGTAAATAATGATCCTGGTTGCTCCGGTGAGGTTCACACCTAAGCCGCCCACCTTGGTCGTCAACAGGAAAACGTCAATAGAGGGGTCATTGTTGAACTTGTCAATCAGGACTTGTCTCTTCTCAATGGTGACGTCTCCATCCATGCGTAGGTAGTTCATCCCCTCCATCTTGCCGATGAAGTCTTGGATTATGTTAAGCATGATCTTGGTTTGGGAGAAGAGCAGCGTCTTGTGTCCGAACTTCTTCCACATTGGAAGAAGGTCGCCGACCATTTGCAACTTGCCAGACCGTCTGGGGCTTCCCCAATCGTATCCTGGTTGATTCTTTCTATTCACACTGACAAGATCTGGATGATTGCAGATCTTCCGCAGGATATCGATTCCGTAGAGGGATTGACGCTTTTTGGCCATAATCTGAGAGACCGCATCCGAATGAATGAACCTGATATACTCCTCGTTTTGTTCCGGCGTCAACTTGCAGAAAAGCACCTGCTCCGTCTTCTCCGGCAGATCTGATGCCACGTCGACCTTGAGCCGCTGAAGCAGATACTGGCTAATAGTTTCCTTTAAAGTCGTTGCGCATTTTTCAGCAGTCATGACTGCAAGATTGGTCGCATTCGCATGACCACCCATCTTGATAGGAATCTCAAACTGTTGTCTGAAGTTGACAAGAGTCCCTAGTCGCATGGGAAAGATGAAGTCGAATAACGACCACAGCTCAGTGAGGTTGTTCTGGATTGGCGTACCCGAAAGGATCAGTCGATGAGGCGTATTGAGACACTTGGCTTGATATGTAACATTCGCGTTGGGGGTGCGGATTCTGTGGCCCTCATCGAGGATGGCGTAGGCCCATTCCAGGGAAAGTAGTTGCTCGCCATAGGTGTTCAAGCCAGCGTACGTTGTGACCAAGACGTGTCCATCCTTAGCAACACGCCTGACGATGCGTTCTGCGGCGTCACGGTTCGTCCCGCTTCCAGGATACTCTTCATCATCATCGTCTTCAGCCACATTGATCATGCCGCTACCGGATGAGTGCAGAATCGACACTCTTAAAGGAGGCCACCATCGGTGAAATTCGTTGACCCACTGCTGCATGACAGTCGCGGGGACAACTACTATGACGGGCTTATCAAGCTTCTTGGTGTAGTGCAACGCCGAAACGAAAGCGATTGCTTGCACTATTTAACGTGTCAGCAACCATGCGTTCATTTGCGACCAGAATCTCTTACCTGTCTTTCCAAGGCCCATCTCGTCCCCGATGATGCCGCCTACGCCTTGCTCATAAAGCTCAGCAAGCCAATGAACGCCGGTCTTTTGATATGCAAACAGCGACGCATGGATGTCTCCCGGGAGCCTCAGCCCATTGCCAAATTCATGATCAGATTGATCAGGCGACGGCCTGAACCACTCTTCCTCGCCGTTCTCTTCAGTTGAGATGTCACCATCAGCATTTCCGCTTTGTTGTTGACGAGCTGCACTCCGCCTTCTGACCCAATCGGCAAGGCGTGCTTGATAGATCGCCTCATTTCCGTCGTCAACGCTGCTCATGTCCACCTTTGTGTTACCAACGGTGACTGTATTCTCTGCAACCTTCTTCTGCTTATTCTTCTTATCCGTAGTCGCGCCCTTCTTGCGTTTGCGACCCGTGGCTTCTTCCTCACTGGTGTCCGAAGCGTACTGGCTTTCAGCAGAACTAACAGCCGACGCATCAAATTCATCAGAAGATGCTCCTTCATCTACCTTGCGCTTCTTTCTCGGTCGTAGAGAAAATCCAGTCTCAACGGATGCCGGAGCTGTTTCTGGATGTTCGGCAAATCCCGGCATCCGCAGTACTTGATGAGACTTCGGCTCTTCATCGTCGCTGTGGTACTCTTCTGCAGCTGCATCTTGCTCAGCCTCGACGAGAACGTCTGCTAGCTCGCCCTCGAAACCATCAGGTCGTTCACCGCCAATGTTGGCAAAGGGCGTGATCTTTCCTGTCCGAACAAGGTATTCTCGGTGTGATTCGCCGGCCAAGCGTTTAGATTTGCTCTTGACGGGATCCTCGATAACGGCAATCTCCTCCTGCCTCTTATCTATGCGGGCTTGGCAGTCCGAGATATCGTTGACGGCATTCTCAATCTCAAGTTCCAGCTTGTCGAGCTCCTTCTGTATGATCCGCGACTGATAAGGGTTTCGACGAGCTCCTTCAAGCTTCTTTCGTTGATCTGTTCTCTTTGTCTCGAGTTTGTCTTTGGTGGCCTCTAGTTTCTCAATGCGCTGCTTATCCTTCTTGTCTTCTGCCTCAATTAAGGCGGCGTTGGCCTGTGTTGTAATATCACGCTCTAAATCATCTTGATCCCGGATATCGGCTGTGATGGTTCGCAAAAACGCTGCTTCGTCACCCTCAAACTGAGCTGCTGTGGTTCTGGGTGCATCTGTTTCAGTGCTGGAAGGCGCAACTTCCTCATTTGTTTTCTTAGCAACAATGCTACTGTCTTCTTTGTCGGACGACATCTTGAAATCCGATGACGAAGGATTTTCATGAATCCATGCCCGATATGCCAGGTCGCGACCCAAGATAAATGTACTTTATTGTCGCCGATTTCGATGAGCTAGTTGGGGAACAGAGAAATAGCCCTGTTGCTGGTTGGCGAATGGAGAATTGAGTGAAGTTGAGAATGGATATGAGCTCAGGTGGCTGTATCAAGCTTATTAAGTGCCAAGCTGTGTCCGACCGAACGGCGACAACCGGGATCTGGATTCCAAGGAACCGTCGTGAGGATAATCGTGTGTGCCGTTGGAGGCAACTTACTCCGGCGAGATTGTGAGGCAAAGATGCAGCAGGACAGGCAGCAGCGCGTCAGGCTTGAACGTCCATCAGCGGTCTGCTCCGAAAAACGATGACGCCACGGCGAGGCAGGAGCGAACGGTTCGCGCAGTCAGCTGGTCTGGACAGGGATTTTAATGGGAAAACTTGGTGACGAATTTGATTGGTAGAATTGGGCTCAGTCCGTAATTCCCACTGGCGTGGAACTGTCTTAGGTAAGCAGCTGAGACTTCCAGGAGGCTCTTTCCCAGCCACAATGAGAATCGGCATGGCAGCCACACATGACTAATGCGGCACCCTGATGCAGAGAAGGAGCTCCCTCAAGGGTATGCCGTACTCCGTGCGGATCTCTGTGACCGTCTTGCCATTGCTGTGAATCAACGACATCCAAACCAATTACTTCTATCAGAAACAAAACTTCGTATACAAACCCTGCCAGAAATAGCCTCCGTTATACTTTGTCTAGAGCCATGATTAGACGCCCTTCGTCTGACATTCTCTCAACAGTTGGCCACGGCCTTCGGTCCATGCACCGTTCCTCGTCGACCCTACGGAGCGCTCCCAAGATGGCACCCGTCTGGCTACAACCCTACCTCAGCCATATGCCCCAAAAGACCGCACCCAAACTCTATGCTTGGAGCCTGTCTAATCTGGAAGAAAATCAATCGGTCTTAAGATCATCGCCTGGTCGGTTGGATGGCTCCATATCCCATCAACAACACCGCAGCCACCAACAGCGTATTTACGTTCTTGGTGTTGGAAACCTAGGAATCCTTTTCGCCAGCTCGCTTGCGTCTCTGCCAAATTCACCACCGATAACCCTCGTTGTTCATCGCAAAGATCTTCTACTGTCATGGAGACAGCAACCAGGCATCGAGGTCACTCGGGGAGACTCTACGCAAAGGTATTTGGATTTCGATGTTGAGCTATGGTCCGAAGAAGAACCATCTTTAGGTCCAGCAAGAGAAGTTGCGGATGGACAGGAGATTCCCAACCTCATCGTCACGACAAAGGCATCCCAAGCTCTTCCACAGGTCGATCGGGCACGTCGCTATCTCAATGATCGCTCCACGGTTGCTTTCGCTCAGAACGGCATGTGTAAACTTTGGCCACCTCATGGCGATTCTTACATGGCATCGCGGTTCCCAGGTGCATCTGCTTCTCACCCCAACTGGCTTGCTTGTGTCACAACTCACGGTGTGACTTCGTTGGGTCAGTTCAAGAGTCTACATGCCTCCGAGGCAGACCTCAAGGTTGGACTTGTTTCCCCTAACAACTCTGCCGACAACGCCTCTTATTTGTCAAATCTACTCGCTGAATCACCCCATCTCAACGGCCAAGTTGTGGCACGCGACGAATTATGGATACTACAGCTAGAGAAACTCGTCGTCAACTCCGTCATCAACCCGTTAACTGCGATTCTTCGCTGTAAGAATGGCGATCTGTTCACGAAAAAGGATGGTACTATTGCAAATATCATCGATTTTTTGTTAATGGAAGCTAGCAATATTCTCAAGGCCCTGATTCAGGACCGAAGCGTCGGAGTTATTCTGCAGACAGCCCCTGGCATGGCATTGGCAACGGAGGACGAGATGACCCGCAAAATTGGACGTCGACGTCGCGACCTCCTGGGCCGCTTTTCCCATAAAAAGCTCAAGGAGATGCTTTACAGTGTTGGGCATAAGGTCCGAGAAAACACGAGCTCCATGCTTCAAGACGTTCGAGCTGGAAAACCGACCGAAGTCAACGAGTTCAACGGATGGCTAGTTGAGATGGCTGCCTATCTCGAGGGTAGAATTGACGTTGTCCATCACAAGAACCTCGTCGATCTTGTGGAGAATAACACTGTGTTGAGCGAAGAGTCTCTCGGCAAGCATTTCTCCAGCCTGACGGACAACCGTCAAGGTAGGCTTGCCAATTTTCAAAATCAATAGCACCGCTCGGCTCGGGTCACAGTACAGCGAAACAACAACGAGTCGCTGAGAAGGACGCGAGGACACGTTTGCACTCTACAGACCATCGTCGATCATATTCTAACACTTTACGAGATCGACTATGATGGCACTGGAAATTTTAACGGTCCAGGGTACAACCCTCTTGATGCTCGTGCATTCGACTTCAACAACTCGATTGCTCGCAACTGGACTACACCGCCATAGCAACCAGTGCCTGCTGAATGAATCAATTTCGCAGCAGAGATGCAGCATGTTTCTGTCGTAGAAGCCAGGAGACGACCTTGGTTCAAAGAACTCGTCAGCAGCACTGTACTTCGGCGGGTGAGCTCCATCCGTCCGGCAACCACGGTCCTTGAGAAGCCACTCGCGAAACTCGCGGTGGGCCAACGTGGCCGAGTCTCCTCCAAAGGTTACCAGTTTACTCTAGTACCAAGGCAATCCCGGAGCCTGTTAGTATAGTTTGGTGTGCAGTCGCATTCGAGGTGGCCTACTTCATTTGCCACGTTCGCTTGCTTGCCGCCCCTTAAGAGACCACGCTATAGCCATAATACCAGGCATTATATACTGGTATACCACCACGAGTATCGCTTCAGGGGCCGACGGAACACCAGCGACTGCCATGGAAGTACCCAGCCAGAAGATTTTTCCTTCCAAGGAAACGCCCACACTCTTGGCCCTCATGATTTGCACCTGCCGCTTACCTTTTGCCGACGATGCCGCTGAGGCGTGCGAGAAAACTCATGCGAAGCTACGCCCACGCCCTCTGGCATTTCATGATGGGAAGTCACTCCGCCGAACCAGTAACACTACTTGAAGCCGCATTTGCATGCACGGCATGGTAGCCTCAACGGGTTCAGCATCGTGTTGACGCCATTCATGGAACCTCGAAGCTTGCTATACACCAGAGAGAAGCACTGTTCATTGTGACGACAGAACGAGCAGCCAAAGACACGCAGTGGATTCATGGATTGAAACGGCTGCCGTTGTCAACTCATATAGTGGAAGCTAGCAATGCACCAAGTTCTGCCCACACAATCTCGATACTGATCTGTCATAAGAAGTGGATCATCAGTGGCGGGCCATCAGTTCAAAGACGTCGAAAAGCTCGATCTGGAGTCAGCATGGATCTTGGGATCATCTTGCTCGAAGTCACGCCATTTCCGCTACAGCAGCAAGATCTGGTTCCTTGCATTCGGTCTAGAGCTTGCTTTTGCTCCCTCAAACATCACAAACCCTGGATGTTCGATAGTTGGCCGATGGAATGCCAAGCGGCGAAACAAGAAGCGGAGCTCAGGGCACACAGCATCCCAGAGAGCTCAATCCATTGAGACCCTAAATTCCCTCGGTTCAGTTGAGTGTCGCCATGCAACGATCATGACCGGTAGTGTTTCTCTAAATTGCGAGAGAGCCACGCGGTGGAGAGAACGGCGGACCCAGTGATTGCTAATCATCAGCGCTCCGTTTTCCAACATATGGATCCAATCCATATTGATGCCTCAATTCTCCGATTGGATGACAGGGGTTGAGAGAAAACTTCCGGTGCATATTTGATGGAGATTTTCCTGGCGATGCCTGTCTGATGGATTCTTGTCAGCCCATTGCGGAGACTATAGACGACATCAATCTCGACAAGGCTAACAACATCCCATAGGCGAGTGGTCTCGAGGCAACAAAATTACCTGACCAACCCCATTTCTAAGTGGAACTCCAGGAATGCTCCAGCACACATCACGTTGATCTCAAGCTGGCCCTAAATGTCAACCTGCGGGCAACGGAGGACCAAGTCCTGATTGGCGCTTGAGCAGGCACGAGAAAAAAACGTTGCTGTATGGTTACATCGCAGCGTCAACCCGCATGACGCATCTTCGAAGAGGTTGTATGCCTGGCCTTGGACGTACAGTTTTCTTTCCCAAAGCTCGAAAAACAATGACCTTCAAGGGCAAAAAAACCACTGTCTCGCCAAGTATTGGATATATGAGTACGGAATCGGTGAAACCCGGCATATGCTCGGCGCTGTTGGTCCTCGGCTGCAGTATACACCGTCAGTCAGCCGCTTGATCCAAGCTTTTCGGGCTGGCACACGGAGCAACCGGGTGGGAGAAAGGCCGCGGCAAGGGTTCCCTGACAACGACTGTGAAGTCAACTTTGGCCCCTTTCAGCAGTATCTCGGACTCAAAAGACCTAGGCCTGCTGCCAATATCAAATGGCCGCCGCCTTGGGATCTCATGTGTGAATACACTTGGTTCACACACGGTCGGCCGACTGGCCCGCCAGACAAACCTATCAGCCCTAGGCCATAAGACGCGACATGACGATGCTGATGCCCCGGAGGACAAACATAAACCATGTCCCCTGATTTGCGCTTAAGGGAACCGAAGCCAGCATCCCCCGGCTCAGATACCGAGCATACTCACCATCTGGCCCGGCAGTTGACATACGATAACCCATTATCAATCGCACATCAGGAGTTTCATCTGGGACGTCTCATGCGCTGAGCTTGCCGACTTCTTTCAGCATGAAGTTCGCGAACCTGTTGGCATTCGTCCGAAGACTAAGAGATGGCTAGCCGCTGACGGGGCATACGACAGGGCAGGGTTGGGGAAAAGGTTCAACTTCGTCGCCAGGAAGACGGGCTGTTTTTTTTCTCCCCTCGTTTAACGTCGCCTGCATGACCACAGGGCAATTTTCCGTGGGTACCTTGAGCCGCAGCATCGTGGCGCCTGACGTTTTGGCTTGCCTGATCTGCGCCATGCGACACGGTACCTGTCCTCTTGCGATTGAAGTCGTCACAGTTGCTAAAAGCTTAGCCGTCTTTGTAGAAGAATCTTGGCCCCCTTCACGAACGTCTTCGGAGCTTCATGACTACTCGCTGCGCGAAGTGCGAGAGGGTGTTCGATTTGCGGCCCCCCACAATCGGAAAGTAGTCTCGGGAGTCACGAAATATTTGAGCTTAAATGTGTTCATAAAATGTCTCAATAATATAGCGGCGGACACGCCCTTTCGAAGGGGGGGTGCGATAGTGGTAGTAACACTATCTACAAGCAGCAGCCGAGAGCCGACGTATGGACCTAGGGTGCGGTTGGCCTTGCCTCGTTCTCACCCGGTGGCCTGCCTAGACCGTTGGAAGGACGCCAGGTCTCCGTACCCGATGCAGTGATGCAGGTATCACTCTGCATAGGGGGTGACATGCAGGAACTTCGTGGACCAAGGCTAACCCGTCACGTCACTTGTCACCGCGCGATTCACGACCTCTCACACGGATGCATGGCGCTGCATACCTGCTCGCGAAGAGAGAGCGGAAGAGGATCAGGCATGACAACGTGTGGGAACGGCTCCGCGCGTGTCACGTTCCGGGGCGATTGACCGCTTCTTTCTTCCCTAGATTTGCCTTCTGGCGGGTGGCTGGGGCCTGGGAGTGGGAGATGACGGGGTAGGGGGGATATATCAGAATTCCCTGGGTCTTATAACGAACGAAAGCCTGGGGCCGAGTGTTTCAACGGGCAGAAGCCGCTGCCAAACCAACCTTTCTGGGTGGACGCAGAGCCAAACGAGAGTCTGCACAGTGATCAATGGGTTCATTGACGACTAGGGGCTGGAAGCCAGCGGGAGATCCAGATCATAGGACACTCATTGTAAGGGGGTGGAAGAAGGCGACAAAAGCCGTAAAGGGCCACACTCTTGCTCAACCACAAATCCGAATCGGCACATGCGGAGGCCAGATGCCAACACGCCTTTTCCTTTCTTTTTCCCCCTCTGCTCGATAGCCGGTCCTGGCCCGTTCAGCAGACAACAGGGCCAACCTGTAGCCCGTCTCTGCGTTACCGTCCCCATCTGGCTATGTGGCGAACCCTGTGCTGGGATAGGAGAGAGCCCAGAGAGAGGGGGGAGAGAGCCAAGGCAAGCAGGTAAGCAACGCAGGGCCTGTCCGCCCACCCTGTTCTCTCGTCTCCGAGCTCTTCGCACCTTTGGATGTCGTCCTGAATCCTGCCCGCCGCCATTCCTCTTCCTCCCTTCCCTTTCTCCCCCCCCACCCATCCGCTCCTCTTTCCGCCATTACTCGCCATGCCGATATTGGTCCAAAACCAAACCGAACGCGCCAGCCAGCCCAAGGCTCAAGGCCCCGGGCATAATGTAGGGGAACAAGAATAACAGCAGAAGCCTGAAGTTAATGAACTCACCCATCGTCCATCACCCAAAAAAAGGAACAGACTTGAAACGAGAGCAAGTGCCAACTTCAACTTGTCAAAACTTCGCTTAAAAAACACCACAGCTATCGCACTAGTTTCCGGACTTTAGTAGCTGCTAAACAACGCCGCCCGCGCGCGGGCGCGCGATCTCTTGACTCTTCCGACACCTGGGCGCCCCCCCTGGCCTGGTTCCCCGGACTTTTACTCAACTCGGTCGAGAGACGCGGGCGGGCAAGACACGGAGTAATAAACAGCTGCCAAAAGCGGGTGTATTGTTAATATAGATGCTGCCACACGTCAACTGCACGCCAAACCGTAAAAAACCTCCGGCCGTCCCTCGGGGCCGCACAAACAGGCCGCGCTAATGTGGCAAGGCCAAAGGTGCCTTGGAGGCTTGGAAGCCTTGTTGGGGAGGGGGGGCCTCGTGAAGGGCTTTGCCGGTACCTACCCAAGTGTCCAAAGTTGACTACACGCGCCCTATAATGAGCACACAATGCATCGCGCGTTTCCCGTCCAGAAGGGGACGGATGATAAGGGGGAAAAGAAACATGTGGCTTTTTTGGTGTCCGCGTCTATGATCTTGCTTCTTTCCGTCCCCCCCCGTCCTCTCCCCGACTTCCCCGAAGCGGTCGGCGCATGGTTTCTTGCAGACTGCAATACGATGCTAAGTGTGATCACAGAGTTATCCCGAGGTTCCATTCTGGGAGAATACTTAATGAAATCTCGCATAGATATGCCGGGATCGAGTTAGTTAAAATTCCACTATACATTAATAAAAGAAGAAACGAAGAAGTTTCGTCTTCCCATATCTTTTCTCCGTCTCCCTGCACGTTTTTTGGGTTCACATAATCGGTTTTGGTAGCAGTTCAGGTATAGCTGCCGCTTTGTACCACTTCGTACCAAGGCGTATGGGCTCGCAAAAGGTTAGGACGAAGCAAAAAAGGGGGTTGGAAAAAGCTACAAATACTATAAAGTACATTTGCGTGATGTGTGAGGTAGAATTGAACAAGAACGAATAGTGAGCGTTTAGAAGAATACAAAACAAAAAAAGAGTCAAAAATACAAAACAAAAAAAGCAGATGTCGTCATGGGTGCGAGAACTAAGTGCGCGTCATCCGCCCTGTGTGCGAAATGCATCTTTCCCCCCTTGTGTTTTTCTTGTTCCATCCGCAAGGCGCCTAGGCATCAAAGCCAGCTCACCACCAAACCCTTTCCTTCGTTGAATCCAATGCAGTCAGGTTTTCGAGAGTCGATGCTGTAGGTGTGTTGGTATAACAAACCACCAAATGCTGCAGGGAAACTGTCGAATGCACCAAATCGCGAGAGAATCAGTATTGGTAGATCCTTGCATGGTGCCAACAAGAAGTTGACGACAATCGTCGAGAATAAAAGCCAAAATTGACGAAGGGAGCGTCGAGAAGAATAAAAACAAGTAGAAAGGCCGTAGATTGCGTGGTTCGCTGTGTTACCCCCCAAAGTCTATAGTGTGTGCGTTGTGTCATGAGTCGAGATAAAGGAGTAGGTCGAGAAAAAGATGAAGTAAAATAAGGTGACCCGTGGTGTTCGGGGGTATCTCTAGAATTAGGCGGATGGGGAATCCAGCAAAACAAAAGGACAATGCCACTGGAGAGTCGCAGGTATGAGGTAGAAGCTGAAGTGAACAAGGCGAAGAAGTAGTTATGGCCTCGGTGGTTCGAGAAGAGCTGGCGCAAGTCTTCGGACCTTGCGTTCTCTGTGCTTTGCGACCCAAGCTGTTACATGAAAAGACGTCGAGCGAATTGTTGCAGATCTTCCTCCCCTACCAGCTCGCTGAGTCGAAGTGGGAGGACGGCGTTCGTGGAGGTCGATCTGGGTGCTCTGGATGGGTCGTGTCGTTCCAAGTTGCATGATGGAGATCATCGCTGAAGGCAAGCTTCTCTTCATCACTGAAGCTGCTGCGTGTAGATGGTGTCTCCAGCCGGGGGCTCAGAAGTTCCCGGTGGAGACATTGAATGCTATAAGGGAGGACCGCCCATCAATTCCTGCGTGCGTTCTCGGCAGGCAGCAGGGGTGAAGCCGGTTCCGACCTTGTTAGCTACGATGCGCCATTTCTCATTCTCGTAGTCTTGCAGTGCAGTGCGAAGCTTTTGGTCCTGGAAAAGAAGTCAAGTCAGCAAACTGCGCGCGGTCTTGCCATATTGTGCCGTCTGGCTGTATTGCATGGCGTTCTCAGGGGAGGGAAGAGCACATACCGTTTCGTCGGTCCATTGGGTGGTCTTGGCTTTGAGCTTCGTACAATAGCGCACCTGCAGTGTCCCTGATGATCTCCCGGGGAAGAAATCCGCGATTTGCTTCCATGTCAGGGATTTGTTCTCTTTCAAATCTATGAGGAGCTGGTCGTCTTCGGGTGTGAACTTTAGCTTCGGGCCCCTTGGTCTCGGTGCCGGAGTCGGCATGCCTGCTTGTCCCACGACGCTCGGAGCACCGCCTCTGTCTCCGCCGTCACCATCACGCCTCATCATCTTGGAAGGGGGTCCTGTATCGGGTAGTCGATGGTGATGGTGCGTAGGAGCTTGCACTTGCTGGGTCGCTTGTCCATAGGCGGTGCCCAGAGGGGTCTGCTGCATGGTCTCGAGGTCCGTCTGCTCAAGGTCAATTCCGGGAACGGACAGGTCAAGCTCGTCTGGTCTCGGTCTTTTTGGTGCTCCATGGGGCGCATGAGATTGTGTAGGCGTTGTCATGGATGGATACAAAGGAGCAACGACTGGGCCCGGAGCACCGTAGTGAGGCGGGCCCAAGTGCCGGGCGTGGCCCATGTGGTGCCCCGGGTCCATTAGAACCTGATGGGAGTGGTGAGAGTGGTGAGGGTGCTGCTGGTGTTGCTGCATGGCCGGATGATGGGAGTGATGGCTAGTGGGCGGCTCATGGAGAGTTGGCGTGTGAGCGGTGCCATGGTGGAGAGAGCTCCTATGATGTTGATGATGTGAGGGCGTCGTGTCATAACCATGCTGCTGTTGACCTTGGTCGCTCGGATGCGACTCCTGTGCAGAATAATCGACATTGTAGTCCCCTACTCGGTAGTTGCCCGCCAGCGTGCCTCCGGCACATGGGTCCCGCCAGAGCGAACCGCTCTGGACGGTCGCCGGGCTCTGAAGTGAAAGAATTGGTTGAGCGAAGGCCCTCTCGGGCGGCGTCGGGAGAGGTGAAGGCTGCTGATGCGACGTTGCGGGGTCGCGATGGTGGTGGTAGTCTTTCAAACTGCGATCCTGTAACAGCGCTATGGTGTCGCCGTGATGAGACCGCCCGTCCAGACTCAGCGAACATTCGTGCCCGGGAGGTGTGGAGAGAATTTTCGCGGTATTGCTGGAAGCGGATGAAAACGGTGTCTTGTGGCAACGGTCGAGCCCTTGCCAGAGTATGTGGTTGTGATGATCAAGTTGATTCTAGCGGTAGTGCTGTGGAGGAGTGAAAGAGGAGAGGGACGACGATGATGACGATGATGAGCGAGAAAGAAGTCCAAGTTGGTGTTGCGGTTTCGTAGTAGAACTTGTCTCCCAGCGGTGGAGAGCTATCTGTCTGTCTGCACGGCCGGACGGATAGTTCCCTTTGACTGGCGTGAGGTGGGAAAAAAATTATTAAGACGAAATAAAGGTCGAGGTAACCATGCTACCCTTTTTCAACTGGTTGTTGTCACGCGCCGTTTAAGCTCACGGGATCTTCCCTTGACTTATTATAAATCCCGTTCGGCCCTGGACAAGTAATATAGTAATGAAGGGGTCAAAAGAGAAGAAGCGCGGACGTGGGCAAGGGCTGCATTATATCGTCCGATGTGCCTTATCGAAAAGAGGAATAGAGGGCTGTGTGTGGACTCTTGCTCTGGGGGTAGAGAGAAGGGAACGAAGGAGAGGAGAAAAGCATGCATGGGAGGGGTGAGGCGAGAGAAAGAGGGTACATCAACTGCCGCTGCTTTTGTCACCGACTTCAAGCACATACGCGATTCGCCATGTGCGAGACGTATTCTGTCCCCGAGTAGGTTGCGGAGACTCAAGTTAACCTTGCCCAGTAAGTGATGACGGTAGCATAATTTGGGGATCTTATGCCATGGGTTTTGCTGCCGGATATAGAAGCAGGAGTACCCCCGGCCGGCGGTGATGATGCAACAGGCGAGGGGTGAGCGTGACAGTGGCCAGCCCAGTATGATGGGCAGACAGGGCCGCCCGGGGGACAAGCAATGAACAATTTCACAAATCTAAGAAACCTCCGGATGGATTCGATCCAACCCTGGAAAGGGAGGCCAGACGACCAAGAGAGAGAGAAAGAGAGAGGTCTGGAAAACGCATGGAAGGAATCCAAACACGTTCAGCCGAATGAGGGATACAAGCTGAAACGAGCCCTACCATGCGCTCGCTGGTTGGGAAGGGTATGGTAAAAGGCTATGGTATCCGTAACTGAGCAGCAATTCAGAAGAAGGCCGCCCATGTTGCTCGGCCCCCTGCTTCACTGGGGAGAGAGAGAAGGGGAACCAGGGTGGCAGCTCTTGGCTCAAGGCAGTTGACTCTTGAGTGCGAATGTGTGTGTGTGTGCGTGTGCGTGGGCTCGGAAGCTCAACGTCCCTGGGTCATCCTTCCCCTGGCCGCCGTCCTTGACGGGGGGCTTGCTTTGGGTGGAAAACCACCAGCGAACAGCGTAACTTGGACAGCTCTGCCCATTCTGGAAAATACAGTGGAGTCTGTTGGGGGGCAAACAGCAGGTTTTGGGAGAGAAAATGGCTGGATGAGCACCGAGAAGTCATGCCTTGGCCCTGATGGGGGTATATCTGATGCAGGGAGGGTATATCAGAACCATGAAGAGAAATCGCCGCTCCGGTACGCGATAGGGCCAGAGAGACGGTAAGGTTGCAACAACCACTCGACCTAGTGGGCAGATTGCCGAGGGGTGAGACCAAGGGACTGCCGGGTGAGAAAGACGGAAGGTACCAGCTCAAGCTAGTTGTATCCGTACGCAACGTCAGTAAGAAAGGAAGAAAAAAAAAGACCCTTTCTTTTTTAGCCCTGATCCCATTTGCCGTCACCTGTGGCAGTGAGGGCCTGCTTCCACGTTCGAGGACCTGGTCAAAAGCTTCGGGATCGATTCGGAAGGGAACTGCAGTGGTCCCAGGAGGCAAATCATCCCGGCTGACCCAAGATGAAGACGTCCGCAGCAGGGGGATTTGCGTCCCAAACGCCAGAACAAGCGTGTCAGTCGGCCTTCGCCTCGATGTCGATACGGTCAAATCTGGCAGGTCCCACAGGCAGATGCCAATGCCAGATGCAGGAACAGAAGGAATACGACTCCGAAGGGATATGTCCGAGATGAAAATGACGGCGGTGCCACGGTTGAGGTTCAGGTTCGGCAATGCGGCGGCTGTTGGACCAGGCGGGCGGCGCGCGCGTCGACGAGATGGGATGGTCGAAGGGTTGACTTGCACCGGACCAGACAAGACTGGTTAGCCTGTGGGGTAACAACTTTTTCCAATGAGGATTTTTTTTTTTTTTTGGGGACTTGGGACGTGTGCGACTCAACGACCAGGTCGCACGATGGTGCCGTCGTCGAAACCATGGGATGATAGCGGTTCGCTCGAGGTGATAATTCGTCTGTTTGCATGGGCGGGCGGGCGCGCAAACGTGCACGCAGCCGCCAGCAGTTCGAGTTCCTCTCGTTATCTCACGAACTTGAAGGCATCCCCAGATTGCTAGACGCGTGCGCTGAAGACGCGCACACAGTTTCTCGCGGCCGCCCACAGGACCGTACCCTCCCCCCCCCTTCCCCCAACTAACCGCGAGCCGGGAATGTGGTGGGTGTAAGCAGGAGGACAGTACATCGCGAAAGAACCCCCCGGCTTTCGGCAGCAAGGAGATTGTGCGACTCAATGCACATCCCAGACCTTTGGTGCTCGATGGTAGGTCGGTCAAAAAGACACTTGGGGAGTGGCTCGACAGGCTCGCTCTTTCGCCGCTGGGCCAAGGCGAAAGTCGCAAGTACCTTCCATGGCTCGTCAGGGAGGGTAGGGCCGAACCAGTAGGAAGGGCGCTTGGACGAGAAACCTGGGACGAAGACTCAACGGGAGGGTGACCCAAGGAGGGCACTCGGACAGCAAGAGGATGGGTGGCCGACGGAGTTTGGTTTGGCGGTACGTTGGAGAATTGGCTCGAGACTCGTATGGGTGAGATGCGGCTTGCGCTGGCGGCCAAGTTGACCTCATCGAGACATGACGGATCATGGAAGGGGGGGGACTTGAAGCTGGAGCAGGGGGTCAGACGGGTATCGCATGAAGGAAACGCGTTTCACGCATACCTGGCAATTAAAAGATCAATTATGCGACCCAGGGATCCCGGGCAATCTTTCTAGAAGGAGTGGGACACTATTCTAGCGTGTGCTCACCTTATTTCTTCGTCACCAACTAGGCCCTCTGGGGGGGACTTGGGGTCCATTCTGGAATTTGAAATCGTCGACTAGGGGAGGATCCTTTGGGGCGGTTCCTGAAGAGACGGACGAGGGCCACGAATCAGATGGCTGGGCAGTGGACAAGTCGGTCGAGTCTGTGGGCACGGGGATGTCGATCAGACGTAAAAAGAGGGCTTGGGAGGTGACGGAGTCGGCGATGTTGTGTGGTGATGAGGTGGAGATTGGAGGAAATGCAGGGCAGATGAGATGCCTGATGCGCAGTCATGGAGCAGAGCAGATGACGGATGGGCAGATGAGACGATGAGAAATGCCCAGGAGGCAGACGAGGCAGTGGACGGAGACGGACAAGGAGACAGAAAGAGAAAGACAAAGAATCAGACAGGGTCAAGAAGATTGTCGAATGAGGTCAGAGAAGGTTCCATCATAGCTTCAGAAGACGGGAGGTAGGCGCCGAGGAGTTGAGGGCAAGATGATTGAAGGAGGAAGAGATTGCGAATCTTGGAAACAATGACATGGAAAATGCGATAAATGCAGGTCCAAATTGAAGCTCCCGACACTCACACGCCGCAATTTTGATGTTTATTTTTTTTTACATTGAGAAAAGTGTGGTTGGTTGGGTCTCAGATTTGGGTCAAGTTCATCTCACTCGCAAGTCACTTTGCTGGATAATCGGGTGGAAAGATACATGGGTTGCCAATATACACTTTTCCCCAGGTGTGCCATCCTGATGCCGAGACTTTTGTCTCGGCTCTTTGTCTCTCCCAGGAAAAGAGGAAGGTGCAATCTAGGTTGTGTACACAGTCAGGTACGAGGAGACATTCCGTGCTTCCTCACCTCATTATCAATGGGCCATGGCAATCTCCATCACCTCACCTTTGTAGAGATGAGACATGGCAATCGGGCCAGACTGTCCCCCAAGAAAGGCTGGAACAGACACAGTCCGCATTGAGGGCCAAGCCTCGAGGTTCGACGTGTGTCGGTGAGGTCAGACCGTCACAGGTATCTTGGGTAAGGTATGAGGTACGGAGTACATGTGTCTGTACCTTACAGACCCAGGCAAGGTACCTTATCTGGTACTTTGCAGGCTCCCTGATTAGCCGCGATGGTTTGACAGATGGGGCCGGCGGGTGCGCGTCAATGAGGTCGGGTGTCGTTGTGAAAGAACGGAGGCAGTGACCCTCGGCTCACGATCCACTCTTTCCCTGGTACCTTGGTCTCCACTCCCGAACTGGGTTGCTGCAGTGTTCCGTTCCTGCCTCCGCTTGTCACGATTCTGCCTATCGTCATGTAAGGTAGTTCCTGCCGTGCGTCGTACTTGTCCAGCCTTCATGGGGTAAGAAAGGTAGTCGTCCAGTAAGGTAAGCCCAGGTACGACGACGACGACTTCTTCAGCCCTCGTCGCATGTCGTCAGCCTGGCCCCTTCTTTCCTTCCGTCTTGACGTAAGGCGGGTGGTATCTTAGGTAAGGTAAGGGGCGCCCTGACATCGGGTTCCTCCCAGATTCCGAGGACCGGGACTGTAAGTGACGGCAAGAACGGCAAGGTAGCGCTGGATGCTCGCTCCTATCTTACTTTGCCGTACCCTGCCCTGCATGTGTGCATCTGCGGAATAGAAGATGGAAGGAATGGATGAGAAAAGTAGACTGTAAAAGTCTAAGGTACGGAGTACTACGGAAGGAAGGTAGGTAACAAAATAATGCCATGTCGATGGTTCCTTCCCGTTCAACACTAGGCCAAGAATGGGTAGTCGGCCAAGAAAACCTAAGGCAACTTAAGTTAAGGTCGGCTGCCTTAGGTTGCCCTCATCTCACGTTGAAGACGGATGACTGCAGCACTGCAGAGAGATGGGATGGGATGGGATTCTCCATTTTCCATCATCAATGCCCGCCTATTGCCAAAGCACATGCGACAACCAACAATCCGAAGCCCAGATGACCACTGCAATCTTCGTCATCGTTCTCGTCCCGCATCGAAATAGATTGCTATTGCCAATAGTCGACCCCCTCCCCGATGCTGGAGGATGGACCCCGGAAAGTCCAAGCACGCCAGCACATACTCTGTACGCAGTACCTTGGGTATTTTAAATCTACGGAGTACGGATACGCAGGTACCTGACCTTACCTTACGTTTCCTGGCCAAGGTAAAGTATCTTGCATCTCCCGAGGGCGCAGCGCACCCATATCAGCGACCACGCCGCTGCACCCGACTGATCCTTTGCAGCATGCGAGCCCCTTACAGAAGAATGCCTGGCTGACTTCTTGTATGCATCGCATGGCTTGCGTCTCGGTAGCTCGGCTCAGAAAGGGAAGTGGTGGGTAGGGTTACGATTGCCACTGCCAGCGGTACATCGTCCTCGCCCACGTTCATGGGTTTGTTGGACGTACCGATCCATGCCACGCCCTTTTTTCTCTTCCGCTTCAGCTCTTCATCCACTTTCCGAACCGCGATCCCCCACGAACATGACGCCGCTTTGTGGCCTCGCCTTCGCGTCGCCTTTTTACCGCATACTTTTCTTACTCTCTTACACGTGTCTGGGATTATCCTCTTCACCCAGTCTTGGACGCTCGAACCCGCCGCAAACCTTCTTTTACAGTCATGAGTCCGGACCGTCGGTATACACCGGATGACAGCCGGCGCTGTGCCTGTATGCAAGTCGATGTTGCAAGACAGGGACACCCGTGGTTTTTTCTTGGTCTTGCTCGAGGGGCCTCTCCCCGGACTCGAGCCGGAAAAGTCTGCTGCGCTTCAGAGGAGGGGCATCATACGATCAACCTCGTTTCTGTGGCAGCGGTGCCCCTGCATCGCCTAGCGAGCCTCCAAGGGCCCTGTATCTCCTCAGCCCAAAGCTTGATGAACCTTCGTCCGCTTGGCGGTTTGGGTATCCGGTCGGCGGAAGCCGTCTCTTTCAGACTTCAGTAGGGAAGTACGAATAGTATTACTAATTGCCCTTGCGTTACATGGCGCACGTATTTTACTCCCGTCTGTCTATCCGTAGTCCGAGGTAGCTACTACACCCCGCAGACTGCAACCACCACACTTACAAACTTCCGCAACATGACTTTGTGCTACACCAAAGAGCCGCTTCTCTGTCTTTGTCCAAAGTCTCGCAACGAATCTAGGGTTATCAGCCCGTATCCTGGGGCCGAGACTAGCAATCGCTTCCGTCCACCGGGCCCCCCCACTTGTCTCGAGGCCTTATTGCCGCTTGGCTCTTGGGGATTTTTGGAGAAGACCGTTGGGTGTTTGCAGGCACCCGGGTAGGGATCCCCGAGGTTGTCACAACTCACACTAAACTTGGTGGGTTTCTGTGCTAAACAGCAGGTCAACCTTGAATGCGCTTCAGGGTTGTCAGTCTTAATCCTCTCGAGTCTTTCGCTGCTCTTGGTACCCAGTTTCTTGTTCAAGGGACCTGGTCAGTGTTTTCCTTTCGGGGATCCTTCACGAAACCAGCCCTGTCCAAATTACAACACCTGTCCTCCAGCTGAAGGTTAAACCTGCAAACGTGTCGCGGGTTTGCGCCGGCCTGCCGATTCCGAGCGTCTCCTGAGATCCGCGACAGTCCCTCCACAAGACGTTTGATTTACTTTACGCCACCTCACGCATTTCGGCTCGACTGACCAGAAACACAAGATCGTGTCCAAGCCTCGCATCAGCTGAGAAAGACGAGAAACGATGTCGATACGACAGCGAACCAGCCAAGGAAATTACCGGCTTCAGCTGACCTCCTGGATAACTGCCGAGAGGAACTTTTTTCACAGCAATCACCAAGCAGAGTCCAGTCACAAAGCCAGAGCCAGAAACCATCTCCGGGCTGCCTCATCTCCACTCACCAAGCCCAATAGTTCGTCCCTACCTTCTTGGAGAGCTCGCCCGATGCAGTGCAGCCTCCAAGTGAGTTGACGGGGGTTGACCCAGAAGTTATTTCCATGTCTTCATGCGCCGCCCTGTGGCTCATTCCACATCTGCTCGCGTGCGGCGTCGACCCTCTCAGATCGCCAATTAAGGCCCCCAAAACAGCCACATCTCCACGACCAAAAATATCCGCTCCTTGCCACACTTTTCTTTTCCCGAACCCTTGTTCGTCCAACGAGGACGCCAGGACGAGCCCCCATTCCCGACGGCCTGGGCCAAGAGACGCCCAGTACGGAATGAATCGCCATTGTCAGCCGCACCTTAAGCCCATCCCGACTCCAGCTCCAAGGATGCCGCAGGGCGATGACGTTTCGTTCCGTGCTCGCAATCTTAGGACACAGACAAAAACGCCCGAGGGGGACGGAAACGCGTTCGCTTTCCATGGTAATATCTCAACCACGCTGTCGACATATTGATCATGAACCCCTCCTTATCACCTCTCTACTAACATGCCCCAGTTGCAATATCTACAGGGCAACTAGCCGCTCCAAATCGATCCAAGGGGGAGCGTTTCCATCGCATCGGTGCTGAACATCTACTACATAGCTGCCCATTCAGGGCACCAAACAGGGGGTGTCTTTTCCCTCTCTCCTTCTCCCTTCCCGTTCTTAATTCTTTTCCTGGCGCATTAATGCATGAAATCTCCAATTTGCGCGGACCATCTACCCCGCTGAATCAGCGATTAGACTGCCCACCATCTTCAACGGCCTTCCCGCCGCCTTACCACTTGCAGCCCACGTCGTCCGAAGGACAAGCATCGACGTCGCGCGAAAACTCCAACGGTTGTGCCATAAGCGGAATACGGCATGGCAAAGGCCACCGCCACTCCAAAGCAGGCGGCAAGAAAGTGGACGACATCGCCTCCACAGCTCCTCCAAAGTGACAGTTTTGTCGTCACATTTTACAGCTCAACTCCCTTCTTGGACCCTAGTCCCGCGTTCACAAGCATGGAGCGCCTGCGTACCTGTTTTCTGAGATAATCCCTATCCTTCTCGGCACCCTCCGCCTGTACCTGCATGCAGTCCGCATGCGCCAAAGGGGGGGGGATTTGGGGAGAGGAGGAGGGGGACCTGGCACGCAGGCCCCCCTGCCGGCCTTGCTGCATCTCCTAGATGACTTTACTGCATGGAAGCCTTGGAAGAAGTCGACGGAAATTTCTATTCATGGTAATCACAGTACACACTACCGTCACTGATACTATTCCCATCTTGGAGACGCGCATGAACGGGCTGTCGTGGGAGGCGCAGCCGCTCTGCGTAGGTAGGTGTACGTATGTTTTGTTCTTATGTGCTACTGATAATCCTCACGTTTATCGAATATGGCCATGGGGTTACAGAGTATGGTACGGATACGGCGGCGAGGGAGCTTTTCTGCTCAATTGACGTGCTTCCAGATCTAGTGGTTTGTTCGCATGCTCATCCTCACCTCGACAGCATTGCAGGTGCAATTCCTTGACCATGTTCGCGAGGAATTGACTTTTTTTTCTTTTTTACTAAACGATCTAGATGGAGCTGGATAGATGAGAACAAGGATCAGAAAAGCACTGTAGGCAGTCTGCAACACCAAGACTCTCACACATTTTGATGTTCGCTTGCGACTCTGTGACACCTCCCGCGGCCGAACCCACTCAACATGTCAAATACAACAGTTGACACCTGGATGACAAGTCATGGATTGCATGATTTCCCTTTATTGATTTTTTGAAAATACTCGGACAAAAAAAGTACAGTTTGGTTTCAAAATGAAAAAGAAGCCTGAGGCTGTCAAAAACCTGTCAAACGCCGGTTGTTTGCCCTTTAATCGCACAATGTTCCCTTCCTTCCCACTTCCCCTTCCCTCCCCTTGCGCGTTGCTCGCGTTTCCCGAAACTACCCTCCCCCCTGCGACTCGCTTTCTTTCTCTCTTCTCTCGTCAGGCTTTTGAAGAATCCACCCTCGTAAAACATTCTGCCGGGGAATCGAGGGTTCACCTCCCCAACTTTGACGTTCCTCTCTCCATCCTGAAAAAAATGTACCAGATACAATGCATCAAGTTTCCCATCGATCAGGCCCCCCTCCCTCTTTGGCCTATTTTTGTGTGTGTTTTTTGATGTGTATGTAAACGCGTGCGTGTAATGTCCCTTTCCGGCAGGTGAACGCTCTCTCGGTAAGAGAAAGCTCCTCAGCCTCAGCCTCCAAGTTTCCGTTTTCCTTCGAAACACGCACCTGCCGCGTGGACATTCCTCCACCGCCGCCTTAAGCGAAGTTGTCAGTCCGATCGACCCAGATGTCCTCGAGCTCCGCAAAGCTGTGAAAGTGCACGGGACGGTGCTGGTCGCTGTAGAACGGCAGCGGCGTATCGAGCTTGACGTGCACGGGCTTCTTCTCCATGCCCGCAAACGCCGAGCCCATGAAGCTGTAATTCCACATGCCGTTCTCGGGCACGAGGAAGAAGCCGCGGAAGCGCGGGCTCAGTAGGAGCTTGCGCTTCTCGCCCATGGTCGTCGTGAAGCCCTGTGGCTGGTCGCTCTGCGTGTCCCTGTTCTCGGCGCCCCACTTATAGCCTGTTGGGGTGAGGCCCCAGGCGGAGAGGGAGACGGAGCCGGGTGTGAAGGCCACGTTTACGGTGACGGTGTCGTGCTTGTCCCAGGCGGTGCTGTGGGCGTCGAGGAGGCGTGCGTGTTCCGTCACGTCGGCGGCGGACATGTAGGGGAGTTCTGAGCCCGAGGCGGTGTGGATTACACCGAGGGGTTCCATGCCCTCGAGGAACTCGTGCTGGGGGAGTTGTTGGGGCAGTTGGACATTGCGCAGGCCACCGATCTGGGGGATCATGACGATGCACTTGATTTCCTTGACCTGGTCATTGTCCGGGGCGGAGGATCCGTAGAGGTAGCCTGCGACCTGGACGCGAAGATCGGCGATGGTGATGAAGCGCTTGAGGATGTTGTTGGGCATCACATAGGTAATCTCCTCGAGGTCGTTGTCGACGGACGAGACGTAGATGTTGTTTGCCTTTGTGCGCAGGTTGGACGTAGCAATGGCGCGCGTGCGCCACTCCGTCTTGGAGGCAAAGGTCTGCTGCTCGAACTGCGACGTTGTCGTAACGATGATTTCCTCGCCGTGGACGTTTTGCGTCTTTGTCGTCACGGCCGTCAGCTGCTGCTGCTCCTGCTGCTGCTTCTCGATCTCGGCGGCCTGCTGGCGTTGCATCGAGGGCGCGGATATCTCCATACCCAAGATGATGTCGCGGACTTCGCTGCTCGTGAGACTGGAGACGTTGACGTTGTTCTTCTTTCCGTAGTCGTTCAGGATGAGATCGCGCAGCTGCGTTTCGACCTTGATCCAGTCCTCGTCCGAGAGCGTGGGCCAGATGTGGTGGTCCTGGGTAATAACTGTCTTGTCCGGGCGCAGGATGAGCTTGGTCTTGTCCGGGTTGACGTGGAGGGCACGCAGGATCAGGATGAGACGGGAGAAGGCGGTGTACGACGAGATGCTCTTGAGCCACTCGTCGTAGAGGTTGAAGAGAACCATCTGCGGCTCGGTAGCGCGAAGAATCATGTCTCCCAGCTTCTCGACCTTCATGGCCGCCTGGAACGGCAGTTGCAGCTCGGAGGCTCTGATAGCGATGTTGGGGAAGTCGAGCAGATGGACTTCCAAGGGATCCAACAGACCCTTACGGGTGACGATGAGCTGCTTCGGCTGCTCCTCCACGGGGAGAGAGCGGATGAGGGCTGCCACTTCTTCGGCGGTCTTCCACTTTGCCAACTGTCCGAGACGCTTCTGACCAGCCCAGACGCTCGTGTGAATGATCTTCAAGAACAGCTGACCGGTTCTGGGGTTGAAGATGAAGATAGCACCGTTGATGGGCTTGGTGGTCAAATTACCCTCAAACGTCTTGTGAATTGTCACACGGTAGACGTTGGTATCGTCGATGAAGAGCTGCGTTTGGTTGCTGAAGAGTTCAGAGTAGTTCTGAGAGTTAAGGAACTCCTGGTTGCTCTCAGAGGCGTAAAGCTGCAGACCCTTGCGGATACGCTCTCTCAGGACGTAGAGAGCCGGGTTGGCCTTCATGATCTTGGCCATGGCCTGCTGAACGAGGACCTTCAGACCAGGGAAGTACATGCCGTAGGCAGAGTACAGGTTGTAAGCCAGATCGATACCAATCATGAGACCGGTTGCTGAAGGGTAGATACTGGCGCTGTCCGTGGTGTAGTCGAGGTACTTGGCACGAGTGTATCTCTCAATGTCGTGAGAATCGTAGTCGCCGTATCTCAGCTGGACATCGATCCAGAACTTGTTCGTAGTGGTGGGCTCGATCACATCCTTGGTGTCAAACAAGGGAGAAGGTCGCGTAACGTTCCACTTGTGACTGGCAAAGAGAAGAATGTCGGCACAAGAACTGTTCATCTTGTAAGACTTTCTGGGATGAATCGTCTCTTTTTGTACCGTCTCGATTCCGAGGGACTCGAGTTCTTGATCAAAGACCTGGCACAGATCCATGACGACCGACTCGTGGATCTTCTGCCACAAATGGGCTCGGAAAATCTGGATAAGCGAAATTTTCAGAGTAGGGATCTTGCCGTGCAAGAAGATACCAGTCAGATCAAGCTGGACTTGGAAACCGACGTAGACGTTGGCTCTGTTGATCGTAGGTGACCACCAAAGGGTGAAACGTCTGTTGGGAATCTGGTTCAAACCGGACCGTTGAGCGTTTGTCAACTTCTTGAACTTCATGGATTCTGCATAAAAGTTAGTCCCAACATTCAGATACGAAGAAACAATTGAACTTACCCTCGAAACCGCTTGCTCTTTCCCAGAACAGGCCTTCCCATGACGGGAAACCAGTTGCTTTGAACAAGGTGTGCTCGAGAATGGTTTCTACACCACCAAGAGCTTGAATGACATCGGTACGATAGGCGTTGAGGTTCCACAGTTTTCCGTCGTGCCTCTGGCTAGTCCACCAGAAAGGGTTGTTCTTCATGAGCTGATAGATCTTGAACTCTGCACGAGCACGGAAACCCTTGTCGAAACTCAACGTGCTTCTGTCCTTTTGGAAGAGGGTGTTGATGCGCGGCAAGCCGCGATCCCAGCTATCCTCCAAATCCTCGAGGGTCAGGCGGCGGTTCTGCTGGTTAGCTTCCAATCTCTTCTGCGAGTATTCCGTCCAGACTCGCTGCGAGTCGATGAACTCGGCCTCCCACGGAATAATGTACCGGAAGATGTTAGGGATGAGCGTCTCCTCGTCATGCGTCATTCCGGCGCGGTAGTGGGTGACGCCAGTGTCAGTCTGCTTTGACCACCGCTTGTCACTGGCAGGAATCAAGATATGCGATCCGGAAATCATGCCCAAACCTCCCAGCTCCTTGGGCGTGTAGAACACTGCCGGAGGGAAACGAGAAGGCATCTTGGAGTTCAGTCCGATCTTGACTCTCGTCTGAATCTTCGTCTCGCACTTCACAATGGTGTCCAGCAAGCTAACGGTAGACACTGCTGCCTCGCGGTAGTACGTAAATAACGCAATCAAGGCAGTGTTCCACTTGTTAGCGATCTTTGTGAATGTTGTCGAACCCGAGGACATGAGAATTTGACGGATCCGGTTATTAAACTTTTGGATGTCCTCTTCCGTGACCTGAAGGAAGGCGTGCGCCGTTCTCTCCTTACTCGTGTTGTCAACCAAGGACCAGACGCTGTCCTTGACTGAAAAGTCGTCATTTTGGTTTCTGCACTTGGGTAAAATGCGGACCTCAAAACCACACATTGAGAACAACAAGTTCGGGTTGTCACGACTGTAGACGCTGGCGAAGCTGTCATCCCACTCGATTGTCGTAACGGAACGAGGCAGACGGTTCTTCAGATCCCAGAAGACGGCTCTGCCCAAATTGACGTCGTGTCTCATAAGGCGCATACGCGAGTCACGAGGCCAGCACTTCTTGCTCTTGTATCCGATGACGTTCTCAAAGTTGGGGTCAGGTTGTTCAGTGAGGAAACGTTGGATGAGATCTCGGGACTCATCAGCTGTGAAACGCAAGAAGACCCAGATCTTGTCAATATAACGAGTGTAGAGGCGGATGGGATGTCTTGTCTCTGTCTCTCTGTCACGGAACTGAAGGAAGTCGTTAGGGCTCTGGGGAGGACCCGCGATCTCACTGGCGCGCTGGGGGCCCAGGAGAAGAAGGTCGAGCACAAGACCGTAGTACTGGAAAACGAATGCAGAGAACTGCAATCCACGGATCATGCCGTAGCTGTTGACATGGTTCATGTCCTTGTACGTCAACTGCACGTTGTTCTTTGCAGTGATGTAATCCGCAAGGTTGTGATCCATGATCAAGCGGAGCAGAGAGTTGAGCAGGGTCAGCTCGATCTTCTCGTAGACCTTGGACAGCTCCGTCTCGATCATGACGTTGCACTCTCCGTTCTCGGTCTCCCAGACCTTGTCGAGGTTGTTGATACCTTGAGCCCACTTGTAGGTCAGAAGAGGCGGGACCTCAGAGTCTGAGGGCTTAATCCAAGCGGGGAACAGGTGGCGCTGGTCGGCCTGGTACCATAGGTACTGGTCGAGGTAGGCATCGCTAATCTTCTCAATGGGCTCGATATCATAGACGGGGTTGATGGTGCTGTAGTTGTCATTCATATCGATGCCGACTTCCTTGAAGGCACGCTGGGTAAGGAGGAAACGCTTGATACGCTCCAGAGTAGTACCGGGACTATCATAGGCCTGCTCGATCAAAGCCAGCTCCTCTCGCTGACTTTGGTTGAGACGGCCCTTGACAGAGTAAGCTTCTCGCAGGCGCTCAAGTGCCAGAATGAGAATCTTCGTGTCGTGCTTGTAGGACACACTGGGGAAAGGAATGGGAGAGAACTTGCGGGACTCCAACCAGTGAACAGTGGTGGTGTAAATCGCAACAGCCTCCTCGGAAGAAACGTAAGGTCCATCCTTCATGTGGTTGTGCTGTCTCTCTTGCTCTGCCTTGAGCCAAAGTCGGGTGAGACGACCGACGTTCTTCTTGGCCACTGTCTTGTCAACAGTTGCTCCACGGCGAATACGCTCTCGATTGTAGTGGGCGACGGAAATCCACCAGTCGGCCTTTGCCTTCACATAACGCAAGATGATGTTCTCAATAGGTGCCGGCAGACCGGGCACCTTCCAGGGGATGTTACTCTTCCAGCATCTCCATGCCTCAGACAAGTGCTGAAGGACGGTGTTGACCTTGTTTTGCTTGATACCTTCGGGCATCATATCCATCAGGTCAGCCATTACAGACGCGCGAAGTTCGAGATCAAAGTGAGACTCCACACGCTGCTTGGTCACTGTCTTGGCAACACCCTTGCTGTGACGGCCCTCGAATTGACGGGACAAGAGGTTTCCAAGCCACCTCTCGAGGAGAGGGATGATACCACGCATGAAGAATAGCCAGACTCTCCAAGCGGGAGCCCAGAAACCGCAACCGGGGCCCTTGCCGACGGGCGCCGAGTTGAAGCGGTAGTAAATTAGATGCTTCAGGTCCTTGCAAGAACGGATCTGGTGCATAAGCTTGTACTTGTAGCGGTACATGCCGGTAAGCTGGCCGACGTGATTGAAAGCGTACAGAATGCCATCGGCGAGTTGGAAGGCGTCGATGTTGCCAAGGCGGTACTGCACCTGTGCATCTACAATAAGCTTGGTCAAACGCAGAATCTCACGCATGAGATGGAATGCGTTTCCGAAACGGGACTTCTTTCGCTCCTTGGTAGTCAAGGTCTTGACAGGCTTCAAATTAAAGTTGTAATCGAGGTGAAGGTACGTCAGGTTCTTGCGGTGAATAAGGAGATTGAGCATGTTGAAACCCTGTCTGCAGACTTGAAGACCAGCTTCAACCCAGTCGATCTCGGTCTGTTGGAAGAACTTCGTCTGCTTCAGATTGCGCATCAAATTTTGATTTTGCTGTGACTTTGGCTTCTTCTTGTGGAGTTCGTTCAAGACGAAGTTCTTGAGCAGTTTTTGGTAAGAGACGCGAACCTTGACGGGTGGCTTGTCGGAAGGAGGGTGCTCCAAGTACCACTGCTTGATGAGAGGAACATCCTGAGCCCGCACCATGCGACCTGACCGACGATCGAAGGGGAAGGGAGCCCACCACAGCTCGATTGCCGATGCCGTGTCTTCATTAGTCAGCTCCTCCTCCCCGAGGAAGGGCTCGAACTCCGCGGGGAGTTCAAACTCGTCATCTTCAGGCTCCTCGTTGTTTCCAGGGCCGAAAATCTCATCCTCGTGGCTGACGGTGAGATTCTTTGGTGCCACCGCACGCGAAGAAATGGGGTGGATTCTGCGGTCAAAGTGGAAAGCGGGGAGATCAGGGCTCTCTGCTCGCTCAAAAACCACCTGGGGGTGAGAATGCCATGCTAGGTGCACACTTCTCGGAAGAGAGTTGTACAAATAGGGATAGGCCACACGGAACTCTGTGCGAATGGCATTCCTAAAGATGATGCGGTCGATGGCGTTGAACTCTCCAAAATCCTCATCATTGGGGTCGATATCCTTGTACAGAGGCTCGAAACGGGGCCCGCCGGGCAGGGCGACGTTGAGGGCCTTTCCAGTCAGGAAGCTCCTTAAGTCGAAGAGGTTGAAGTAGTTCTTATCCACCACGTCAGAGATGAGAGGTCGACTCAATCTGAAAAGCGTTGCCATTTGCTGTAGGTTGAGATTCCAAGACCGATAGCTGTCGCCGTTGACGTGGGGAGTGTCGAGCAGTGGCCTGTGGTCGTAGAACCACTCGAAGACGGCGGCATCCTCCTCTTCGTTCAGCTCCATCTGGATAGGCTCCAAGGGCTCAACGTCCTCGATGTTCTCGGACCAAGACAGAGGTGGTTCTTCGTCGTCGAAAGGGGGGAATCGCATGCGCTTGAAGAGACGTCTGTCGGCTTTTTCCTTCCTCATAAAAGTCCACATCATTGCCCACTGCGCAAAGAAGACAGGTTCAATGACTCTGGGGATCTCATTGACCAACGTCAAGCAGCCGTTGACATGGTACAGAACCTTGACTTTCCTGTCAGACTCCCATGGCATGGGCATATTTTCGAGAAGCTTCATGACAGCATGGGGCATGAACTTCAATGCACCAAGGTAACTGCGCTTATCGCTTGTGTACTTCTTTTGCGACACATCACCAATGTCCTTGACAATCTTGCGCAGATGCTCAGGGGGCATGTCTGCCTTCTGCGTCTCAACGAAGCCACCCTTGCGCTTCTCGCCGAATCGGTTGCGCTGATTCCGAAGCCATTCCTTCTTCTTTTGGGCAAACTTGGCGATCTGGGGATCGGTTGGGGGGCGATAGCCAGGCGGCGGGGGAGCTGGTGCCGCTGGTGGTGGAGGGAGGGACGATGATGGAGGAGGAGGCGGTGGCGGAGGAGGACCCCATCCGGGGGGTGGTGGTGGTGGTGGAAAGGACATCTCGACTCGATGGTTGACTCGTCTCGCCTGCGTGCGTTGAAGGAGGTCGTCAAAGTCGAGGAGTCGCAGTCGCGACTTTCAAGACGCGAAAGTCGTAAAGGAAAACGCAGCGCAATCCGACTCGATGCTCAGTGTCGGTCTGGAGCTGCGCTGGGATGGGAAAATTGGTCGAGTGGTCTCGCGGAAACTCGCGGTGATGAGACCTAGGGCGCAATGTTGTTGGTATTAGGCAATGGTTGATGAGTTCATCGACCTTGACCTCGCCGCGCCATCGAAATTTTTGGGTAATGCAGCTCTGTCCCGGGACGAGGAGGCCAATCGAATATGCGCTAGCCTGTTTCGGTGCAACTCCATCACGTGAGGACGTGAGCTCAAGTCACCTTACGGCGCCACAGATAGTCCGGCGGGCGACAGCTCGGGGCTCGGATCCATTTCTTTCGGATGTGGCTGGTGATGCTCCGGAGTGCACGGCCACACTCAGAAGGACAGGCAGAAGTGGCAAGGCAGGCACTCCTGGTGAACCAAAGGAAAGTGCCTGAAACTTTTCTAGTGGGGCTTCACCTTCTGCCACCCGTCAACCCCACATAGCCCAGCTAAAAAATTCCAAAACTGCGGCGGCAGAACACCCCGCTGCCACCTGGACCACGGTTTGCCAGCTGTCGTTCGCTAAACCCTCCTCCCCCACCAAAAATTCCCGTCAAATTCTTGCACAACCTGAATTTGAGGAGCCCCTCTCGACAGGTTGACCGAAGGCCCCCCGTGACAAGTCCCGACGACAACACAACTTCCGTCGATCCCGCGTTTCCCAGTCGCATCAGTCAAAACCGTCGCCTGCACGAATCGAAAAGCGATCGCCAAAATGTCTCGATTTTTCCGCGGCGGAGACGACAGCTCCACCGACTCGTCTTCCGACGAGGAGGAGCTTTACTCCGAGGAGGAGGAGGAGGAGGAGCAGCAAGATCAGGAGGACTCTGATGAGGAGGAGGAGGAGGATGACGACTCCGACTCTGATTCCGACGACAGTGAAGGTGGAAAGAAGGCCGGTGCCTCGCGTTTCCTTCGCGATGCTTCCTCAGACAGCGAAGACAGCGAAGACGAGGAGCGGGTAAAGGTCAAGAGTGCCAAGGATAAGCGCATCGAGGAGCTCGAGGCCACCATCAAGCTTATTGAGAACGGCCAAAAGATTGGTGACTGGGCTTCTATTTCCACAGGTAAGATACGACGGAATACCTCGAGATGCTGGAAACATGGGCGCTAACGTTGATGCGCAGAATTCGACAAGCTCAACCGCCAGGTCACAAAACTCCAAGATGATGGCAAGACCCCCAAGGTCTACATTAAGGCTGTTGTCGAGCTCGAGGAGTACATGAACGAGGCCATTGCCAAGCAGAAGGTCACTCCCAAGAACAGCAAGAGGCAGATGAACGCCACGTCTGCCCGTGGATTGAACGCCGTCAAGCAAAAGTTGAAGAAGGTCGTCAAGGACTACCAAGCCCAGGTCGATGCCTACAAGGCCAACAACGATGCCTTCATGGAGTCCGAGGAGGAAGAGGAGAAGCCCGCGCCCAAGCCCAAGAAGACTGCCCGCTTCGTCGACACCACCGAGGAGGCTGCCGAGGGCGACGACGACGAGGGCTTCGCCACCGTTGGAAAGGGCGGCCGCACTCTGCAGTTCACCCCCGAGAGCATCTTCAAGCACCTGAGAAGCATCATGGAGACTCGCGGTAAGAAGAACACCGACAAGCAGGAGCAGATCAAGATCATGGAGAAGCTCAACGAGATCGCCAACACACCCTACCAGAAGATCCGCGTTCTTCTCACCCTGGTCTCTACTCGCTTCGATCTCGGTTCCGGCGGTGCCTCCTATATGCCCGTCGAGCACTGGAAGGCTGCTGAGAAGGAGCTCAACTCTCTCCTCGAGGTCCTCGAGCAGAACAAGGACTACATCGTTGTTGAGAACGCCGAGGAGTGGGATGACGACGAGAAGCCCCCCGCGTTGGAGAAGGGCCAGAAGTACGTCAAGGTTCCTGGAAGCATCGTTTCCTACGTTGAGCGCCTCGACGACGAGCTCACTCGTTCCCTCCAAAATATCGATCCCCACACCTCCGAGTATATCGACCGCCTTACCGATGAGGGCGCCCTCTACAACACCATTTTCCGCGGCATGCTCTACTACGAGTACCTCCGCAAGGATGCCGAGCTCGAGATTCCCCAGGAGAGCATCAACCGTGTTGTCACTCGCCGCCTCGAGCACGTCTACTTCAAGCCCGCTCAGGTTGTCAAGATCCTCGAGGACAACTGCTGGAAGAACGTCCCCTCTACCGTCGAGTCCGTCATCACCCCCCGCGACGAGGCCCAGGACGCCAACAACCTCGTCAACGTCCTCTGCAACTACCTCTTCACCAACGCCGAGGGCATTCTCCGCGCTCGTGCTATGCTGTGCCAAGTTTACTTCCTTGCCCTGCACGACGAGTACTACAAGGCTCGTGACATGATGCTCATGTCTCACTTGCAAGAGAACATCCCCAACTTCGACGTCCTCTCTCAAATCCTCTACAACCGTACCCTTGTCCAGGTCGGTCTCTGTGCTTTCCGCCAGGGTCTCGTCTACGACGCCCAGAACACACTGCAGGAGATCTGCGGCAGTGGTCGCCAGAAAGAGTTGCTCGCTCAGGGTGTCATGATCCAGAGATACAGCCAGGTTTCACCCGAGCAGGAGAAGCTCGAGAAGCAGCGCCAGCTCCCCTTCCACATGCACATTAACCTCGAGCTTCTCGAGTGCGTGTACCTTACCTGCAGCATGCTCCTGGAGATTCCCCTCCTGGCGCAGACTGGCTCCTCCCCCGACGTCAAGAAGCGTGTTATTAGCAAGACCTACCGCCGCATGCTCGAGTACCACGAGCGCCAGATCTTCACTGGCCCTCCCGAGAACACGAGAGATCACGTTATGCAGGCTTCCAAGGCCTTGGCTGCTGGCGAGTGGAAGAAGTCCACCACCTTTATCCACAGCATCAAGATTTGGGATCTCATGCCCAACACCGAGGACATCAAGACCATGCTCTCCAAGCAGATCCAGGAGGAGGGTCTGCGGACATACCTCTTCACCTACGCTCCCTTCTACGACACCCTGGCCGTGGAGACTCTGAGCAACATGTTCGAGCTGGACGCCAGCAAGGTCCTCGCGATTGTCAGCAAGATGATCAGCCACGAGGAGCTCGCCGCCTCCCTCGACCAGGTCACATCGACCGTCATCTTCCGCAAGGGCGTCGAGCTCAGCCGTCTGCAGAGCCTGGCCCTCACCCTCTCAGACAAGGCCAGCGCGCTCATCGAGACCAACGAGCGGACACTGGAGCAGCGCACCCAGGGCTCTGCCAACGCGTTCGAGAGACAGGGCGGCCGCGGCGGCCGTGGCGGACGCGGTGGTGCGAGGGGCGGCAACAGAGGAGGCGCGAGAACGGGCGGCAACCCCCAACGGCAGGCCGGCGGTACTCAGTTCACGGGCGGCGCGTTGGGTGCTGCGGTCCGGGGTTGAGAGAGTGAAAGAGAGAGAGATGAGTGGAAGAATTGAAACGGGGGTTCCTGGGGTTTTCACGCTTGTATCTTGCATTAGGGTTGGGTTGCTTAATCCAAAATACCGGCCGCGCGGGGTTCCAGAAAGAAAAAAGAGCCTTGGCTGGTTAGGTGTTTGTAGCTTCAGGGAATAGAAGCTGATAGAGTTACGTCACGTCCACGATGCAGAGTGTGTATGAATGTCACGATTTAGCCGTTACCACGAATGATGGCTTTCCCTAGGCGGTTTCCCGATTTGTAGCAGCCGTAGAGTAGAAAGACACCAAGTTCTAGAATTTTCCTCTCCACGAGCAACACAGTAATCTTGATGTGGTTGTTCGTCCAAAGATTATGTATGTCGGATTCCAGGCTTCCCCTCGCGAACTTACACGGTCGACCAGGCTTAATGGTGGCAGAGGATTGGGTTTCGGGGGATCTCCAACTTAACCCAAATTTCACACTCCCCTCAGCCTCAGCCGTATCTGACAAGAACACAGTCCACAACCCCATGAAAGGTGCCCCGTCCGCTGCGAAATGACCTGCAATCAACGAATCTCGTCCTCCGAGCAGATTATGAGCTTTCTTGAACTCTCTTCCTGGTTCCCGAGTCAACAATGGGTCCTCGGATCCATCAAATAACCCGCCTTGCTAGCTCAATCGGTAGAGCGTGAGACTCTTAATCTCAAGGTTGCGGGTTCGACCCCCGCGTGAGGCTCAAATCCTCACCGCGATTGGCAAAGCCACTCTTCGGGTTATCATTTTACTTTTTTTCATCTTTATTGATGGCTGGCCATGTTGCTGCTTTGCTATGGAGGATATGCTCCTTGTGGGGGGGGTTTAGAATGCAGTGGATTTTTTCTTCGGTCAAGATTCTACGCTGGTTGTCTATTCCCCCGGGTGGAGGTAAAAAGGGTCTCTTTGTAAATCACATCTCAAATCGAGATACGACCCGAGGGTGACTTTCCTACTTGGATACCTCTCACTTCTCAAACCTTGAGGATTCTCACAAGTCCGTTCGTCTACGTACAGCTTTCGGCATTCCAACTAAATGTCTTGAAGATGCTAAAGCAAAATAAAAGGGGAAGGAAGGTAAGGCCATCGCTTTCCTCTTTTGACTGGGTAATATCAATACTTATGACCTTACCTTTCCGTCCTGTACGTAGACCTAGCACGCTAATCTTTGCGACGATCCACACGAGAGCGGTTGACGAGGAAGTTGAGTCAATCACGGAGAGAAAAAACTCGGCGATTAGATGGATCGATAAGATAATGACACCATTGTGTAGAAATGTGGACAATGTGTGTCGTAATCTCCTCACACCCTCCACTTAGCATCCCATGCATCCCATTCATGGCGAAGAACATGTCGGGAATAGGTCTTTGATGATCGGACTTTGACGCCAATATGGATTCTCCTTGGTGTTCGGACAAGCCCCGTGGAAGAATGCATCCATAAAGTTGACAGACTCCACCGAAAACGAGTGAGGCTGCGAGGTATACATGACGAACATTGCCAGAGCCAGAAGGGTGTGTGCGCGTTTAAAAATTTGATCTGATAACGGCCAAAATCCGGGGCAGCATTAGGTGAGCACGTTCCTCTGATTCCTTGATTCCCTTCTCTTTCATTCCGAGCTAGAGTTCCGAGCCCTCTCCACCAAAACCCGCCGCAGTTGCCGAATCAAATTCAACCGAGGTCATTCTGGCACCCACTTCAATGCCGAACAACCTGAACTTTCCAGAGGTCTGCTGCAGCAGAACGGATACAGGATAAGTACCTTACAAGCTGCACTGTACCAGTGCAGCAGCATCGGCCCGCCGCCGGTAGCAACGCCATCTTTGCCTTTGGTCGCACAAACATGAGCCGAAGGAGCTTGACCTGCTCTAACGAGTCTCTTAGGCGATTACCTAGCTACCTGCCGGTCACATACCAGTAAACCCTGTGACCATCCATGGCATCCATCGGCGTGTGCCGTCGGTAAAACCAGCACTGCAACGAGCATCCACCTCGGCGCATGAACATGGCTAATTGGGACAACGGCCTTGGGTTCTTCTTGCAGCTGCCAGCTGGACTTTATTTTAGCGTTCCCTTGCCCGTCTCTTTCCTCTTCCTCTCTTCTGATTTAGAGAGAGCGATTTTTGGGGGTGATTTCACTTGCGTCGGGGTTTTCTTTTGCAACACCATAGCTCCTTCCACTTTCTAGAGGGACCCGTCCTTCTTCACAAGCTTGCCATTGACGTGACGTCGAACAGAGAAGAGAACCCACACACAGCTTTCCCTCCCGCCTTTCTCTCTCTCTCTCTCTCGCCCTCCGATCTTCGGGATAAAGCTTTACCACCGACACCGAGCTCGAGAACAGGACCCTACCTTACTCAGGAGCTTCTCACCCACAAACCCTTGATCGTCGTGAGACTTTTTTTTTCCCCTGTGTCTCCCGTCTTCTCTTCTTTTTCCTCGGACGGAAGGGAAACCACCACAGATCGGGTTCCACGAGACGAAAAGAAAAGAAAAAAGTCCACCCAAAACGACGGCCATCGGCCCTCATTCGTATTCGCCCAACATGTCCACAGAAGCAGCCGACCAGGCGCCCGCCGTCTCCGACCTCCCCTCCGGCGACCCCATCCCCGCCGCACCCGCGCCGCCGACCGCCGCATCACCAGCCTCAGCAACCCCAAAAGGCACGACGACCAAGAAACCCACCCTCGGCCAGCTCCTCGCCGCGACGCCCTCCAACGTCGACGCCTTCGTCGCCCACCTGAACCGCTGCTTCGCGACCCCGTCCGGCATCGACGCCGTCCTCTGCTTCCTCTGCTACACCTCGCGCTTCTCCGCCTCCGTCATCGACTCCCTCAGCGCCTCCGCCCTCCGCCACTCGGCCCGCAAGCTTGTTGCCCTCGCCTTCTCCCTCCCGCCCGACACCACCATCCTTCTCAGCAAAGCGCCGCCCGCTGCCGCTGCTGCGAGCCGCGGCATGCGCGTCGCGGGACACTTGAGGGCGCTGGCATCGCTGCTGAGCGAGGCGCGCACGATTACGAGGTTGTGGGCTCTGCTGCCGCTGTACCTCTGGCTACGCCGCCTCATGACGACGCCGAGCATCACGGAGGAACAAAAAGAAAAGGGCGACAAATACGCGGCGTCCGAGGCGGCGCTGGATAGAGCGCTCTCGTGGCTGCAGGTCGTGGCGTGTCTGATCTTGCAGTCGCTCGAGAGCTCGTCGTATCTTGCGTCCAAGGGGGTGCTGCCGATGACGCCCAAGCAGCAGGGGACGGCGGCGCGGTGGAGCGTGCGGTTCTGGTCCGTGTTTGTGGGCAGTGAGCTCGGCCGGCTGGCGATTGAGAAGCTGAGGCGGCGGGCCAAGATTGGGCGCGGGGAGCTTGAGGTGAGCAGCGGGGAGTACAAGGAGTGGGCGGACGTTTGGGGACGGACGCTGGCGAGGCAGGCTTCGTGGTTCCCGTTGACGGTACACTGGAGTATGGATAAGGGGTTCGTGCCGGAGATGGGGATTGGGTTGTTGGGGAGCATTCCTGGTATTGTGCAGATGCGGCAGCTGTGGAAGGAGACTGCTTGAGGGGGGTGTGGCCAGATGTAGATTTGGAAGAGTGGGAGGAGTCTCTCGAATAAGACTGGGATCGAACGAAGAGGTGCATACATATGAGACGGATAGACGCACCATACCGCCACTATCGAGACAGCTTTCCTGTGGAAAGCTAGGTGGTGTCAGAATCTGTCGTGACGCGGGCGATCTGCTCGCTGGTGTTGGGTACGAATTTTCCATTTCATGTTTATGATATAATAGATGTCAATATTTTTTTACCAAAGAATCAAATCCCAAAGCACAAAACGCTATGCCCTTGACCTCTCTCTCCTTCCCTCTCTGTTCCCGGTTTCAACGCCAATGCAATGTGGTGTTTACATGGGCATCCTCCTAACCTCCTCCATCGTCCAATACTTTCTCATATTCTCCGCCCCCAACGTCTCTACCTCCTGATCAAGATGTGTCCAGAGCACCTCGCCCCAACTATCCATCTTCTCTTTAAGAACGCCCAACTCGAGCTCCGTTTCGCGGTCGCGGCAGGCGCGGAGGTAGGCCTCGAACTTGTCCATGCCGTCGTGGATCTGCTTGTGCTGCTTGAGCAGCTCGCCGCCGCGGCCGCCGCGGAACTCGGGCATGCGGCGGGCGAGCATGGGGAAGACGTGGGCTTCTTCGATGCCGTGGTGGGCTGTGAGGTGGCGGGTGAATTGAAGGCCCGTGTCGAGGAATTGTTTGAGGGACATATTTTGGGGGCGGCGGTTTGTCGTTGCTGCTGTGTGGAGGAGGGTCCATTGGTGGCGGAAGTGGTTGTGCTTGGTTGTTGGTCAGTTTTGACTCATTCGATTTAGGAATGGGGAGGGTTGAGGGTGGTGAGAGAGGTGAGGTTTGAGAGTGATGAGTGGCACGATGTATTGGGAGTGAGTGCCTTACAAAGTAATTCATCTTTTCTGCCATTTGGTTGTAGACCTTGAACTCGGCCGGGGTCAGAGGGGGTAATTCAGGCTTGGCCGGCGCAGTCTCCTCCGCCGATGGTGCTGCCGCCGCCGCCGGCGTTGCTTGCGTTTGTTCAGTCGCGCTGGAGGACATTGTGTTGAAGGTACGGATATTCCGAAGCTCAGGGAATTGAGTGTTTGCGAATGCGCAGCAATGCGGGCTCTGAGCCGGGTTGGGATGACGACGGGGTCTGGAGATGAGATGAACTGCGCGGGCGCGGGTGCTTTGCGATAAAACTCTGCTCACAGAAACGACTACTTTCATGGTATTTTGGAGAAACACTTGCAGTTCACAAGAAGTTTCTTTTCTGTTTTATTTTCATGGAGGGGGAGGGGCGGTTGTTTCTAGAGGTTTTATCCCAGGATCATGCGCGCGCGCGCGCGCGCGCACCCACGCCGTCGCCGCCGCCCCTCCATCCGAGCAATGTGCTAGGCATGTAGGAATTGCCCGCGGCGGGTAGGCTAAACTGTTCACAGATGGGTTTACAGAAAGTAGCCCCTGCAAGTACACCGCGCGGCTGATGGTGCTTGGATTTGGGGTTTTTTGGATTGGCCCGCCAGCTTTCCGTTTTGAAGACTTGGAGAGAGTGAGACGAGACTTGTGGCGCGCGCTCGTTGGAAGCCCCATCTCGGGACCTCACTCTCGAGACTTTATCATACCGCCTCAACCAACCTACAACTTGACTTCTTCTATTGGAAGAAAAACATTCTGGAAAACTGAGACTTAACGATCGATACTCACCGTAACTACCAGTGTCCCATTCCGCGATTGCACCTCATTGGTTTGAAGAGATTTCATTTCGGCGTTCTCAGATTGGCTGGTGGCCCTCTTACCCTCCTTACTCAGCTCTTTGCAAGCGGCGGCGGTGCGGCAGTCACATTTCGCGACTCGCTCTTTGGCGCCGGGGGTGAATCCACACTTCGCTCTCATTTACCCTTGCACCCGTGACCGCGCGCGGTATCCGACCTCCAGCTCCATTCGCAAGCATCGGCATCCGATATTGTCCGTTCAGTGAAGCTCCGCTCCGGACCGGCGTCCCCTCTTCCGTCACACCTGTGCTCCGTGCACCGTAGCGGGTCCCATCCCACCTCCGGCCCTTTGGCCAGTCTACGTACCGGGGTGTCTGCGCTCATCACGTGCTCTCTAGCCTATGCGGCATGCGGGGGCAGACTTGCACTGCACTTTTAACACATGCAAAAGTAAGTAGTGAGGAGAGTAGACCAACTTGTGGCAGTTATCCTTACGGCATTCGATGCTGACTGTTTTCAATTGGTCCGCCACGTTAGCACGGCTCGCTGAAAGTTGGTCGATTCCGCCGGCCCGCCGTCCCCCGGGTCCCCACCATCACAGGCAGCAGCAGGCAACAGCAACAGCCGGCCATGGGCAAAGGGAGGACTTACAAGCAAACGTGACCTCGTGACAGTCTCGCGTTCTCCCATTTAGCTTCTGCCACAATTTGATGCCAGTCTCAGCTGAACTTTGCCTTCGAGACGTGGTCGCAGCCTAATTCGAACCACTGTCCCATCATCGGGCTTTCGAGCCCTGAAATTATCCCTCTTGGCAATCATTACGACAACTTTTCAACCAATGTACAAGACCTCGAGATTCTTCCGCACTATGAGAGCAAAGTTCTTCTGCGATTCCATCATCTCATCTTTTGTATTGCTGCGATCGGGCATTCAATCGAGGTCGTTCTCATCGCTTCAGTGTAAACTTGGCCTCAATTCACCGCAAAGGGAATCGAAAGCAGCCGATATGTCGTCCACGTTGACTGTCCGCGAGCGGCTCGCCCTCTGCAAGTGGGCTCATAGCCTACCTGGCCACATCACTCCGAGCCTCCCTCGCGGTGCCGAATGGGCCAAGAGCGAGTTCGGAAAGGATGTGCCCGAAGCCGTCATCCGGACCGTCCTAGACCGCGCGGACACGTTGGACGACTTCCATGCCTATGTAAGGACCTCCTCATCCAACACTCCCTTTCTACATAACAAGCAGCAATGACTAATCAGAATGAAGAACGACGGCGAGATTGCCCCCCTGATCCGTCCAGGTTTCGGGAAACTTTTCTGGGACATGCCCGATGACGATGCTGCGTTCCCCAGCGCCGTTCAGGAGTGGAAGGCAGCGACCATGACGTGGGCGGAGATCGCCATCTTGTGGTTCGTTGAGAAGATCACGAACAAGCCCGATTGGCATGTCAAGGTCTTTAATGAGGAGATTGTCGCCAAGTGGAAGCAGGAGGTCATGGCTGTGGACTGGAGAGCCGCGGGTCTTGAGTATGCCTATTTTGACGAAGATCTGTTCAAGTTTGTAAGTGCCTGGATTCACCTGGCTCCTTGTGAGAAACTGGCTCCTAACTGGTAATGCAGGCTCTTGCTGAGCTTCGTGAGAAGGCTACGCTGTATGAAGCTACTGGCTTGACCCCCGTCTTCGATGCCTCGTCCGTCGTCATCAAGTCTGACAACGCCATCACCCCGGAGGTAAAGGAGGAACTTCGAAAGGGCGTAGCTGCTCTCGAAAACGTCGCTGAAAACGAAAAGGACTGGCATCCCGGCAGCGACGGCAAGGTCTTGGACCTTGTCCACCCTTCCCTCTGGCCTCTTGTCTTTGGCAAGTCTCGTATCGTCTCCGATAAGCGCATCCTGCTAAAGGACACTCTGGCGGCATGCGGCACGGGAGATGTCATTGCCGCTCCTACGAATGCCACAGACTCATCCAGAGGGCTGTGGTCCGTCAAGTTCCAGTGGCTCCCGTGCGACATTGATATCGAGGAGGGAAAACCAAAGATTATGAGCTACATCAACAACCTGCACCCGCAGCACCATGCCGGCCTCTACACCACGATCGAAAAGGTGCTCGAGAAATCTCTGCCCATGTGGGATCTGATCTACAGATGGCACGAAGACTACGAGACCCTCCGCATCCCCTGTGGATCAGCCAGGAGGAAATGTCTGGTAAACTGTGCCTCATACTGCTGTCCCCAAAACCGCCCACTAGATCCAGACGAAGACGAGCGTGACGAGGATTATATCGACGACGCCGTCTACGAAAGCGACGAGGAGCCCAGCCGCGAAGTCGAGAGAAGAGACAAGATCTGGTACTCGGCCACCCACCCCATCGAGAAGCCGCCCGTCCCCGAGTACAAGCCCATGGAGCTCCAGCCCAAAGACGTCAACCTCACCTCGGGCTTCTTCAACCACGCCGACCGCATCCAGGTCATTGTCAAGCTCGCCAACATCCACCTCACGCCCGAGAAGCCTACGTACGACGGCGGGTCATGGCACATTGAGGGTCAGCTGAACGAGCACATCGCCGCCACGGCGCTCTACTACTACGACAACGAGAACATCACCGACAGCCACCTCGCGTTCCGCACCGTCGCCGATAAAGAAGAGCTCATGGGGGAGCTGAATTACGAGCAGAACGATTACTACAGCATCGACCGGACGTTCGCGATCAACTCCCACGCGGACACGAACCAGCACCTCGGCAGCGTGCTCACGCGCGAGGATAGGCTCCTCGCGTTCCCCAACGTCTACCAGCACTGCGTTGCGCCGTTCGAGCTCGTTGACAAGACCAAGGCGGGCCACCGCAAGATCCTCGCGCTGTTCCTCGTGGACCCACGGATCCCTATCATTGGCACGGCCAACGTGCCGCCGCAGCAGATGGGGTGGTGGAAGGAAGGGGCCACGCCGGGGGACAGGCTGGGATCGCTGCCGCCGGAGGTTACGGAGATGGTGTTTAATAATATGGATTTCCCGATTGGGATTGAAGAGGCGAAGAGGATACGGGCTGATTTGATGAAGGAGAGGACGACGATTGCCGAGGATGGGATGAGGATGATGACGAATGGGGAGTGGAACTTTTGTGAGCACTGAGTCTCACGTAACGGCCCGTTTTACATTGGCATTGAGGGAGGTGACCGCTCAAATGTCACGGCGGTGAAGGGAAGAAATCGGGAGCTACGATCAGGCGTTACTTCACCGGCCTGAAAGTTGGCACCAGAAATGTCAATAGCTGTGCAAATCGTCACAACCCAGCCTCAGCTCATAATTATGGTTGTGATCCGATTGGAGGATCGAACGGCATCTTGCTTTCCCGCAGTAAGACAAGTGGGTTTTGTCTCGTACTGTCTACCAATACGTTGGTTGATTGTGAGACATTGAGAAATTGACACCAGAGCACAAAAGAGGAACGCAGGTGACGGAGTCACCACAGTGGAACGCAAAGGCCAGAAAGGCCGCACAGTCACGGAGGTGCCAAAGCACCGAAGGGATACAAGCGGAGCGGAAGCAGAACGCAGGTGCTTTAGCACCGTAGTGGAGCGTGAGCGGGAGCGGTAGAGCAGAGCGGAGGTGGTGAAGCCACCGGATGCGGAGCGGGTTAGAGGGGTTCGGGTGCCCGGAGGTGGATGCGGAGCAGTCACCGCAGGGGGAGCCAACGAAGTGGAGCGCAGGCAAGGCGGAGCGCAAGCGAAGACGCAGCTGAAGTGCAACGCAGTGGAGCGACTTAAAAGAGAGGTTCTCACGACAAGCATTGTCAATGAACATCACGATAAAATACTATTTTAATTGAAGCTGTCCCAACAGCTGGAACACCTACGGCTTCGCCTTCGGAGTCACGGGGTTCCACCCCGTCCCCCAATTTTCACATCTCTACTTCAGTCCTCCGGAGGTGATCAGTTTAGTGGTAGCCGGGAAGCCCGGCCTAACTACTATTTGGGCAATAACCCTTCTAAGGGTATATAGTTCTACTTCATTTCATTTCATTCATTATCCTCCTTCTAGTCGGTTCAGTGGCCACCAAGCCACGGCGACCCAGCGCCTCCACCAAAGCAGGCACCAGCCGCTGCTCGCTGGCATCTAGGCAGAAACACTTACGGTCTACCACCGTATCGGTCCACAGCCGACGAGACCCAATCTCTGCCTCCACTTCTCGCTGAAGCTCGACCGACAGCTCCACCTGTCTGGCATCGATGGTGACACACACATCGAAATACTTCGAGTTCGACCCTCGAATGGGCCGGGCACGCAGCCACGCTGCCCTGTAGACAGACGCCTCCTCCGGGGCTACCTGACCAACCGAGCGCCCTGCGCTCATGGCCTCTCGGCCAACGCCAACACCTCCCGTGTTTGAAGGTTTTTAATGAGCTGCTTCCAGCTACCACTCAACTACCCGTTGAGACAAAGAGAAGAAAATGACCCACTTTCATCAAGTGTGGTTCTGACCCCCAGGTCATGGCTGACGACAGCTTCACCCGGCTCAGCACAGCACAACCCACGTGTGCACGGAAGGGGCCACCCAGCCCTCTATCCCCAAAAGACAATGCCCCGACTCAGCGGGCTCACAAGGAACGAAGCGTAGCGGCTGTCTCAGGACAGCGCGTAGTGAAGCTGACGCCACTGTTCGCTCCCCGAACAACAATAGAAGAAGAGTCTGTTGCTGGCTCCCGGCCGCAACCAGAGGAAAAGAAAGAAACAAAAGCTACCCATCTTTTGCACTCCGTTGAAGGGGGCATGCCCACCTTTAATAGTCTCTGACTGTCTCCCCCCTGGTCGTTCCATCTCACTCCGTTACGTTCATTGGTTCTCTGAACCCAGTACAGAGATCCACTCTCTGTCTGAACAACTAACCTAAACCGGTTAGATTAACAGCCTTCCAGTCCTCCGTCCTTCTCGGCTCTACTTCGGAAAAAGATAACACTTTTTCTTACCGATAAGCTTTTCTCGGGCCCTCGAAAAGGCTTCTAACAGCTAGACTAACATTTTTGCTGCGCTAATGTTACTGGGGCCCAAGGGCCATCGTCTATCAACAACAAACTATAGGGCCCGCTGCGCGTGCTTGATAGACGATGGACAGCCTTCGGCGACGAGGAGAAAAGGGCCTGCAGCCCGCACAATGAGTGAAGCGGAAGCAAAACGTAGGTGACCTGTCACCGGAGAGCAGCGCGAGTGCAGCGATGTGGGAATCGGGGGGGTGAGCAAACGCAGTGGAGCGAGGCAAGGCGGAACGCAAGTGAAGCCGTAGCTGAGAGCAACGTAGTGGGGCGAAATGGCGAAGCCATCGTGGAGGTGGTGCAGCCACCGTAGCGTAAAAGAAGAAGAGTTTAGCAACACTTATTGACAATTCACATCAAGAACACATGGAACACCTCCGCTGCGCTTCGGAGTCACGGGGTTCCACCCCGTCCCCCAATTTCACAACTCTACTTCAGTCCTCCGGAGGTGATCAGTCAATTGGTAGCCGGGAAGCTCAGTGGAAGCATACATTTGGGCAATAACTATCTTAAATAATAAAGTGTTTGTGCTTCAGCATACAAACAGAGTCAAGTTAAATCAAGTCAAATCAATTCACAATCAGGTATTACTATAAACGTATCACTACTGGAGCCTTTCCAGGTCCGCCGGGCTCCACGCCCCGTGCCTCTCGGCCTACACATCACCGTGCACTCCTTCTCAGTCGCTCAACCTTCCCCTCTGTCAGTCTGCCAACACTCTCCCAGTACTCCTCTCCGGTCAAACAAGGGCGCGCACCTGCCCCTGCACTCTCCTAGAGCATAGTCGGAACTCCGTCCTGAGCCAGGTCGGCATCGGCATCTCTCCGCCGAAAGAGACCTTGCGGTTGACACACAACCACGTGAAGCGGAGTCGTGCCCACGACACAAAGCCAGCTTCCGGGTGCTCACACACCACGCCCGTGCAGTACTGCACCATCGGACTCGTCCTCCATGTTTCCAACGACAAATGGAACGACATATCCCATGTCTCAGCTACCGACTGAAGGAAACAAACGGGTCTGGCGGCCAACACCAGCACAAACACCCCCGGATGTGGCTCTCCCTTGCCTCTCTCGGGCAAGCACGGCGGATCAACGCAGAAAGAAAAGCACACTTTTCGCAAGCCCCCCTGGCTACTATACAGCACGTCCACCTTCTGCTCGAAGGCCCGTCTAAAGTCTCTCGACGTCAAATCCGTTCTCCACGGATACAGCAACAGAACACCTGTCTGAGCCGACTCCATCGACTGCTCCGCCTTAAACAGGGCTTCCCGCCCTTGAAAGCAGCGCGTGCAACAACCCCATCCTGGGAACGATACCTTCTCACGACCAGCCAACTGGTCTATGCGGTGCTCAACTCCCCGATCGAAGCTCTCACAATCTATCCAACACCCAATGTTGGATCTGCTCCTACGGTCCACTAGGACCATGGTGACTGCTCTGCAATACGTGTATCCTACACGATCCGCTCCGCTTGGAGTGAATCCAAAAAGCAACCCCGTGCTCTGTCGTATCAACGCGCCCAGCGTTGAATGTGTGTCTCCGGTCCTCCGTCGGTCTGATCAAATCGATTCCCATCGAAGTTTTCTTTGCCAACACCAAGGCAAAGAGTGAAAGAAAAAACCAAAAGTGTCCTCCCTTTTGTGCCCTAAGGCGGGCGCATGGGATGCTTTAAATACTCTCCGAGCTGCTCCTTCCCGTCACTCATTGGTTGTCCCAACCCCACAGAAGCAAAGACCCATCTTTGTCATTCCATACCTAACCAGGTTTGGTTAGTCTACTTCACTCCCACTCCTCCGTCGTTCCGTTCTTATCGATAAAAAAGATAAACCTTTTTTCTACTGATAAGCCTTTCTCGGGCCCTCAAAACGGCTTTTAACAACTAGACTAACAAATTGGCTGCGCCTTTGTTACCAGGGCCCAAGGGCCATCGTCTATCAACAACAAACTATAGGGCCCGCTGCGCGTGCTTGATAGACGATGGACAGCCTTCGGCGACGAGGAGAAAAGGGCCTGCAGCCCGCACAATGAGTGAAGCGGAAGCAAAACGTAGGTGACCTGTCACCGGAGAGCAGCGCGAGTGCAGCGATGTGGGAATCGGGGGGATGCGAAGCGCGAGTGAAACGGAGCAAGGCGGAACGCAAGTGAAGCCGTAGCGAGAGTGCAACGGAAGCGAAGCTATCACGAAGGTGGTTTACCACCGCAGGGATCAAAGAAGAAGAGTTTTACCACAAACATTGACAATTAATCTGTCCGAACAGCGGAACACCTCCACTTCGTTCCGGAGTCACAGGGCTCCGCCCCGTACCCCAATTTCACATCTCTACTTCGGGCCTCCGGCGGTGATCAATCAATTGTCACTATGTAATAACAGTGGAAGCATACATTTCAGCCTAACTATCGTAAATAATAAAGTGTTTGTGCTTTAGCATACAAACAAAGGAAGGAACAACATCACGGTAGACCAAGTCAAATCAGACCAGCTAGGTCAAAACAATTCAATTTCATACTCTATTATCACTAAAGAAGCATCCTTCACAGGCTGTCTACATCACTTCATTCTATTCCGATCAATCTGCCTCGTTGCGTTTCACTCCACTCCAGCTCATCACTTCGCTTGCACCGGTCGGCCTCCCTCGGCCTCTACGTCTCCCAGAAGCTGTCCCAGCCAGGCTACAAACCTTTCACCGGCTCCGCTCCACTGCGCATCCTTCCAGTCACCCTCGTACTGCAACCCGCAGACATCGGCAAAGAACACCCTGAGTGTGGCCACAAGCCAGACGACCTTTCTGCAGGTCATAGCGCCCTTCGGAAGCTGCCAACCAGCGGGCACTCCGTACCCAACAAGCCTCCGCCTCACCACAGGCTTAGCGGCAAACCACCGACTCTCCAGGTCTGCGTCGGGTCCGTGTCATCAGTGACTGAGGCTTCCATCCAGTTGGCCGTGTTCCACACTTACAGCCCAGCAAGCATCTCGCGATGATCAGCGCGGGTTCCACCACCCTCTCCCGTTGCGCTTCGCTCCACTCGTCAAAGTCGGCCACCAGGCCTCCATCCGCACAAAACGAAGTGGAACGGCCCAAGCGTTCGTCCAGATGCCCACTGTCATCTCCAAACAGTGGCTGCCACCAGTAGGCCAGGTCCTCTCGGACATCATCCCAGATGAGCGACACCTCCGGCTCGCAACAACCCGTGAACACACTTCCCAGTGTCGACAAGTCAGAAAACAACGACTCCGTCTCTGTCCGGCTCCACACCGGCTGTGCCATCACCAGCCCCGTCGTCTTTGCTTCCCGCAAAGAACCAGAAAGAACCCTCTTTTGTTCACACAAAAAGCGTACTGCCGTCAATTCCTTCTCTCAAGGAACCCGTTCTCACTCCATCAGTCTCCGGCTGACTGTCTGTGCTGCGCCTCGAGGCTGGCCATCGCTCTGCTTCGGTCTTCCCGACCACTGTTTTTGTTCCAACAAAAAGGGAATAATCAAAACAACAAGGGTTTTGAAATATGAACGAACCCAGGTTCTGTTGAACTCCCTCCGGCGGGCATCACTGCCTTTATATCATTCCATGAGTCTTACTCCGTTACGTTCATTGGGTGCCTGCACCCTTGCAAACATTTACCCATAAATGTTCTGCCACACCTAACCTATTCAGGTTAGTCTTACAGCCTCCCGGTCATCCCTCCCTCCCGGCTTTACCACGGCAAAACTGATACCAGTTTGCTTACCGATAAGCCATTCGAGGGCCCTCAAAATGGCTCTTAACAACAATAGACCACAAATAGCAAGCAATTTGTTAGCAGGGCCCAAGGGCCATCGTCTATCAACAACAAACTATAGGGCCCGCTGCGCGTGCTTGATAGACGACGGACAGCCTTCGGCGACGAGGAGAAAAGGGCCTGCAGCCCGCACAATGAGTGAAGCGGAAGCGAAACGCAGGTGATTCATCACCGGAGAGCAGCGCGAGTGCAGCGATGTGGGAATCGGGGGGAGGCGTAGTGCGAGTGAAGCGGGAACGCAGTCGAAGCGTGAGCTGAGACGCAGTGGGAGCGTAGCGGAAACGAAGCCATCGTGAAGGTGGTGCAGCCACCGTAGGGATCAAAAGAAAGAGTTTTCAGCAAAAACATTGTCAATCACAATCACGAACACATTGAACACCTCCACTTCGTTCCGGAGTCACGGGCTCTGCCCGTACCCGAATTTCGTATCTCTACTTCAGGCCTCCGGCGGTGAACAGTTCATTGTCACTATGTAATAACAGTAGAGGCATTATTTGGGCGATAACGTTCTTTAACAAACCAACAGAACATCAAGAGGACCACCATCTGAGCTTTCGCCATCAAACAGACAAACTGAATTCAAATACCAGCACTCTGTAAGCAACTAGCCGTCGCAATCACCACTTCCTCCTTGGCGCCACAAATCTTTCTGTGGCTTACATGCTCGTCCCACTCCGCTAATGCCTGACAATCTCCGATGAACGTCCTTCGTCCTTCGTCCTCCGTCTGCCTCTTACAATCTTGCAGTCGTGCCCCCTGGCACTCCGTCTCCAACAAACCACATTTAAAAAATGTGTAACAATAGCCTCCCGGCCTTACAGAAGACCAACCTGGCAATGTTACCAGCTAGCGCCTCCTGGGCTAATCCACTCCGTTTTGTAGCCCTGCATCCGCCTTCGGCTCGGCGGTGAACTCATCCTCTGAGTTTAGGAACATGTTGCATCTGCACCGCAGTAAGCTGCCTGCTTAGACCACAGGTCACGGCACACGTCGCGCGACGACGTACCTTGCCATCATCAATGATGACCATTCCCATTCCGGGCCTTCCACCAAAACCCTGTCCCAGGTTCTTCACCACTCCTAGGTGAGGGCGATAGGTCGGGTGCTCCCGAAACCCGACTGGACAGTCAGACTTGTACTTCCACATGAAGTCCGCGCTACCTCGTTCCTCAACGGTGCAAATGCAGCCCTCCGGTGTAGCAAACCGCCTTGCTTGTTGCTCGGCCTGTTCTACGGCCTGGTCGCTGCCGCTAGACCCTTGACCCTTGGCCTCCGGCTCCGGGTTCGATGCATCCGCCATCTGATGCGCAGGCTAGATGAGTAAAGATTCCATCTTGACGGACTCCGTCCCACAACCACCCCGTTGACAACAAGACCGGTTACTCACCGGTACCAGGTATGATCCCGATCAACAAGTCCTCCTGACTGTAAAAGTGATTCCCGTCGCAGCGAGAATGAAGGACAAAACGTAAAAAATCTACCAAGATTTGTTTACTTTACCGACCGAGTATACAAAACTCAGCGTTCTGATGTCTCACGACTATCGGCTACCCGCCTGTTATAAGGCCGCCCTCTAGGTCGGATCCACTCTGCGTCTGTACACTAGCGTCCCCGCTCATTTGGCCTCTAGCCAATGAGAAGTCATCCTGACGGAAACCTTCCCGTTTCTAGCGCACTCCATACGTCGCAAAGTAACCCACCCTTTCCCAAGTGGTGGTCCGCTCCCGCTCTCCCTCACTCTCGTTCGAACAGGGGCTTCTCAGCCCATCCTGCCGGATCAACATTGACTCGATTACCGAGTCACTTACAGCCTCCCGCCTCGTCCCTCGCTCCCGGCTTTACCACGGAAAAAGCCAAAGCTTTTTCTTAGTCACCAGCATTTTTGTGAAGGGCCATGGCCCCAAAAAGTGCTCTAACAGCTAGACACCAAATTTAGCTGCGCATTTGGTACCGGGCCCAAGGGCCATCGTCTATCAACAACAAACTATAGGGCCCGCTGCGCGTGCTTGATAGACGATGGACAGCCTTCGGCGACGAGGAGAAAAGGGCCTGCAGCCCGCACAATGAGTGAAGCGGAAGCAAAACGTAGGTGACCTGTCACCGGAGAGCAGCGCGAGTGCAGCGATGTGGGAATCGGGGGGGTGAGCAAACGCAGTGGAGCGAGGCAAGGCGGAACGCAAGTGAAGCCGTAGCTGAGAGCAACGTAGTGGGGCGAAATGGCGAAGCCATCGTGGAGGTGGTTTACCACCAGAGCGTAAAAAAGAAAGGTGTTTAGTACAAACATTGACAATTACGTTATCCTAACACATTGAACTGCCTACGCTGCGCTTCGGCGTCACGGGCTCTGCCCGTACCCGAATTTCACATCTCTATCTCGGGCCTCCGGCGGTGTCCCAGTTCATTGTCAATCACTTAATAGAAGGAGAAGCATACATTTGGGCATTAACTATCGTTTGGGCGATAACGTTCTTAAAGAATAGAGGGAGACATCGTTTGTGCTTTAGCATACAAGAGGTCGGAGAAAAATATGGTCACATCAACACCGATCAAGGGGCGACACCATCGATTGGTTCATTTAATCTATCACATTCACATATTCATTACATGGTGGGTATTCCATCCCACTTACTCCTTGCCGTCGGCTCCCCTCCGGCCAGGTCTTCCCGACCAACTACACTTTTCCGATTCCATCGAGAAGCCGCCCTTGGCTACTCTGCCGACAAACTCCACGTTTGACCAAAACCAAAACAGAATCGACTCCGTCGTGCCGCTCACGCTCCCTCTCTCTGTTCGGGCTCACTAGTGCTTTCCTAGACCAGACTTCCGTCAGCCACGTTGCGGCTATGCTCCACCGCATACTTCTTCCCAGAGAGAGTGACACCACTCAACCCCGCGCCTTCCACGGAGACCAGCCCCAGGCTGTAGTGCACTGAGCGTGCCAGCAAAACACAACTGACTCCGTCAAACACCAACTGTTCACACAGGATGAGGCGTCCCCCGCCCTGTCCCTCCGGGACCTGGTTGCCACCGAACCCGCTCTCGCGTACGACAACCTGTTCCACAACACCTACAAAGTGGGCATCCTCCAGGGATGACTGACGTGCCACGACGACGCCTGCATCGATTCCACCCCGCCCTTCGCAGGGCTGCTGCCTCTCCGGGCACGCATCGAGAAAAGGGACCAGCTGCTCAGGCTCAATGGCCTTTGCCCACTTCCGCGTGGGGTAGTAGCGGTGCTCCTCCTTGTCGCCCTGATGTGTGTCGCATCCTGCGCGGTAGCAGCCCGTCCAATGGTCTGCCGTACACCGACTCCCGTCCGTCGACTCTGTCGTAAAGCCTCGCGGCTCAATCACTCCGTGCTTCAAGAGAAGAGCGATGCCCACAGCATCTGACGCATTCCCAAGAACACCGGCCTCCTGCCTCATGTTTGTCGTCGTCTCCTCCGTCCAACTGTAGCACTCCCTGCTCAGCGTTCCACTCGTTACGGTGTCCCACCCATTGCCTCGGGCAAGAGCAAACAAAAGAAAAGCGAAAGACTCCAGCTTTCACGACCGACAGTGCCCTTTTGGTAAAAGGGAAACGAAAAGAACCAGTTCATTTTTCCCCCAAGGGTGGGCATTGCTGCCTCTTATACTTCCAGTACTCTCACTCCCGCTCACTCAATTGGTTCTCTGAACCCTGCCACAAAGACCCCACTTTGTGTCAATACCACTAACTTATTCAAGTTAGATTAACTCATTCCCAGTCCTCCGTCCTTCCCATGATTACTAACGCAAAAGATAAGACTTTTTTCCTACCGATAAGCCATTCGAGGGCCCTCAAAATGGCTCTTAACAACAATAGACCACAAATAGCAAGCAATTTGTTACTGGGGCCCAAGGGCCATCGTCTATCAACAACAAACTATAGGGCCCGCTGCGCGTGCTTGATAGACGATGGACAGCCTTCGGCGACGAGGAGAAAAGGGCCTGCAGCCCGCACAATGAGTGAAGCGGAAGCAAAACGTAGGTGACCTGTCACCGGAGAGCAGCGCGAGTGCAGCGATGTGGGAATCGGGGGGGTGAGCAAACGCAGTGGAGCGAGGCAAGGCGGAACGCAAGTGAAGCCGTAGCTGAGAGCAACGCAGTGGGGCGACATAGCGAAGCTATCACGAAGGTGGTGCAGCCACCAAAGTGCAAAGAGGAACGCAGGTGACGGAGTCACCACAGTGGAACGCAAAGGCCAGAAAGGCCGCACAGTCACGGAGGTGCCAAAGCACCGAAGGGAGAAGAGGAGCGGAAGCAGAACGCAGGTGCTTTAGCACCGCAGTGGAGCGCAAAGCGGAACGCAAGAGGCCACTCAGGCCGATACAGTCACGAAGGTACGGAGTACCGTAGGGATGCGGGGACCGGGGCGGAGTGAAGCGAAGCGGAGCGCAACGGAGGGGAGGCGTCAAGCCGGACCGCAGTGGAGTGCAGCGCAGTGCAACGACCAAAGAAAACTTTTTCACAGTAGCAACATTGTCAATCAACATCTCACGAGAACTTCATTCTATTAACGTGTTTCCGAACACTCTGAACTGCCTACGCTGCGCTCCGGCGTCACGGGGCTCCGCCCCATACCCCAAATTTCACATCTCTACTTCAGTCCTCCGGAGGTGTCCCAGTTCATTGTCAATCACTTAAGCTCAGCCTAACTACTATTTGGGCTTTACCCTTCTAAGGGTGAGGTTATTCAGAAAATTCATTCCAATTTGGGCTCTACCCTTCTGAGGTTGAGGGCCACACTCTAGTGCGGGCAACAGACTTGCTCTCGCACCTCTTCACCAAAGAGTTTGTGACTCCCGTCGCCTGTCTCCACAGGCCCAAAGGTTACCGACAGAACAATCTTCGCGGACAAAATGTCCCCCGTCAGAGCGGACACCAGCCGCTGCGAGCAGATAACGTCTCTGTACTGGCCTCCCGCCGACGCCTCACCAGAGGCATAAGCAAGCACCACTTGCTCGACGCAACTCTCACCCGGGCTACTTAGCCCTGTAAACCCAAGGATGCACTCATGCACAACCCACTCCATGTACTCACCCGCTGGTTCGTCGCCTTCGGCCTGCCTCCACTGGAGGTAATCGACCAACTGGCCCGCGTTGGCTGCTGGGTTCCACTTCCTGACCGGATAGTAAGCGTTCCTCCGCTTGTCCTCTGCGTGTTTCCCACACTCCGAATCGCAACAGTTCATCCAGTAACTGTCCTTGCACCGGACCCCGAACCCTCTCGGGTCAACCGCCCTGCTCTCTTTCAAAGGACCCAGTCCTGTTAGCAAAGGCCACCCGGCCATAGAACTACCGTCTAAAGGCATCTTGCCCGTGTCGCTCCCCAACATCTGCGTGTACCGGCTTTTGGTCCCAACCAAATAGGAGAGTTCTCCCAAGAACAAGAAAAAAGGAAAAACGAAACAAAACCAAGAGTGTTTCGGGGAAAGAAAGAACCAGTTGCTTTCTGGCTGTCCAGCGGGAGGGGGCACCCTCCTTTTAAACCACTCCATGGATCTCACTCTGTTCTAACAGTCTCGCTCCCACTCACTCAACGGTTGTTCACCAACCCCGGTCCAATAAACCCACTTATTGTACATCCAGTACTAACCGCTTGCGGGTTAGTGTATGCCACCCAGTTCGTCCCTCCTTCCATGGCTTACTAAACAAAAAATGCTGACTCATTTTTCCTACCAGATGCTTTTCTCGGGCCCTCAAAAAGCCTACTAACACGAATACTGCAGCTTTTGCGGGCAAGCTGTTACCAGGGCCCAAGGGCCATCGTCTATCAACAACAAACTATAGGGCCCGCTGCGCGTGCTTGATAGACGATGGACAGCCTTCGGCGACGAGGAGAAAAGGGCCTGCAGCCCGCACAATGAGTGAAGCGGAAGCAAAACGTAGGTGACCTGTCACCGGAGAGCAGCGCGAGTGCAGCGATGTGGGAATCGGGGGGGTGAGCAAACGCAGTGGAGCGAGGCAAGGCGGAACGCAAGTGAAGCCGTAGCTGAGAGCAACGTAGTGGGGCGAAATAGATGAGGTTATCACGAACAGCTGGAACACCTTCGCTACGCTTCGGAGTCACGGGGTTCCACCCCGTCCCCCAATTTTCACATCTCTACTCCGGTCCTCCGGAGGTGATCAATTCATTGTCACTAAGCAAGTAAGAGGAGAAACATCATTTGGGCATTAACTATCTAACAAGAACAAAGGCTTCTTCACGTCTACGACTACCACGGGAGAGTTCTTCAAATACTCCCTCACGTGCTTATCCTTCCGGGGATCATTGTCCTTATTACATGTCCATATTGTGGGTTTACCCCACTCCATAACCGACTCGTGTCGATATTTACCGCTCACAACAATGCTTCGCTGTCCACCAAGGAACTCGCGCCAGCGCTTAAAGCCCTTCACATCAATGTCGTTCAACACAAGGTGAGTGCAGTCATTCGACAAGGCGTCAACGCACCAGGAATGCGTCATCTCCGCAGGCTTCCCGAAAGACATCGCCCACTCCGTCTTGCCACACCGGGCAGGACCTCTAATGATAAGAGCTACCGGACGACCACCAGCGTCGCGGTCAAAGTTGGCTGCCTTCCACTGAAGCAGCTCCTCGGGCACTGCCCAATCGTTCACCTTGAAGTTAGCTTTATGTGGCACCGCCACCTTCAGTTTCTTGCTATTCAAGAAAGCAGAGTATGAACAGTAGTTGCGAACATAATCGCGGGGAACCTTAGTCTCGAACAGCGTCTTCGCTTCCTCGTAGCTGGCCGACGCAATGGCCTCCCGATAGATGTCGTCCTCCGCCTTACGCTTCGACGACTGCACCTCCGGTGGAATTCGGTTCCCGAAAATGAACTTGTTGCCCTCCTTGGCACAATAGGCTTGCGTCGACCCAAGAAACACGGCCACCGAATCCTTCTTCTTGCGGGGCCTGAACTGAATTGAAGTAGTGTCGACCACACGGTCTTCCTTTCCCTCCACGGGAATCCAAACACTGAACTTCCGACGCGCATCTTTCCAGTGGATGCGGTCACTAAAGGCGAACACAACGTGGTAATGAGGACTCCCGTCCTTATGCAATTCCATTGCTCCATAACAGCTAAACTCCACAGTTTTAGATCCCTTGTCACCCGACAACGCAGGCATCTGAGCCTGTAGGGAATCCGTCAAGTACTCGAAAAACTTCTCGTGATCGCCAACCTGGCTACGATTGTACGTGACCATCACGTACCGTCCATGAAACAGATAAAGACCCTCCGTGCCTTCCCCGTTCTCCGGATCAATATCGCTATCCAGCGAACGAGAAGCATCATCAGCTGTCCCAGCCTCCGAGGAACCATCGTCTGACCTCGGTGTGACGACATCGTCGTACAACACGTGAACCAATTCACTGTCCTCCATCGTCTTGCACCACGCAAACGATTCAAAAACAGAAAGGAAAGAATGCAGCCTCCAGCTTTGCATTGTCCCCCCAGACATGGGCATCCTGCCCTTATAAGACTCCTCGTGCCCCCACTCGGTGTCAGCCTGCTGAAGTAAGCAGCAGGACCCACAGCCTCCCGCCTCGTCCCTCGCTCCCGGCTTTACCACGGAAAAAGCCAAAGCTTTTTCTTAGTCACCAGCATTTTTGTGAAGGGCCATGGCCCCAAAAAGTGCTCTAACAGCTAGACACCAAATTTAGCTGCGCATTTGGTACCGGGCCCAAGGGCCATCGTCTATCAACAACTTGTTACTGGGGCCCAAGGGCCATCGTCTATCAACAACAAACTATAGGGCCCGCTGCGCGTGCTTGATAGACGATGGACAGCCTTCGGCGACGAGGAGAAAAGGGCCTGCAGCCCGCACAATGAGTGAAGCGGAAGCGAAACGCAGGTGATTCATCACCGGAGAGCAGCGCGAGTGCAGCGATGTGGGAATCGGGGGGATGCGAAGCGCGAGTGAAACGGAGCAAGGCGGAACGCAAGTGATTGATATATACTTGTATCAAACAATCTTGTTTGATCCATGCTTCTCACCAGCGCATATTCTAATCTGACTTTTGCTTGCCTTAAAATCGTCTACATCCAAGCGCGAATCCTCATACTACAACATGCTATGCTATCTACTCAACAGCTTCAAGCCCAAGAGGAACACCAGCCCCGGCCTCAATCCACAAAGTCACCAAGATATCTCAACCCCTGAAGAATGGCTCGCCCGCAAAGTTCGCGAAGCGACAACCAACTCCAACACTAGTAGCATCGACGACCTGAACCCAAGCCTCGCCAACCTCCGCAACACAGTCCAAAACGACCCATCCCTCGCCGCACTAGCAGACACAATGTTCATCCAAGCCGCCGCCCTCCGCCCCCGCGACCCAACAGAACAACCCGCCATCCAAACCTTTCGCCAATTCCTACAGGTCGTCAACGTCATCATGCGCCACGGGCCACAGTTCTTCGATAGACCAGGCAACGAGGACGCCATGGGCTTCGTGGCGGCGCCGATCAACGCGCTGCTGAATTGGCCGATGGGCACGGCGGCCGGGTATGAGTTCTTTCGGAGGCGGGAGGTGAATGAGGCGATGGGGAGCGTGTTGAGTGCTTGGGGAAAGTTTCTTGCCTCGAGGGCGTCAAGGGGATGTTTGAGGGGGTGGGTTTCTGCTTCTGGGCAGGTTGTGATGGCGGAGAGGGCTAATGCCGCGGTGAGGGAGGGTGAGGCGGGAGAGAGGTTGGGGTTTCAGGAGCTGTTTGTTTGTCCTGATGCTGAGGATACGGAGACGCTTGGATTCGAGTCGTGGGATGCATTTTTTGTGAGGCGGTTTCGGGAGGGGGTTCGGCCTGTTGAGTTCCCTGATGATGAGGACGAGGGTGACGAAAAGCTGTCCGGTGTGAGCGGCAGTACTAGCAACACCTTCGGTATCGAAGTCGACGACAACACCTCAGTCATCGTCAACGCGTGCGAATCGGCGCCGCTGCAAGTCGTATCCAACGTTGCTCTCCGCGCCGACGTCACGCTCAAAGGCCAACCGTACTCCCTCGTCGACATGCTCAACGGCAACCCTCTCGCGCCGCAGTTCGTCGGCGGGACAGTCTACCAGGCCTACCTGAGCGCTTTCAGTTACCACCGCTGGCACGCGCCCGTGAGCGGGCGGATTGTCGAGGTCGAGATGATTCCAGGGACGTACTTTAGCGTGAATCGGTACCAAGGCTTAGCCATGGCGGCTGGGGGTGATGGGGCTGATGGAGGTGACGCGGATCCACAGGCGCCGTGTATGTCGCAGGCGTATACCGCTTCCGTGGCGACGCGGGCGGTAGTGTATATCCAGGCGCGGAATCCGATGATCGGGACGATGGCGATTGTGTTTGTGGGTATGACGGAGGTGTCTAGTTGCGAGGTGACTGTTCGGGTTGGGGAGGATGTGGTGAAGGGGCAGGAGATTGGGATGTTTCATTTTGGGGGGAGTTCGCATTGTTTGGTGTTCCGGCCGGGTGTTGCGTTGAGATTTATTGGGAACCGGCCGCCTTGGGCCATGGGCCATGAGGCGAACAATAGGGTTAAAAGTGCTCTTGCTGTGGTTGCATGAGATTCAGGAATGGATAGCTGCTGTGATTGGCAGAGAATATGTATGAGCAAGTTCGAGACGACTGCCGAGATGAATCTACCACGTCTAGTCTTTGGTCCAGTGTGTTATTCTGTCACCAAAATGGGAAACCTGGTACTAGCAGAATGTGCAGAAGAGAAGCAATGCGCTAGAAGCCTCTTACAATTACGCATGGTTCGTACTATTTTCTATAATACATCTGAAGAACCAATCTCGTAGGTGACAACACCATCCATCTCGGTTCTTGCCTACACACAATCTCACTGATCTCATATGAGTCCGCATATACTAAGTATGCACCTAACATTTCGAGTCGCGAATCATAACGCTCCAATTGTCAGTGGGATGAAAAGCCTTGCCGCTGAACCCCTCGGAACCGTTCACAGAGCAAAGCCTGGAAAGTTGAGACGCCATCGTCGCAATGTCTTTGAAACTATCAAGTTTGATGGCAAAAGGGTTTTGGATATCCCGCGTCGCGGCGCGCTGTCAGCTACCAATATTCAATTGGATCGGATATCAAGAAGGCTTGAAGGAAAGCCCCAGACAAACTCACATTATTGCAAAACCAAATGGCCGTACCGTAGCTACAGCTGACCCGGCCACAGCTCTCCGGACCGGGGCCTGCTTGAGGCTGGCCCGGTACCCGAAGGAGAAGCGTCACTCCAGCGGCGACGATGGATGCGACGTTTGAGGGCTTGGTGTCGTTGCGAGTTACAATGTCCTTGGTGACGGTGGTTTCAACAATGGTTTGCTCGCTTCGTCGTTGGAGCGAAGACAATACGGACCGAATTGATCCTCTGCCTCTCGGACCGGCAACGTCGGCAGCGTCGTCAGGAAGTCTGTAATCGGGGTTGATTTGCTTGAGATGGGCGAGGACCCCCTCGACTGTGCCGTTGAAGTGGACTATCTCGCCTGGAAAAGGCTCGTATTTCCATGATGGGACGAAGGTTGTAGTGCCTGGTGCTGAATTGCTTCGAATTTTGACGTGTTTGCTATGCAGGGTGCGGCGGCACCGAACGGGACGACCGAGTTCACAGTACATTGGCATCGATATCGGTCCTACAAACACCTTCCGTGCCCACTAATTGGGATTTGAGGTGATAATCCATAGATATCTGCCAGGGTGTTCAAGCCTGGCAGATCAAGTCTCAAAGTTACACTTCTGAAACTCCAAATGTCCACCAATGTTTAAGTCTCTACCTCGTACTAAGCCGAACGGGCTTTTAACGATTTCTGGTTTGACAAAATCTTGAACCTTCTCTTCTCATCAAGTAAGTGCTATTTTCCTGCGGGTGTCAGTCTGTCTACATTGGAAGTTTGCTCCGTGTTGAACACACCTCATACGGTCGTCAACGTAAATAGACCCGGTTGATCCTTACCAGCAAAGACCAAAGCATGGTCATAGCTCTCGCCGTTGATATTTTCAGGGGTTTATAATGTGGCACAGCAAGGGAAAAGGGGCTATAGACAGCCGCGCCACTTCTCATTGTGTTGCTTCAAAGGCTCTTAAGTCCACGAGAAGACCTCAACGAATACACAATCTACGACTCTTTGCCTCGTCTGTGAACCAAAATCCAGCCGGTGACTCCGTTTTCCCGGAATTCAGCATTTCTCCTTCCATCCATCCCTGGACAAAACAGGTGCCACCAAATCTGTACACAGTCTGTCCATCTACACCGTCAATCTCTTGCAGCAAAACCGGCACAGAGCACGTCGCTATCAAGGCCAAAAGCCACGGTTTGCCCGACTTTGTATCCGAAATGTAGGCAGGCAGGAGGGCCATGTAACCCTTTTTCGTGATACAGAGCGCCCTCCCTCGCAGCACCGACTGTACGATATCGAACCACGGACGCCCTTCATAGCTGAAAGGCCACTCGTGCGTCGGGATATGGCGCGACTTTTCAGTGATGCAGTCATAGTTATACCACTCGTTCTGCTCCTTGGTCTTGTTATAGCGAGCGCCGAGGGCTTCCAGCTTATCCGGGTCCCGGTCGCAGCGTTCCCAGGCCGGGGTTACGTCGCCGTGAAACATGGCGATGGCTGCTTGCAACGGATCAGTGTAATTGTTGTCTTCACGGTTTTGATAGATCTTTGGTATGGCTGCCGTCCACTCTTGAAACTTGTAGAATGCGTCGGGGTCCGGCGGCTGGAACGTGTGTCCCGAGGGGATCTCACCAGGATCATCGATAATTTCGTCAATCTCGTCCAGGATGACACCGCGGCAGCTGAGAATGTCCCCTGCGAAACTGAAGAGCTCCTCCAAGTCGCGAAGCTGCCCGATCCCTCCATCTGCCGAGTATAGCTCGCCGTCCAAATCGTCCATCCGCATCATGGGCCTCATGGGAATTCTCTCTCGACGAACCAGGCAGCTTGTGGCTGTAGGGGCAGCCCAGTCCGGACACCACGACGGTACGAGGTTGTAAAAGCCATCTGTATCATGCCACGGCTCAGAGGCGGCAATGATATCGAGACTCCCGTGCTGCGTGGACCAGGCCGTTGCGAAATCGAGGAAGACCTGCTGGCGGCTTTTATTATAATCCATCTTGAACTGAAGACCCCTCTTATCCCTTGCCAAGTTCCACAGAGCGAAGATTTTGTCCCTGCCATCAGTAGCCTGAAAGTCTCGTGTGAGGATGGCAGCCTCGAGAAAGCCGGGACTATCCTTCCTCACATTTGGAGGGAAGAGGGACTCATAAAGTCTGCCTCCAGCCATCAGATGCCTAAAGTAGAAGAGCTTACGAATGAAGATGAGCTCGTCGTACGATAGACCAAACTGATCTAGTTGCGGGTCTGCGCTCATCATCTGCGTTCTGAGAACCGGGTTGAAGGCTATCATGGCTTGTAGATTGTACGCGGCGGCATCGAGGGATCCGAAAGCGACGGCTTCTCGGTTATCAACTATTACCGCGGGATCTGAGGAGATGGCAACCTCCTGGACGACCCAGACTCGTCTGAAGTAGGGACGACACAAAAACTTGTATAAAGCCGCGCAGCGCCCAGGGTAGATGTCCGGACCAATCTTGACGTTCCCCTTTCCGATGTCATACTCGCCCTTTTCGTTCATCTCAATCTTGAGCTGGTCCATCGGATACACAAACTCAAGCGCCTTATCAGTTTCGTTGCTGTGCTCACCAACGTAGCAGATGACTTGGGATGCGCGGTCGTAGATATCAAACATGCGCGGCACCTGTCTGGTGCGCTCGGCAACGTTGAGCTGGTCGATGCATACGGCATCAATCCAGATGGATACCGCCAATTTCTCGCTCCGTATGCTACGCAAGGCTTGCTCCAGATTCCGTCGGACCTGCATCTTCTGGCCGTTGACGACGATCTCGACCGTATCGCCAGGATTGCCCCAGGTGTATGACAAGGCATGGTAGACAACCTCGCACACCATGGGGCAGTGGGCCAGATGGGTGATGACTTGTGCATCGCGGTCCTCTGAAGGTGTGACGACGAGCATGCGGATCTCGTCGACGAGCGTGTCGAGCGGGACATAGTCGTGGTTCGTAACGGGCGCAACACTAGATGGACTTTTTCCTAGCTTGATCGGATAGACAGTAGGCAAGGTGAATTTTCGCGGCGGCTGCGACTCGTCGCCGATATAATGCCAGGTCTTGTCCCATGCTCGATACTTTTCCTGCATTCTTCTTTCGACTATACCCCTCTCGATCAACTCTGTGACGGTCTCGGTCATGCTAACGACCTGCGTGGCCTTTGCGTACATTGAGTCGAGAAAGTCGCGGGTCCAGTACCACTTCTTCTCCTCCCCGGAGGAGAACTCCTTAAGGCAGATATGCCGGATCCATAGCGTCACAGGCAGACGGTGACCACGAAAATACCTGAGAAAGACCTCAACCGAGGCCGGAACTACTAGTCCTTTGCCGTCAATCTCGATGGCATCCTGCAGCAGCCGGTATCCTCTACTATCTTTGACGGCGATAAAAGGTCCGGTATTGGCGAGCTGCCGCACTTCTATGCTGCATCTCACGTGGTTCTGTGGATCGCTCTTGTCGCCAGGACAAGGATGGAGGATGAGGAAGCGATGCTCTTGTGTATCGCGGTCGATGGGCGGATGTTCATATGCGGGAACGTCAAGTTCCCAGCAATCCTTTAGATCTTTGCGCAATGAGTTTACAGAGTTCCTCATGGTAATTCAGTTGGCCGATCAATACAGTTCTAGCAACACCATGCCTTAAGGACGCATACTGGGTGTTTTTAGGAGATTTGTGGCCGATTTTCATATCAAACCCGAAATTTGCTCTGTTAGGCATCAGCATTCGCTTTTTTTTAGTTCCAGAAACGAAGGAAGTGGCGATGCCTATTCGTAGAAACCAAGTAGCTATGCATAAGCGCTACTGCATGGCATTCCGAATTTACCCAATTAGCCGCCGTGCATAGGCTGTAAGTGGTCCACATTGTCAATTGGAAGCAGTTGTAACAAAACATTTAGAACATAGCAACGTAGGTGCCCTGAATAGTTCGCGAATTGAATTGTGTGGTGGGCATCTAGAGCACTTAATCGCGATGCGGATAGCCTCACACATCGGAACCTGGTTCGAGGGGTCTTACTACGTGATCTTTATTGTCGTATGCAAATTCCTCAAACTAAATTTCCAAAGGCTCAGGGGTAAAGAAATGGCCGTTAGCATGACTGATAGGTGCTGCAAACTTTTGAAGAGATGAAATCGGCCATGCTGGTTATATGAGTCAATAAATCGAGATGAGGTCGGAACTCCCGAAATGGCATCTCATAGTCTTGGGCAGCAGGACAACAAATATCACCTTGTTGAAGATTGCGCCAAGCAATAATTGATTTGGCGATGTCTTTGAACACTCTAGTGATGCGGAGCGTGAGTATCATACGTCCGTACTTCGTGTGGATATGTGATGAGTCGCAGGTTGGTGGTTCATCTGAAAGTAATAGAGTTGCTAATTATTTGCCTAAACTCAACTGGAGTGACAACTATCAGAATGTCATAGACGAACCAACTAACTGATATTCAAGTGATAATATGAAGGGTAAATCTGAGCTTCTCACTGTGTGATGAAATTCAGACGTCGTGACGTACGACAGCGGCAAGTTTTGCGACATGCGCTTCAGCCCCCAGAATGTAGACATTCTAACAAGGTTTGAGGCTCGACAGCTAATTTGACGGGTTCCCACAGCTATCATCGTAGCATTTCCCAATCTGGCGAAAGTTTTCCCGTCATTGTGCTTACGCATCCCATAATACATGAATCGCCGGAAGTATCACGATAGGACGTTGGAACGGAGTTTGAGTGTTATGTTTTAGTTCTCTTTTTTTTTTTTTTTTTTTTTTGGTTCAATGGGGTCTATGTTTTCTTGACACTTGCTTTGGCGCACCCACTACTCATCAAAGATGGTGGCGACAACAGCACCAGTGAGAGTGACCTGACCAACCTTGCCGCCCTCAGCTTCGGTGATGATCTTGCCTGAGACAAGGTCGCGCTTCCAGATGACGACGGTGCGGTTGTTCTGGTGACCGACGGCGATGAGGTCGCCGGCTTTGTTAATGGAGAACTGGCGGGGGGACCAGCCGCCGGAGGGAGCGAGCTGCACCAGCTCGAGGGAGCCGTCATCCTTGATGGCGAAGGTGGACATTGTGTCCGAAGGGCCAGAGCCGAGGACGGGGGAGTCGCGGAACGAGACATCGCGGTTCGAGACAATGATGAACTTTTGGTCGGGCTGTGTGAACAGAAAGAGAAAGAACCTTGTCAGTCAAGAAGTTCCCACAATAGAGTAATAATTATCAATCCGGATGCAGACTGCGCCCGCAGGACCTAATTTGGGAGGTGCATGAGGCCGTGGGGGCCGACCCAGGATTGAAATAAAGCCTAGAAAAAGATCTGCGACAGGGCAGGGGGGGACAATTCTTTCGAAAAAAATAAAAAATGAAATAGGAAATGGGGACCAAGAACGGAAAAAAACTCACAGTGATGGCAATCTCGCTTGTCGGGGCCTTGGTGGCAGGGTAGTCGGCGTTGACGGAGGGAATGGACGAGATCTTGGTGAAGGCGAGGCCGGTCTCCTTGTACTCGACCTTGTACGAGTAAATGAGCTGGTCAAGCTCGCCGTTGAAGAAGAAGACGACGTCGCCGTTGGCCATGGTCTTGAAGACGCCGTGGCGGGGCCCGACGCCGGGGCCGGTGACGAGGCCGTCGACCTCCTTGATCGGGGCGACGCTGTTCGGGTCCTTGGTGTAGACACGGACCCGGTCACCGCCGAGGTCGGCGAGGAGGACATATTGGTTCTTGGGGTCGATGATGACGTGGTGAAGGTAGCTGAGGTCCTGACGAGCGGTCACCGGGCCGGGCTTCTCGAGGGTTGGGTAGAACTCCTGGAGCGGCGCGGTGCCCGGGAGAGCTCCCTTCTCGCCGAGAGCGATGACGGAGACTGCGCTCTTGTTGCTAGTTGAGACTTCATGTCAGCTTGAAACTTTTTGTTTACTATGTCGCTAAGGTACAGATTAAGTTGCAGGTCATAGTGCGAGCAACCGGTGGGAGTCAAAGTCCGAGTAGCCGGTGGGAGGCCTTGCGGAAGTTCTTCTAGAGACGCTTAACTATCCCACCGGAAGCGCCAAAATAAACAACACACGGACACAATTGCAGTGCTTATTTCGACGTTGACAGCTTGGAACTTACTATGAAGCAGTAACATAACCACGAGCACCAGACTCAGTGGTGACGATCTCACCAGCGACACCGCTGGCGGGCGCCGGGATGCGAGCGATGCGGGTCAGGGCGCCTCCATCCCCAATGGAGAAGGAGTTTAGTGAGCCGTTGGGAACCGAGTTGGAGCCCCGGTCGAGGCAGTAAAGGATCCGGTTGGCCGAGTCTAGCGTGAGCCAGGCTGGGTTGACCTCACAGTCTGCCGACTTAGAGGCGACGGATAAGCTCGCGTTGGCGCCGGTAGTGAGGGAGAGGGTCGTGACATTTCCGCCCGAGTCGGCTGCGTAGAGGGTGATGGCGTTGCAGGAGGCTGCTAGAAAGGCGGAACCTGCCAAGAGGCTCTTCATGGGTGAGGTGCGCATGGTGGATGGATTAGAAGCCGAATGTGTAAGCGGAAAAGGGCAGTCTGGGAAGAAATAAATGCGCTCAAGTGAATGAAGGAATGGGAAAGGATGGACAAAATGAGTGGATTTTGGTGTAATGAGCGAATGTGGTGATGCAGAAAACAGGCAGGTCAAACGTAACCGAGAGGTGGGTAAGCGGCGATTTAACTGCAAACGAGGTTGGTGATGGAAAGGATGAGAATGAGTGGATTCGGACTCTTCTGGTCCAAGTCTTTTTTTTCTGAAAAGAGCGATGGGAATTTCTGCTTCCTAGTCTGCCAAGTCTTCGCAATAGCACTCCTTCATCTGGGATCGTGAACCTGAGGGGATCCGAAACCTGTTAATATAGAGACACAAAAGGTAAAGAATGCAATCGGATGGCTCCGAGCTTCAGAGTCGCAATTGCAAAGCCCAACTTTCAACTGGAACCTGCCAAGACTCTTCCTCCCAACGTGCCGGTATTCACGGAGATTTCAGGGGCCCTCCAGTTTTTGCCTGTTGTTCCTCAGTCTTCTGACTCGCCTTTCGAACGTTGTTTAACAAGACGCCTCATCGCCAAGACCAAACCGTGTGTTAGTTGCTATAACGGTCAGTAGCTAAACTCCGCGTGCGCTCCCCAAGGTGGTAAGGGTCAAAACTCCGCGAGTGTGTGGGGGCCAACAGTTGGCGTTAACCGTTCCCCTTGGTGTCGACTATTGCCGCTGCTACACACTACTTCTGCTGTGCCTGGTCTGAAGAATATCTGGCGCCTTTTTGCGCCCCAATGACAAAACCTTAAAAAACGGGCGCCGGGGTGGTCGGTAGTGCCGAAAAGGGGGACGGGCTCCGGTTCCAGACTGACGGCGACCTAAGGAAGACGCTTGGAAGCTAGGTTTGGCCTGCTTCATGGGGTGAATCGCCCGGACAAGGTTCTACGCTTTGAGTAGGTCAAGAGGCTGAGCGGTCAGCGCCAAGACCTAATACAGAACCAGATTGATTGATATGATTAAACAAGGCGTGATCGATACTTCTCCCTGACTCTGGAGCCTCAGTGAATTGGTCGTGGAGTCGTTGACAGTGGAACTACGCCAAGTTAGGGAGGGGACAGACGCCAAGGTCGGGTAGCACCGTGGCCCTGGCTTGGAGAGATATTTTGACTTTGAGACGGATATCGAGTGTAAGGCGACGGCCGAGGACCCGAGACCGATCCCCAGTTCCTAAGGCGTCTCTACGTGAATATCCGTACGAGTAGCCTGTACGGAGTAGAGGGGCCCTCAACGAGATGGTCCCATATATCCCACGCTAAGTATAAGACGAACCCGCGTAAGACTCGGACTCTGATCATGGGTTTGCGTCCTTAAGCCTCACAGCTCAAGTCTTCACGATCTCCATCTTTTGATCCTTACATTCGTTTCTTTACTACCAGGCTGTATAGACCTGTACATACTACAGCCATGGATTCCACATTCTCTCTTAGACGCTTTGCCGTCGCTTCGCTCCTTTGTGCTTCTCCCGCTCTTGTCAGCGCGCAGGCCGAGAACAAGGCCGCCGCTCTGCAGTCCTGCTTGACCACCGCCGGTGTCCGCAACGTCATCAGCACCGATGCTACCTGGGCCGATGAGACCACCGGCTTCCAGAAGCGCATCAAGGTCGACCCGGCTGCCATCTCCTTCCCCGAGAACAAGGACCAAGTCGCCCTGTCCCTTGACTGCGCTCGGAATGCTTCCACTTCGGCGTCTCCCCTCGGTGCCGCCCACTCGTTCCAGGCCTACGGCTTCGGAAACTCGGGCAGTTTGGTAATCAGCATGGCTGCCTTCAACTCCGTCTCTTTTGACGCCGCTACCAACCGCCTCACCTACGGCGGAGGTTCCCACGTCGGTCCCGTTCTCAAGGACCTTTGGGACAACCACGGCCGCCACTTCCCCCACGTCCGCGGCGCTCATGTCGGTCTCGCCGGCTCCAGCATCGGCGGTGGCTATGGCTCTTCCTCCCGCCACCTGGGTACTCCTATGGATAACCTCGAGTCCGTTGAGTACATGCTGTACAACGGCACCATCGTCAACGCCGCCAAGGGCTCTGACCTCTTCTGGGCCGCTCAGGGTGCCGGTGCCTCCTACGGTGTCCTTCTGTCCGTGACCACCAACACTCACAAGCCCCTCTTCGACACCGCCGTCAACTTCACCATCGCCGGCGGCCAGCTCGACTCCACAGCCGCTGCCAAGGCCGTCATCGCCATCCAGGAGTTCTCCCTCTCCAAGGACTGCCCTGATGAACTTGCTCTTCGCTGGTCCCTCAGCGGTCCCCCTTACACCGGCACTGGATACTTCTACGGCAACCCGGCCGACTTTGACACCGTCATCGCGCCCCTCGTCACTGCCCTAAAGGCTATCGGCAGCAACGCCACTGTCGCTAAGACGGAGCTGCCCTTCTGGGACATGGAGGTCGCCGTCGCCGGCGCCGGCATGAACCAGCCCAACGGCGGCACCCTCGGCGGCCGCTCCTTCTACACCCAGGCCCTGACCATCACCACCGACCACCCCCTGACCGAGGCCCAGGCCAAGACCCTCTACGAGAGCACCACCATTGCCTTCAACCGCACCGACCTCCGCAAGTCCGGTTTCCTTGATCTCTGGGGCGGCGTCTCGCGCGACATCTCTGACGCCGACACCGCCTACGCCCACGGCAAGAACCTCTGGCTCATCCGCTGGGAGGCCAACTCTGTTGATGCTACCTCCTACCCGGCTGACGGCACTACCTATATGAAGGGACTTATCAAGCCCTTCGAGGATGCTCTCGTTGCCGGCGGCGCGCCCCTCCGTGGTTTCGTCAACTATGCCGATACCGAGCTCTCTGAGGCCGAGTGGAGCTCCCGTCTCTACGGCTCCAACTTTGACCGTCTCAAGCAGCTTAAGACTGTCTACGACCCCGAGGGTGTCTTTGTCAACCACAAGCAGGCCATCCCCCTTCCTTGAACGGTGGTAGCACACTTTTCATGATTCTTGGATATACTTTACTAGGGAATAGCAGGGAAAATTGACAGAATACCAGCGGTTTCGACCGGATTAGCCAAAGATTGATTTCATTTCTCATCTTCTTCTACCGCCAGTGCCAACAACAGCTTCCAGTGACGTTACCTTGTGATTGTGTCATGAACGCGTCTTGGCCGAAATCCTGTTTGAATCTTCCATCGTCGTTTCTATTCTTCGCAAACTTGTAAACAATGAAGTTTCAAAAACTCTCCGTCTAAAGTGTCCATGCTTTCCAACATGAGGCGTGTCTAACGCGTAGCCCTCTGTGCGGAGAAGAGCATCATGCTTCTCCAACTTCTCCCCTCAATCCCTGCGGGGTAAAATTCCACAATCCACACAAGTTAGCAAGTGGAGTTCCTTCGGTAGACATTCTCACGAATCACTCATTCCCGGCTAAATGCAACTTGTGGAGGCGTGGGGTTCAATCATCTCAAAGGCTCAACTCGCTCTTGGCTAAGTTGGCTTTGAAGAGCCGTTTTCGATAAATATTGACCTCGACCTTCGTTGCCTCGGAGGTGACTGTTGGCTTGGTTCTCGAATTCCTGCATTGATCACCAGAAATAGTTGTCCTCTCGAAAAACGAGTCCACAATGCCTCAAGTTAGAAACCCAATTCTTCCTGGGTTCAACCCGGATCCCTCGATATTGAGAGTCGGAGATGACTACTACATCGCGACATCAACCTTTGAATGGTTTCCCGGCGTCCAAATTCACCACTCCAAGGACCTGGCAAACTGGGAGCTTGTAACGAGGCCGTTGAGTCGCAAAAGCCAGCTCGACATGCGCGGCGACCCAGACAGCTGCGGTGTCTGGGCCCCCTGCCTCTCCCACGACGGCGACAAGTTCTGGCTCGTCTTCACCGATGTCAAGCGCAAGGACGGATCCTTCAAGGACACTCACAACTACATTGTCAGCGCGCCAGCCATCGAAGGGCCCTGGTCTGACCCCTTCTACATTAACTCGTCCGGCTTCGACCCGTCCCTCTTTCACGATGACGACGGCCGTAAGTGGTTCGTCAACATGATGTGGGACCACCGCCGCCGCTTCCACGCCTTCACCGGCATCGTGCTCCAGGAATTCGACCCGAAAGCCGGAAAGCTCGTCGGCCCAAAGAAGAACATCTTCCGTGGTACAGAGCTGGCTCTTGTGGAGGGCCCGCACCTGTATAAGCGCAACGGCTGGTATTACCTTTTGACCGCCGAGGGCGGCACCGCGTACGAGCACGCTTGCACCCTCGCTCGTTCCCGCGATCTCTGGGGTCCATACGAGCTTCACCCGCACAAGTACGTCATCACGTCCAAAGATGCACCTGATGCGGCGCTCCAGCGCGCTGGCCACGGCGATATCGTGGACACGCCCGACGGCAAGACGTACATGGTTCACCTGACGGGGCGTCCCACGACGGAGAAGAAGCGTTGCGTTCTCGGGCGCGAAACCGCGATTCAGGAGGCGTACTGGGGCGACGATGACTGGCTCTACGTCAAGAACGGCCCAGTACCGTCTCTGTACGTCGAAGTACCTGGAACCAGAGACGACACTTCGTACTGGGCGGAGAAGAAATACACTTTTGAGAACGGCCTGCCCAAAGACTTCCAATGGCTGCGGACGCCAGAGCCCGAACGTATCTTCTCAACCGACGGCGGGAAGCTCACGCTTATTGGAAGGGAGTCGATCGGATCTTGGTTTGAGCAGGCGCTCGTTGCCCGCAGGCAGACGCACTTCTCCTACGACGCCGAGACCACCGTCGACTTTGCGCCCACCGACGAACGCGAGTTTGCGGGGTTGACGGCGTACTACTGCCGCTACAACTTCTTCTACCTGACCGTCACCGCGCACGAGGACGGGAAACGCGAGTTGTTGATTCAAAGCTCCGAGGCCTCGTGGCCCGACAGCGACCTCACGATGCCGTTTCCAGAGGCGGTACCGCTGCCTGATACGGGCAAAGTGAAACTTGCGTTGACAATCCGCGGACCGAAGCTCCAGTTCTATTATGCTCTTGAGGGCGAGGAGCTCAAGGCTGTCGGTCCGGTGTACGATGCTTCCATTATCTCGGATGAATGTGGTGGGCACCAGGCGCATGGAAGCTTTACGGGTGCGTTTGTTGGTGTTGCTGCGTCTGATTTGAATGGTACTGCGAGACGTGCGGCCTTTGATTATTTTACGTATCGTCCTGTTCATGATGAGACCGACCGCTATGATATTTAATGATGAATTTCTACCGCCTGCGTCTGAGAGCGGGGGCTGGACTGATACTGTACGTTGAGATTCGACAGGGGAAGAATCAATATTTAGTCTCACAAAATAGTCGTTTTAAGTCTTCGAGTCAACGAGCTACTGCAGCAAAAAGTTGATCATGATGTTGTTTATGACAAGCCTCAAACGAACAAAACTTCGTCGCCCAAGACAATCTAATCGATCAGCAGCGGAGGCATTGGTGTCAAGCCCTTATTAGGATTGAGATTCTGAGTATTAGGCCGGAGATCTGACCCGTCAATAGAGCCTTAGAACTTCCCCCTTTCCCTAGTTTAGAGTAAGTGGTCAGGCTTCCTTCCGCGACCCAACTCAGAGAAACCTCTGCATCAAAGAGAGCAATCGATTGAAAACGCTGTAAGATCCAAGTGTGAGCGGGGCGAAACCAACATCGCCTATGTCACCAAGAGCGTCGAGGTGGACAGGGCAGCCAAGACATCCATCCCCAACTTTACCACCGACCGCTTATAAAGAGCAACCGACACCTACCTCTTTTCTGGACGTGGCAGCAACCTCCAACGGGAATCGTCCCACGCCAGAGTTTTCCCTGACCTTCACCAGAGAATATCACGCAACCCTAAGAGTCGCCAGCTGCGTCTCACAGCAGGGAAGAAGACTCTCGCAGCTCAGGGACTTTGCTCATGATTATCTTGTCGAGACTCGCCGAACTGAGCTGTTAGAACAGTACCTCGATTTTCATGGCATTGATAATCGCGCCAACCTTGAGAAGGCCTCGAGACAGGATGTCAGGCAACATTTCAAAGAATGGATTTCAAATCAGAACGTCCCCACCGGCGATGGCTTCTCCTGGAGCAAAACCGGGGCAGGGCTACCCCGTTTTCGCTTCTTTTTATACGTCGACAAGCAAACTCTCGCCACCGTTGTTCAGTTACAAGAAGAAGACGATGGTCACGTGCATCCATACTTCCGACCGTTGCTTCCTGCGATGGTTGTCACTGTCGTTGATGGTTCCTGGAGACCAGACACCGTGCAGAGCTACAAGCCTCAGAATGAAGACGGATACCCTGAGGCTGATGACAGTTCGAAGAGATACGTAGGCTTCGAGTACTATAATGCATGTTACGCCACCGCGTTGTACGAGAAGCTTCATGGATACGGGCTTGTTAACTACGAGTCTTACAAGCGCCCGCCGGCGATAGGGCCCGCGGGGGATCAGACAATGTCTTGATGACGGGAATGCCAGTCCAAAGAAAGTCGAGGTACAAATTCTGAGACGATCTTAACGGCTCTGACCACCGAGGAGACGGCCCAACCATCCGCATCATTTATGAGCGTTAAAGTGCGACCTCCCTCATCTCCGAACTAGTGGCAAGGGGTTCAGACTCCCGGTGCATCAGCAGACTCAATCACGAGCTTTTATATCATTATCTTATAACGCATTTATCATTCAAAAAGCTACTATCATTACACCAGTCCATGCCTTGTTTTGATCTCCTAGCCCTCTAGAAAACCATGCACAAACGGCCCTTGAGTTGCTTAGACAAGTAGTGTTCCGCCATCTCATTGGCCTGGTCGACACCATACGTCTTCTCAATGTGCGTCTTGCAACCATTCTTCGCATGCAATTCAACCATCTCTCTGCTCCGTTCAGGAGTGCAAATCAACGCACCACGAACAGTCTGCTCCTTGAAATTCAGCGCGAAGGGATCGACTTCGAAAGGTCCGTCGGCAGGGAGACCGACATCGACCAGTACACCACCCTTGCGCAAGAATTGCTGTCCGAACCTGACGAGCGGCCGTGCTTCGGTCGTGATGACGACGCGGTCGACGCCGGGGTTGGTATCATAAAATGAAGTCTGGAGCTCTTCGACGACCTTCTTCTGAGACTCTTCAGTGTCAATTAGGTACGTGCGGTCGGGCTTCAGGTGTGAGGGCACGTCGTTGGCTAGGTCGAGACCTTCTTGTCTATTGTCGATGACAATGACCTTGTATCCCAATGCCTTGGCATACTGTACACCGAGGTGTCCCAGGCCTCCGATGCCGATAATGACAAGCCATTGGTCTTTCTGGCCTTGCGCGGCACAAAGTGCACCGTAGACAGTCGCACCGGCGCAGAATAAAGGCGCGGCCTCAGCCCAGGGGATTGACTCGGGAATCTTGGCCACGACACGGGCGTCGGCCTTCATGTACTGCGCGAATCCGCCGTCGAGGGTCAGTCCCAGCACGCCGACGAGGTTATCGCAGACCTGCTTCCCCTGGTTGCACGAGTTGCACTTGCCGCAGCAGCCGTAGGTGTTGATGGAGCCGACGCGGTCGCCTACTTGTAGGCCCTGCTTGCCTGCTTCGGAACCGAGCTTGACGATGGTGCCAGCGGGTTCGTGGGAACCAACGAGACCTGGCTTCGCGCCGGCGGAGGCGTAAACGCCCTGCTGGACTTGGAGATCTGTGTGGCAGTAGCCTGCGGCAGCAATCTTGACGAGGACATCGTTTGGACCGAGTTCGGCGGGAACCTTTACGTCTTTTACTTCGTAGCCTTTGTTGAAGTCTTTGATGGTTGCTGCGCGCATTTGTTGGGGAAATTGGTCTGCCATATTGAGAGTGTTGAACGGTAGTGTCGTAAGGTAGTTGTAATTTTGATGTAACTTCGGGACGATATTTAGAATTGATTCAATGCGGTTTCGTCTTCAAGAATGTATGATCTGATGGGTATCTTACTATGATTCATAAGAACCTCTTTGGTCTCGATGCCTGCTCTTGACTTATACGTTTGAGAGACGGTCAACCTGCGTCTGACTTAGTCTATACAACGTCATAGCCAACACTGCTCAGATGTAAAGGTGAACGCAATAGCAGCGTCAAAGGGTCCAGTGATACGTGTATTTACGTCAAATGGAATAGTTTAATGGAATTTGTCGCCTCATAGTGTCATAAAAGTGGCCCGATGAGAAACATTGTGGACTTAAGGTGGTTCGGGAGCACCTCAACGTTCTAGACCCCAACTCAGCCTGTGAGTTTTCGGAAATAAGCGCAAAGTAGTCTCGCTGTTTTAACCTTCTTTCCGGACTTTCAGACATTTGCATGGTGGTGAAGAACATGTATTTTCAAAGTGATTCATCATTTCCGACAGAGATGACTGCAGCTTGTCAATAGGTTCGATAGTGAAGCAATAACGGTTGATGAGCCTGAAAAGGTTTTCAAGCACGAAAGGCTAAGTTCCCAACACATAATCACCCACGAAACAGCGATTACTATTGCCTCAAAACCAGTGACGTAACCTAGAGCTCACTGAAATCAATTCCTCTGCCTGTCGCATTCACAAGGCGAGCTAGGTTTGTGGACCCAGCCCCACTGAATTCCACCATGCCGGGCGGGATCCGGACATGCATCCGCCATCGAGATCGCGCCCGGCCGAGTGGCTCTACATCACCACTTCTGTCAAGATCACATCAACATGATAAATCTTCATCAGATTCAATTCATTCTTATAGTTATCGCGTGCCATGCAGCTTGTACCATCACTCATTACGACCAGGTGCACCTCGTCTTGATGTTGGGCTGACCCGATGCGCCTAAGCTTGGGTGGTAAACCTTCTTAGTGCCCGCGGTGACGGGATCCACAACCTGACACTGGCCGCCTCCATCGTAATAGGTCCCCTTCAATTCTGTCTCGCAGGTTTTCTGCCTCCAGTTGCGCAGGCTGTCGTTGTATGCGGCTGGTGGTGCGGGTGAACAGCTGGCGTGGAAGACGGTGATGTATTCGGCCAAGACTGTGCTAGACAGGGCGAGCGGAAGGGTTGCCGAGTTACATTGGACTTTTAATGTTAGTAAGCCGGATTTATGAGAAGGAAGAGCATTTTGACTGACTGGTGAAGTCAAATTTCAAGTACAATAAGGCGGCGAGTGAGGAGAAATTAGGCGGATGTTTTTATGTTTCAATGACCGGCCTTGGGAGCGATGTAACTCTAAGGTCAAATGTGTATAGCGAAACTGGATAACGTGAGCTTAAGTATCCAGATGTAATGAAAATACGCGGCACTGAATAATATGACTGTTTTCGTGATCAATTAAGTAGAGAAAACTCTAAGAAACAGCTACAGTCAAAAGTTGAGTTCCGGATTCGCTTTCCCCCCTTTTGGAGTGCTAAGCTTTGTACTAAGTGGGCTAAACCACAGTAAGCCTCGCCCGCTCCTTCCGACCACGCACAACGCAACGAAATCACTGACGCAAAGGTATTATTTTGTCATTGAAGTCCTGAAATGCAAGAGATGCATCGTTTACACAAGTAAAATAGTAAGATGAAACCAGGAACGCTTCGTGGGCTGCTTTACGGCGCACGGGTATTGTCAGTAGGAAAACAGGGGATGAGGGGGTCTCTAGAGTCCTCTTTAACCAGCCAAAGCAGGAACGGCGCGGCCTGATGTCTAGAGAATTAGTTTCGCATCTTGTACTCACTGAATCCATGGAATTTTACACTGAATTAACTAGACTACTCTGTTTTTACCATCTTAGCACGAGCTAGTCGGGGTTTTCCTCCTCTTTAAAGGACCACTTGACGGGGCCTCCGACGGGAGCTTCAAAACTTCATCCTCTTCCGCCGGCTTGACGATGAATCAGGACCAATGAACCTTATTGATGGCTGTCCGAGTAATACCCAGAATGACAAATGGCAAACTCCCGAGCAAGCAGTGATTGGCCCACCGTGTCTTATCAATGACTTTTGGTATTAATAATCCAGCCCGTTCACTAATGGTTGTCTTCCTATCCGTACATCAACAACTTTTGCGTATCATTCAACTCGCCCAACAGGCATTATACTACTTATTTTGTAGCCCTATTCACCACGGCCTGAAGTATCTAATTATCTATGAACCCTTCCACATCTCTTCTAAAGACTAGACGCGTTACTCAAGCGAGCAAATTCTGCCACAAAAGCGACATTAATTGCCGGGCCGGACCGACAGCAGCTAGACAAGTGACAAGTGAAAGAAGAGCCGTACTTAACTTGTATGGAAATTTTCCTTTGCGACTAGCTTGCTAAGCAGTTCTACTTGGCCATACGGAACGTCAAACGAGACGTAAATGTGGCCAAGTGCGCAAGTATTTGATGATATCACCTTAAATAAAATCAAAGTCAGATCATGGATGAAAATACGAAGAACTATTATGAAGATTTAACCTTCGAACTCAAAGCACGACTAGCCTTTTGCCTGTTCGTGCGCCAGGCATAATACTCCCCTCCCGTCATGACGGGGTATTTCATCGGATTACTCTCACTCACGCATGTCGGCACAGGCTCCAGAACCTTTGCTCTATCGAATCCGAAGAAAAATGGTGCAGAGTACCTCTCGTTCCCGCTCTTATTAATGACCCGATGGATCGTCGACACAAAGAAGTCATTCGTTTGTCTCATAAAGCAATCAGCAATATTGACAACGAAGGACCCGGGGATAGGATCTGCCCTGACCCAGTTGCCGGACTTGCTGAGAACCTCGAGACCGCCAGAAGTATCTTGAGTGACAATAGTGAAGCACTCGACGTCAGTATGCGCGCCGATGCCGTTCTGCTCGTCTACAGAGTGCTTCTGCTCTGGGTAGTGGAGGATGCGCATCCCCGCCTCTGGACGCTTGACGTATTCATCAAAGTAATTTTCGGGCAGGTGGAGAGCCAGGGCAAAGATCCGAGTTAGTCGGTGTGAGAGCCGAAGAAGCTCTGTATGGTAGGCGGAGAGGTTATCCTGGAAACCGGGTAGATCAGTAGGCCAGATGCTGACGGACTTTTCCGTTTTGCCAACTGCTTCGGGATCTTTCTGGGCGTCATAAGCCCAGTTGAAAGCCTCGCTCAAATCTTGCCAACGATCAGCGGAAGAAGCCACCCAGAACTCATGACCGAAAGGCGGCTTTATCTTGGTGCTTCCACCCATTGCGGTTATAGCATTCCATCGGATGGAAGCCGACGTACTCGTTGGGGACAAGGCCGGTAAAGACCTCCATCTTCTTCTCCTCCGGTAGGGCAAAGAAGCGTCTTGCTTCGGTCATTGTCAAGTCTGCGAACTTTGAGTCAATCCCCTTGTCTCGTGCTAGCACAATGAGAGATTCCAACGTTGAGAAGATCACAGAGCTCACATTATTAACCAAGTAGAAGAAGCCAATGCCCCTGAAGGCCTCTCGTATTCTTTCGGCCACAGCTGTTCGATCCCCAAGCTCATCGCTCCATATTCCTGACGCATCGATAACTGGAATCTTTTCTAGGGTTATCGATGTGTTGGATCTAAAGCTAATGACTTGCCCATTATGAAGAGTGACGGTTCTCGCCTTGGAGTCTGACACTGTGGTAGTCTCTGACATGATAAAGCTGTGATGATGTGATCTGGAGGGCTAACACAAGGGAAAGCGTAATCTTAAATAATTATTTTCCGATGCCACTGGTTTTATTCGGTGTTCGAAAGTCTTGTATGGGCGCGAAATCTGATTCAATCATCTAGTACATAACTGTCGTCTGCATGCTTCATGCCCTGAAGATGATCCGGGCAACTCGAATGTGAGCCCCGACAATGCTCGGCTAGCACATCCCGTCGGAGACATCCTATCGCGGGTAACAAGACGGGTAGACTGCAAAATTGATCAGCTTGGTTGAGGTAACCGCCCTTCATTGGCCAACATTGGTTCTTGTCAGATCTCACAAGATACCGCAACTTTGAACTACCGAGAAGGATTGCCCTGCTGTCGCCTATCTGCATGAGGCCAGCAAAACCGCAGTATTGCCGATTCCTTATCAAGACGCCTCCAATAATGACTGCGGTACGGGCAAAGAGAAGAGGTTTCTTGATCCCTTAAGTGGCATCTCTCATCTAGAGACTAGATCTTTGTATGCGATGCCTATCTGAGTACCATGGGGTATGATAGGTAATCCTATGTATGAACTTTGAAAAATCCACAATCATAAGACAATGGGATTCCTGTCTTGGTGTTCGTGAGATTTCTTCACGGTTATCGAAACCTTCCCCAAAGGACAGAATACCGTCTGTCCAAGGTTCCCTCATTATCCGGCTCAATTGACAGCAATAGCGTCGACTTCTTCATGGAGCCGTTGTCTAATACGACGCGTAGAGGTAAATTGAGACACAGACACTGACGTGGACATTTACGTCAATAAAGATACTCGTCTGTTGCCTCCTCCCCACAGAATATATTAGCCTTGGGAGTTTGTGGGGTTATGAATGTTCACAGGATCTTTCAATGTCGGAGGTTGGACGACAGGTTCTTCTTTGATCTCCCTGGGACTCAACGTCTGGGTAAGCAATTTACCCCATTCCTTGAGATGACGAGAGTCAAAGACCCGTAAGCTAATGCAATCAAAGCAATCGATGATTGCAATCGTCATCGCACACACCTTTGTCGGGTTTGTATGCATAGCTGGAGGTCACCCGGGCGCAAGGTGACATATCGGGTTTCCGCTTTGGATGAAGCAGAATTGGGGCATTTGGGGTTATCTATTTCCCATGGTAAGTCTAGAACCTAGACCTCATATCTCACCTTACCTTGCTCAAACAAGATTTGAGGCTGTGCGAACTAATCTCGCGACCAGGCTATCCGAGTCTTCTTATCCTTTGTATGGACAGCCACCAACACGTGGTATGGAAGCCAATGCTTGAGGGTCCTCTTGACCTGCATCTGGCCATCGTACCTCAATTTGGATTCTGAGCTTGCGGACGGTACGATAAAAGTCTATGACCTCATCTCATTCGTTCTGTACTTCCTGCTCTGTCTACCACTGATCTGGTTCAGCCCAGAGAACTATCGCAAGCCGTTCCTCTTCGCCTCGACGACGGTGGCGACGACCGTTCTTGTGCTGTTGATCTGGTGTACCACTCGCGCCGGAGGTGGAGGTGCCCTTCTTGCAGATGTGCGCAAAGTCTCTGGTATCGAGCCTGCACAAGGGGGGGACTTGGGCTGGGCTTTCGTAGCCGCGGTCACGGCAAACATTGGAGGTATCGCCACGCATATGTGGTCTCAGCCCGACTACACCCGCTATGCGCGGAAGCCAGGGGACCAGGTCCTCGCTCAGCTTATTATGGTGCCCCTAGGAACCATCATCGTGGCCTGTATCGGGATAATCTGCACGTCTTGTGCGGCTACGCTCAACCCCGACGAAGGGAAACTGCTGTGGCAGCCCTATGCCTCCCTCGATGCTGTACGCAAACGAAGCCAATTCCGGCGCTCGCGCTGGGGTCGCATTTGCCACTATCGCTTTCATGTTGTCGCAATTTGGCATGGTGATCGCCTCCAACTGTGTAGTCGCGGGTATCGGTCTAGCCGCGCTGCTACCGCGATGGTTTACGATCCGCCGAGGGGGCTACTTTACCATCGTCTTCGTCTTCGTCATACAGCCCTGGTCGCTACTTAACAGCGCCAGCAATTTTTTAACCGTGGTCGGCAGCTTCAACGTCTTCCTCGGTCCGCTCATGGGAATCATGTTTGCCGACTAATTACTTCCTCATCCGCAAGCGGACCATCAAGCTCACCGACCTGTACGGTGACTCACCCGCCAGCATCTACTGGTACACCAAAGGTTGGAACCTGCGGGCGGCCGTTTCTTGGGTACTTGGGGCTTGGATGTGAATTCCTGGGTTAGCGCAGAGAGCTATGGCACCTAGCGAGGTTTGGGCCGGGCCGGGTGGACGAGACTTTGCCAGTTGCCCTGGTTTGTGGGTTGTCTCGTATCGGGGTCGATATATCTCGCATTCGACCGTATCTGGTCCATACCTGAGAAGCAGGCAGTGGACGAATTGGATTACTTTGGCACCTTTGGAGATGCGCCCGTGGCTGAGCTGGACGCAAGCTCGATATCAGAGGCTGTGGGAGAAAAGTCGCGCGTGGGGCAAAAGGTCCAGATTGTCTGACGCCAATGGAAGTTCGTAATAATTGCCTGTTCCGTCGACTTTTCAAGTAGACTAGAACCCAAAAATCTCTTCATACTTCAAGCCACCGTCCCAAGTTGGAAAGATGACAATCAAATGTCTCAAACGATATGTTCTTCGCCCCTTCAATCATATCATTCACGATGTCTTTTTCGTGATATGATTCATGGCATCCCCCCACATTCCATCTGATCGTCGTGCATGGCCGCAGCGTACCTGGAATTTCTGCGTTTGCCCGTGCTAAGCCGTTTGCAACATATCTGCTTGCTGCATTAGAGGCTCGACAAAACCTAGACCAGTTACGACACCAGCCCAAAACAACCGAGTCAGAAGCCCATTGGATCAACGCGGAGAGGCATACATGGGATGGCTGGAACGGGTAGGGCGAGCGACTCTAGACGAATCGTCGCATTTCCCGCAATGCCTTGCCACATTGCACTTTAGGCTTGGAGGAGCACGCGCCAATGCCTCTTTCTTCCCATCTGTCAGGCAGCTCAAGCTTTGGGTGAGCTTCTTCCACGTTTCATGGGGAGTACCCATCTAGTTCCCATTGGGGACGCCTTTTGTCCAGATGTGGGTAACTGATCTTCAGAAGGCGGGATGAATTTCACGTCCATCAGACTTTCCGACGTCAACACCCGGCCCGTGGTCTCTGGGCGTGGTGCCGATCCAAAAGCTTGAGCCAGGTGCCGGCTCAAAGTCTATTCTTTTGATGCAAACCCATGTCTCTATGTCCTTTTAGCTCAAGCGGACTCCCCTCCCCCGCATCCAGGAGAGACGATGGTTCTGATCCTTGCGTGACTGACCTTCTTTCATTAGGGTGCCGTTCGTACGGATCGCATGCCATCGAAGACGGCCGGTTTGGGCTCTCCCAGATCTTTTACCTTGTTCTTTCTTCAATTGTTCCTTTTGCCTCTGCCGCAATCTTTCTGATGCAGCAGTGGCAATCATCAGGTACGAGAAACCTCATGTTGCGGCATGGTAGACGTCGACATTGACCCGCACCGACCTCGTCGCGTCCTCGCGGTCGCCGTCTTTTGCCTCTGCCTCACCTGGGTCGCAGTGCCACTGCGCATCTACTCGAGGCTCTTTCTGACACGGGTTTTTACTCTCGATGACAAGCTCATATGCCTGGTCCTGATCACATTCACCGCATACCTTCTTACGGATATCGCGGCAGTCTTGCACGGGTCTGGACACGATGCTGTAGAAATTCCGCCAGAGGATAGAAGGATAGCTCTTCAGGTATGTGAACAATAACAAGATTGGAGGTTATCCACCGTCCGCCAGAGAGCTGACACTCTAGCTGCAGCTCTTCTTCGCTGGCGAACTCCTGTACCTGATCACCACAATCCTCTTGAAAGTCTGCGTTGGCCTACTGTTGCTTAGCATTGCTATTGTTCCCCTCCATATCTGGACGCTTCGAATACTCCTCTGTTCGACATTCCTATTCGGGTCACTGTACTTCATTCTGGTTATCTTCCAGTGCAGACCGCTTCACGTATTCTGGGACGTGGGCCCCCGGACACCAGGCAGCTGCTTCTCAACCAGTGTCGTACTTGGATGCACCTACACCCTCGCCATATTGAACTGTCTTGCAGACTGGACTTTTGGCATTCTGCCGTTGTTGATTGTCTGGTCCCTGCATATGCGCCTGAAGACGAAGCTACTAGTCATTCTGCTGCTAGGTTTCGCGTCCATGTAAATTGTTCTCTTTCTATGTCTTGTATACACCAAAGTTCCTCAACTTACTAACCCCTACTGTCTGTTGTAGAGCGAGCATTGCTACCATAGTGCGCGCAGTAGCTGTTCCAGGACTGCTCAGTCAGGAAAACTTTCTTCGTACGTCTCACACAGCTACCCCAGAGAAAGATGGACTTGGACATGTACTGACCTGCCCAAGGCGACACAGCATATCTAGCCATCTGGAGCAATATCGAGCCGGGTATCGGCATAGCGGCAGCTTGTGCGCCGGCTTTGTCACCGCTGGTTCGACACATTCTGGGGAAGAGGCAGCGGCGGGGATACGAAAGGGGTATCTGGCGAACACGAGAGCTCCCAACAATCACAAACGACAGCATAATGGCGCTACCAGAAAGAACAGAAAGAAGGCGGCACGACTTTCGAAACTCGTCCAAAAATGACGTACTACGCTTGCGATTTGACGACTTTTCATACGAATCCCGGATCACCTCCGGTCCACAGGTACATCAGATGCGGCCAGTGCCGCCGCCACCACCGAGTCGAGTGTCGTGGGCCTTTCCGCTACGGCGCGGGTCGGCGGTCGGCGGCGGTGGCTTAGAGTGTATCACTGCTGATACCACGCTCACCACATCGACGATATCATCAGACGGCGAAGCGGCCGAACCGCCATCCTCGGGGATCATGAAGACGATGGAATTCCAGCTGTCATATGAAGCGAGGACGTGGACAACGTCGCGGCAGGGAAGGATGATTCCGCGGGACGAGAGTATGACGCTGCGGCCTTCGACGATTGCGGAGATGAGGAGGGTGACGAGCGGCGAGGTGCCGCTTCTTCGGGAGGGGTTGTCACCGACTTCACCCGAGTATGACATTGAAGCTGGACTTAGGGGGACGTGTAAGAGGCACTCCTCACCACCTGCGTCACCGTGGGAGTGGGTGGTGAATCGTCAGGCGAAGCCTCTTTCCATGAATGGGGGTAAGTTCGCTGGTGACGTGACTCACATGACTACGGCGGAAAAACGCCTATCGACAAAATCATAGTGAGAGGAAAGTCGTGGCTTGGATGTCTGATTGCACAATTCAACGTACATAATATTGTAATATGAATGTTCTTATCCATCTACTCTGATGAGCCTCTAAGCTTTTGCTCTATCTATGATGCGCGCGCAACACTCACTAGAAAAGTGACGATATGCTACGCACTGGTAGGTTGTCTATCTGACAAGATGCTGACCAGAAGTGTTTCCCTAAAGCGTTACTCAGGTCTTCGAGATGCTGTGGCTGTTTTCATGCAACAACGTACCTCGACAGTATCTGTAGGATCTCAATAATGTTGGCAGCGTAATAGGGGCAGGCTCTTTGGGACTGGGACTCGGAAGGCTGGGTCAAGCCTGGCCCAATGTTGTACAACATAACTCCGAAGGACTATATGAAATATCCTGCTCCTGGGCACGTAGACTTTCAGTGAACAGAATCACGTGGTACGCTTCATCCTCAGAGGCTTTCTCCAAAACATTGACCAGGTATTTTACCATAAAAGTCGGTGTATCAGGTCACCCGGATGGCTGAATTTAAATTGACCACCTGCACCATTCTGAAGTACATATATAGCAAATGAAGAAAAAGAAATCATCCTAGTTTTACATTCTCTTTTCTTTCCTATCGTACTTGCACACTCGTTCGTTGTCAATTTCACAATTCTTCCTAAGGAGTCGCTAACGAAAACACAGGGAAAACAACTACCAAGAACAACAAAAATAACACCACAATGCCGAAAACAAGCAATCGATCGGAGAACAGCCAGTCTGACGACCCCCTATACTTCTATATGCCCGATGCTGAATGGGGAATCCTGCCAATGGTACAAGTTCGACTTCACAGTCTCCAAGACAGAGATTTCCGCCTTGGATGGCCCCACTGTAGACGAGGCAGGCCCTGATGGCACCATTATCTTCAACTGTGCTGAGCAGTTCATAATGTCCTGCAAGGCCGCAGGGTTCCACGATGCCCCGACACAGGCGGGCGTGCTAGCGACGAGTAGCCCAAAGGAACAAAAGACACTGGGGAGGAACGTCACTGGATTCACGGACGAGAGTTGGGACCAAATTAAGAGTACTGTCGCCGAGACAGGTAATAAAGCAAAATTTGGACATAACACACGCCTGGGCAGAAAGCTGTTATCCGCGGGCGATCGTTTGCTATGCGAGGCTGCCTCAAAGGATCGCGTTTCGGGGATTGGATATATCGCTTAGCATGCATTGTCTCACCGTCAGCACCGGGGCGAGAATCGATTGGGCAAGGCTCTCATGGCGACGAGAGAACATCTGAGGAGCGAGGAGGCTCGTAACAAGAAGCCTTGGGAGCAATATGAATGAGAACGACATACCTTCACAGCAGCAGCCGGCAGGACGGCGCATAAGCAACAACTTCAATATTTGCTATCTGGAGTCTCGGCGGGGTATGGAAGGGCAAGCCCTCATTCGTTTCATCGCCGGCGGAGCTGGTCATCTTTATCGCCGTTCACATAGCATCAATCAAGGATCATGATTTGCGGTCAAAGAATAAGACGGGGCATTGATGGGAGGACACTTCAAACGGGCATGCAGATTGTCAGTATGAGCTTCAATCAGGCGTACGAGCTGGATATGTTGAAGAGAGATTGTGAGAGTCTGGAAGTCCGACAATTGGGTATTCAGGGAATGAAGGAGTTAAGAAGTTCAAGCGTTTCTGATGGATATTTATTTATATCTATAAAGATGACAAAGGAGATGGTAGTAGTCTATTACAGGCAGGTATCAACAATGGTACAGATGGGATGTCGTCAATCCAGACACCAACCCCGATGCACCCTTCCCTCGACGCCGTTACGATGCAAACCCATGAATATTGACACAAGAAAAAAATGGATCCGAAACAATGATAATCACAACTTCCCATGGTATCTCTCTATTGCCCTTTCCCGAACAAGCGAAATAGCTTAGAAGCAGAAAACGGCATCAGACATCTTGGAAGTGGCACCAGGCTTCTCGAAGCCCAGGTTCGTCAACGACTTCTTGGCAGCGTTTACCATGCCAGGCGGACCGCAGAGCATGACGCGAGAATCCGGGCCGGGAGCGGGGAACCGCTCGGCCATCATCTCTTGGGTGACATACCCAGTACCGTAGGCCCAGTTCTCGGGCGGCGAGTCGAGGAGGTAGTGCAGCGTGAAGTTCTTGGGGTACTTTCTCGCAAAGGCCTCGAGCTCGTCCCTCAGCAGGATATCGGCCTCGGAGCGGTTGGCGTAGATGAGGCTGACCTCGGTGGTGTCACGGTCGTCCTCGCAGATGGCGCGGATGAGCTGGTACATGGGGGTGATGCCCGTGCCGCCGGCGAGCATGCCAATCTTCTTGGTCAGGTTGGGACGGTAGCGCATGGCGCCCTTGGGCCCGCGGAACTGCACCTCGTCGCCGACCTCGAGGTTGGCGAGGTACTTTCCGGTGAGGGCGCCGTCGGGGTAACAGCGGATGACGAGCTCGAGCTTGCCGAGGTCGGCGTTGTTGGAGGTGGGCGTGTAGGAGCGGGCGACGGACTTTCCGTCAATCTCGGCCTTGATGGCGACGTGCTGGCCGATGGGCAGGCCGAGGACCGTGTTCGGGGTGGGGAGCTCAAAGACGAAGCGGTACACGTTGGGGGCGAGGAGGGTCTTTTCGACGAGCGGGAGAGGGTGGTAGGAGACCGGGTCGAGCCAGCCGCGCTGGTTGAGGGGGTTCGCCTTTGCGACCTTGGGGATCTTCTTGTGCGGGCGGTAGTGCATGGGCGTGAGCTCGTAGTGGAGGAGCTTGGAGGCTTCCTTTGCGGCGATGGAGCCCGCGACGGCGAAGAAGGCGGAGGCGACGGCGAAGCCCTCCATGAAGCCGAAGCCGGTGCGCTTGGAGCGGGCGGCGCCGCTGCCGAAGGAGAGCCATGCTGGGAACTGGATGTTGAGTCTCTGGATGGCGGCGATGGCGTCCTGGCCGGCGGGTGTGGAGGATGCGTGGCGGGCAGCGACGGCGCCGAGGCCAATGAAGAGGGCGGCGGCGGCGGCTTGAGATGCGACGCGGGCGGCTGAGCCTGAGCCGGAGGAGAGGGTCTTCTTTTCGGGGGTGGCTTTGGGCTGGAGGCGGACGGCCTTGGGGGCGGAGCGCTTGTTCACGCCCTTGAGCTTGCCGACCTTGAAGTCGGCCATGATTTCGTAGGCATCTTCGGAGTGACCTGCGTTGTCGAAGGCTTCTGAGGCGTCGACGCCGCCGGCCTCGACGAGGACATCTGCGCCGCCGGGGTGGTCGTGGAGGTACTTTGAGAGATCGTAGACTGTGTTGCGCAATTTAGTTTGGTGGTCTAGGGGCAAGTTTGTAATGCGATTTGGGGGGTTATTGGGCTTACCTTCACCGTGGATGACCATCCAGCAGTCGTCTGCTTCTCTGTGTGCGGCAACCTCCTTGGCCGTGAACTCGGGGCCTACTGTTGACTCTGTAGCCGCCATTGTGAATGTGTATGTGGTGTGGGTGTCTTTGGGAGATGGTCGAAGGTGGGAAAGGGGGCGGGGTGAGAAGTAGTAGTGTTACACTGTCGCAGTCGTGTCGCGCTGATGATATAAAAGAGAATTTTTACTATCTTATCTAAGAAATGGAAAGATCGTTGTCGATCGTGATGTGTAGACAAGGTTACAATGAACAGGACCCCTTATTACTTCAGAGGACCGGGCTTCGGAACAGGGAGACGTGCAGCGTTCCTATTTATCGAAAGATGGCGAGACCATGGCGACATTTGCCAGCGGAAAAGATGCCTAGGTATATCCACAATTTACAAGAGACATCCAGAATCGTCGTCAGAGCATACACCTCTCTCTGCATTGGATGACAATGAGACCGAAGGAAAAAAGGAAAACAAGGGTAATGTCCGAAGGGCAAAGATGCCGAGGCACAAAGATAAGTGTGGGCATCATCGGGGGACCCTGCGCGCGTTTCTCTGCGCGATAAAGTCGATGGAGCCCAGGGGGTATGGAGCTTTCTTTCGGAAGCTCCAAAACGTTCCAAAGCTTGGGATAATTTGGAGCCAGCAGAAGAGATGAATCTGGAAAGACTCGGCCGGTGGTCGGCGGGTGGGGGGCGCGACTGACAAAGCAGAGCCACGGGATTGGATGCCGGTCGCCGGACCCACTTACGGCGATGCGCCTCGGCGGTCCCGATACGATGAGCGGGTTGATGACTTGATTGACATTCATGCCTTGATTTCAGAGAAATGCATGAGTCGTTTCCCTTCACTGCTGCACCTATTCATCGCCTCGATATGATGCATCCTTACGTGCCATAAGGGCAGAATTCTTGAAGAGTAGGTTTGCGAAAACGAAGGAGGCAGAAAAAGAAGTGTGATCGGCAGCACAAATCAGCCAAGCCCAGAGTGAAATAGAGATGAACTAGGACAAGAAAGTATAAAGGCAGAGATGCTACAATGAAGACGGATAGGGATACTACATTGTAGACTGCCGGGAAGCCAAGAGATGGGCCGCGGCTCTGTCTACTACCTACCTTACCTTAGTCCAAATGCGAGATTCGTTTCTGCACTGGAAATCCGTACCTTCAAGGTTGTTATCGAAGAATTGAGCATTGCTGCATGGCACGGTAACTAACGGTTCGGTCTCAGGGGCCGACTGACAGATACTGACGAAAATAACGAGAGACCCACATATGGACGGTATCCGGAAGAAAACGGTCGGTGATTGGATGCATCATGCCATTTACGACCAAAGCTCATGGCTGCGTGGTCCAATGAAGACGGGCGGTGATTACGTAGGTGGCATAAAACGAGCCGAGGCCACGGACTTCGGGACTTGGGCGGCGACCAAACGGCGACGGAACCACATAAACCCTCGATACGTACCCAAAGTCAGCCACGGTGGACCCCCACTGTGGCCCGCCCCCTGCCCTGCAAAAATTCTGCAGCTTTTTTCCTCCCTTTTGTCTCTCCCCTCTGTGGCCCTCTCCCACGTCCAAGTACCTCTCGACTCCCGACCTTCGAGAAACATCATCTTGGAGCTTATCAAATCCTTCCAAGCACCAAATTCAAGCAACCCCCCTTGGCCTTTCGCCTCGGCACCTGGACGCCTCTAGCGCAGATCACCCTTGTTTAGCCCTATCGCGGCGCATCAAACGTGCTCCAAATCTCCGATTTTTCTTTCGCATCCATCCTCCTTCCGCGATGGTTCATATTTCCGCTGTCATCATGCCAGAACCGCGGCTCTTCTCCGTCCGCGCCCACATCTTTTGACTCTGCAGTCTGGAACCTACGAGTCTGTTGCTTGTTTTCGCCGTGTTCCATGCCGGCCACGGAGCCGACAGTCTAGTGGATTCGTCTCACGAACACGGCCCGCTGTTTTTTCGTTCGGACTTGAGCGCCGCCCATGAAGTCATGGCCCTTGGGTCAAGGGGACCTTGAGATGAACCTCGGCAGGCCACTTTTTTCGTTGCTCGTCACTCATCGGCCAGCTGTTCGGTCTGTGTGTCTGTGTGTTCCCACCAAAAGAATTGACATTGCCTGGGATCGGATTGGATAAGCTGCGCTATATTGCGATGTCCCATGGGTACGTACTGTTTTGATTGCGATCTCTTTTTTTCTCTTATATATCGTCAACGGGTTGCATCCCTCTCCATCTGACACAGCCTTTGGATTGGAAGCTTTGTCTTATCTACCTTACTATACTACTGCTACTTCATTCATCTTGAATACAACTGTTTGGAGATTCTCAACTTCGTGCGCTTCTCCCCCTCGATCCACACATCACATCCCACACAACATGTCATCACAACGCTTCCACCTGTTGGGTGAAGACCCCTCAGTCACAACAGAGTTCGAGATTCCCGCCTCAACAGACGAGGAGGGTCTTCAACATCTCGCCGCTTCCCACTTCGCCGTCGTCGACCACAAGGGTTAGTCCAATCTCCTACGATATCACAGCTTCTTGACAGCAAACTAACACACTCACAAGGCGTTGGCTTCGTCTCCGGAGATGAGGCTCTGACAACAGTTGCCGATGTCCTCGCCGCCGAGGGCCCCGTCGCCATCACCATCGACGGCCACGCCGTCCGCGAAGTCCCTGGCCCTTCGGGTCTGCCCTTCATTGGCAACTACTTTGAGGTCTACCCCGACCATCTCGGTAACCACCAGCGTCTCTTCGAGAAGTACGGCCCCATCTTCAAGACCACCAACATGGGCTCCGTCATCTACCACACCAACGACCCGGCCATCGCCAACATTTTCTTCTCCGAGAGCGACTTCTTCACAAAGAACATCATTCCCGGTCACCCGCTGTACCCCATCAAGAACAAGGAATCCGGAGTCTTCCTCGGCGACACGGATACCCCCGAGTGGAAGGAGGTCCACAAGTTCCTCCCGCCCGCCTTCGGTCCCAAGGCCGTCCGCCACTACGCCCCGACCATGCAGGCCACTATCGAGGACTCCTTCAAGGTCTTTGACGAGCTCGACGAGAAGGAGGAAGCCTGGAACGTCTACCCCTACATGCTCAAGCTCGGTTCTCAGGCCGTCGGCAAGCTCGTCCTCGGCATGGACTTCAAGCACTTCACCGCCGTCGACGCCCCGCCCCACGAGATGGTCATTCGCATCGCCCAGTCCCTCGAGCTCAACAAGAAGATCACCTCCATGGGCAGCTGGTACGCCTCCCTGCCCTTCGGCGACCCCCAGCGTCTTCGCGACGCCCGCGGCCGCATCATTGAGATGATGAACGAGTCCATCAACAACGCCTCCAAGGGTGTCGAGAACCTCGAGCTGCAGGAGGCCGCCCTCCAGGCCGACAACATGGTCGACTACGTCCTTCGCGCCAGCGACAGCAAGGGCAACAAGCTCCCCAAGGAGCGCATCATGGAGCCCCTCGTCGTCGCCACCGGTGCCGGCTTCACCACCACCTCCTCTCTCCTCTCCTGGCTTCTCTACGGCATTGTCGCCTACCCTGGCATGCAGGAGCGTCTCCTCCAGGAACTCATCGACAACGGCTTCGATGAAAACACCCAAATCACGGCCGACCTCACCCAGAAGCTGACCTTCCTCGACAAGTACATCAAGGAGACCCAGCGCCGCCACAACCCCTCCTACCAGCCGGCCCGCACCTCAAAGGTGGACATGATCCTCCCCGGCGGCTACAAGCTGCCCAAGGACTCCATCTGCATCCCCGCCATCCACCACATTCACAACAACCACCTGGTCTGGGACAACCCTGCCCGCTTCGACCCGGACCGCTGGGACTCGGACAAGGTCAAGAACCGGCCCAACGCCTCGTACATCCCCTTCGCCACCGGCCCGCGCATGTGCATCGGCTTCAACTTTGCCCTGCAGGAGGTCAAGGTCTTCTTGCCCAAGCTCATCTACCGCTACAAGTTCAGCCTGGCGCAGGAGGGCCCTGTCGAGTACGACCCCATGTTCCAGCTCATTCGGCCGAACAACTTGTACGTCCGCGCCGAGAAGCGTGTCAAGTGGCCTCCTAGGTCTGAGGCCTAAAGATAGGTCGCTCGTTGCAAGTTGTGTGTAAAAGGTTGGAAATCGGTTTCGGGATATAGAGTTCATTTTTTGTACCATCATTGTCAGTGTATACCCTGGAGCATTGCATGGCGCAGAATATTTGGGGATTTTCGGGTAGATCTCATGATATAGACATAGAGCTGGATATGAATCTAGACTAATCACATGTTCTTTTAAAATACTTTCCTCCATTCGGCTGTGTTTTCTGATCCTAGCCCAACATTCTCAAACGCTCCTTCGCGCGCTCCATGATCCTCTCATTCAAACTGTTGCGCCCCAAACTGACCATTCAAATCAACGTGCAACAACCTCTTCTCCTCAATCTCCCCCTTCCGCTCCACCAACTCCTCAACATCCCAATTCGTCGCAACAAACCTCCCATTCAGGAATCGCGCCTTCTCCGAACACAACCAGACCACGGTCCCGCCCACCAGCGCGGGGGTATCGTGCGCAAAAGGGCGGAACCGGTCCATGGTCATGTCGGTGTGGACCATGCCCGGGTGCACCGAGACCGTGGTGACGTTGTCCGGGTTCTCGGCGGCGACGTGGGCGTTGAGCTGCTGCGTGGCGAGCTTGGCGATGATGTAGGAGCTCATGGTGGGCACGACCCAGTGGGTTATCGTGGTGATGTTGATGATGTGGGCGTGCGAGGATGCGGGGACGGATTTGAGAAAGTGGAAGGTTGGGTAGAAGGTTCCGCTGATGTTGGTGGTCTAGTTGTTTCCATGTTGTTAGCGAGAAGGATGTCTTTTGCTTATGCGTCAAGGGAGGGAAGAAAGGGGAACAGGACGGGATGTTTCTTACGAGGTCTTCGATCCAGAGTTTTGGGTCGCTCTCTGTGATGAGATCGAGCGAGTTCTGCACGGCGGCGTTGTTGACCAAGATGTCGGCGTGGCCGTACGTTGCGTTCACTTTCTCAAAGAGGGCCTTGATGCCCGCTTCGTCTGCCATGTTGACGGGGTAGACGAGCGTTTCGACATTGGCGTTGAGTTCCTTGACCTCGGCAGCGACTTCGGTGAGCTTCTTCTCGTCCCGGGCCACGAGGATAAGAGCTTTTGCTCCGGCTCTGGCGAATGCCGGTACGATTCCCTAGGAATTGGTAAGTTGAAGCCTCATAGACAGACAGAAGAGGGATTTACCCGACCGCCGATGCCGCGGCTCGCGCCGGTAATTATCACGACCTTGCCGGCGAGCGAGAGCTCGGGGTTCTCTGGTTTGATGGCTGGGTATTCATCCCTGTAGACGTTCTTGGTGAATTGAAGGGCTTTGACGTAAAAGTCTGGTGGCATAGAGTCGGACGTCATTGTATCAGCAACGGGTTCAACTTCATGGGTTTTGTGATGAGGGTTTACTGCGGGGGAGTTGTCGGATGAAATCACTTGCGTTTGGCGACAGTAAATGATCTTTTATCGGCCAGCAACATTCAGATGACATACTCATCTTCCCCTGGCTACCTACCTGCATCTAGGTTGAATCCGAGCCGTCCAAGCGGCTCGTCGAAACTTGCCTAGGCGGGGACAAGCTTAGCCGTATTCTCACGGTTGCGCGCGCATGAATACATGTAAGCACTTGGCAGGTCGAAAGCCCGGGCGGACGTGAGATTTGGGTCAAGTCCATCACATTTCCGCCAATAGCTAACACGAAAGTACCATTTACTCTATCCATGACATTGGCGTCCGCTTACGACATGCATGTATCTCTGACCATGACCGACCGAATGATGCATAGCGCTGACCCCAAGAAAGGGAGCCAGACAAAGGGTCTGAGACTTTGCATTCACACCAACGCCCGCGCTACCTCAAGCATCGTCTTCGACTCCAACCATCTTGCACGACTCCCTCCACGACCGCGCAGCCTTCTCTTCGTCGTAAGCCCACGGCGCGTACCCGGGATCCGTCGTCGCCGGCGTGAACCCCCCGACCCCGGGACCACCCTCGGCACAGTCATTGAGGTACTTCCCACCCTTGCTCTCCCATTCTTTACTCACGGCAGCGTAGACGGTGGTCGCGGCGCCCTGCTCGGGGTTCTTGAGCAGGCCCATGAGCTGATTGAACTTCTCCTCTCCCAAGTTGGCCTTGATCGCCTCCACGTCGACATTTTGCGATGCAGCCATGCCGGTGAAGATGGATCCCGGGTGTAGCGAAGTAGAGTGCAACCCGCGCGAGGTGCCGTAGCGCCGCTCAATCTCGTTGGAGAAGTAGATGTTGGCCGTCTTGGACTGGCCGTAGGAGGTATACGGCTCATACGACCCCTCTTCGTCGAAATTGACGTCGTCGAAGCGGACGTCGCTGGCGCGGTGGGCCATGGACGAGACAGCGACGACGCGGGAGGAGAAAGCTGGCGTCGCGGACGCGAGGAGGGCGGATTTGAGGAGCTGGAAGAGGAGGAAGTGGCCTAGGTGGTTTGTGGCAAATTGCGATTCGAAGCCGTCTACCGTTTTGATCTTTGTCTGGGCCATGATGCCGGCGTTGTTGATGAGGATGTTGAGCTTGCCGTTGCTCTTGGACAGGAAGTCCTGCGCGCCTTTGCGGACTGAGGAAAAGTCGTCGAGGGACATCACCACGATTTTTAGAGACCCGGAGGTTTCGGTCTTGGTGGACGCGGTGATGTCTGCGATCGCCTTCTCGCCCTTTTCGTGGCTGCGCACGCCGAGGAAGATGGTGGCGCCGGTTTGGTAGAGCGCGCGGGCGGTTTCGAGGCCGATGCCTTGGTTTGCGCCGGTGATGAGGATGATCTTGCCGGTGAGTTTGCCGATGAGGTCTTCGTCTTGGATGATTTGGAAGGCCGTTGGGCGAGCGTCGCCTGGTCCCTTGGGGTTCTGGTGGGCTTCGGCGTATCTAGACATTTTGAATCTTCTGCTGAGAGTTCGATTGACGATCGGGGGTAAGGAATGAGGGCTTGGTCTATCTAAGATCCAGAAGCGATTCACGGGGCTGAACCCCGATATTTATGTGCCTCGTTAATGATATCAAATGCCACTATGTTTCCAAGTCTCGCCTCAATGTCCGTCGTCGTTATCGTAACTTTCGCATTCCTCTTCCGATCCCGACGAGGTTGGCGACTTACACGCGAGGTGCGTCGCTTGAACCCCCGAGAAACTCTATTCAACTCCGCCAACCACGCACACCATGGCATAGAGTTGTGGAGACAATGTTACATGTCAAGCGGCGCGTCGCCGGCGCCTGTGCTTTCTAGAGTTGGCGCTAGCACTCGCGGGCCTCGGGGCATAGACTTAACCTTACTACGGGAAGCCGTCGAATGCGGAGATTGAAGCGGCGGACTTTCGGGGGCGGAGTGGGACTCGGGAGCTGAAGGAACCCGGGTTCAGGTTTCCGAACACGTCTAATGGCGCTCGAGCTCCCGCACTCATGTGACTGCGACATCCATTGTGGTCACTAAGAGCAGCTTGAGTATTTAGAAGCCCATGGGGGAATTATGTCATTCATATTCAAGGTACATTACACGTCATAAACAAGTACGCTAGGGTATCCTTCACCTCGAGATCCTTCACGTCACTGAGGTACTTCATAGCTTCGAATCTGTAGAAGCTCTGGCGATCTTCTGCTACACTTCCGCTCCCTTAGTAGTTTCCCAGCCGCTCGGAGCTCCGTGTATGATGGCCTCTTCACTATCGTTTCTCGAATCATTTCCGATATCCGTCCCCCCTCCCCTTCCTCTCCCGTTCGACGTGATGGTAGCCTTGTACCCAGTATGGCGACTCGGCAGACTTTGCAGAGGATACGAAGATCGAGTCCCCTTTCCCTGACCATCCCTACCGTTACTCCCCAGCGGATACTTTGTTTTACATGATGAAAGACCCAGCAGAGCCGGAAAGAACGTCTTGAAGAATGCCTTTAGTGCCGACGAGCACCCACAAAAGATGGCGACGTAAAGCTCCACAGCGTACCAGATAAGTGAGCTGGCGAATTGTCGGTATATCTCGGGTTCGTTTGCTAATTGTCGGACGTAGTAGAAGCGTACGCAGCCAGCTCAAAGTATGGGTTAGCCATTAGCTCGATGCTTTTGATCATCATGGTTTGACTCACCTGCGACGCAAACCACTCCGAGAGCAAACACTGCCGAGACCGCCCATTTTTGTCGCTAGTATTATACGTTATTTCACATGAACAATTTCAAGGCTCCATGTATTATTCCATACCTGGGGAAGTTGTAAACCCCAAATCATGGGAATCGGGCAGATCCAAAGACAAATGTCCGTGACAATGACAATCACCCCAGCGGCATCCCAGAATGCCTGTTGCACCGCAGCCGGCATGCAGTTTTCCGCATAGATTTCATGGTGCCCCTTTGACGTTCAATATACCTCGACGGGATTGCACTCGATCGCCGACATGACGAAGTGACAGATTCCCATTCCGATCACTGCCGCCATGAGTCCGTAAACCGTCCATCGCATCTTTGGTCGGTTATCTAGACGCAGATAGAATAATAGAAGACCGAGTTTGACGAGCACATTGCCGACGGCGAAGAACAATCGAGAGATGTAGAGGGACTATGCGAATTAGCGTGGCGTGAGTTAGTCTCTGGTAGACGATACTGGGAAGACGGGGACTTAGCAAGGATCTGGAAGAACGTACCAGCAACATTGGCTCCCAGTCATTCAATGGTACGTCAGCCCCTTTTCTTGATTAGCGGAAGAAAGCCAGGGCTTGTATTGTCCAGCTCACTGATTCTCCCTAGGCCGTGTCTCACGGCATTCATGATGAAAATAGACAGCATGATTGTTGCGATCTACATTGTACCCGTCAAATAGAGTTTGATACAGCGGAAAGAATACGGTGCTCACGGTTCCAGCGATCATAAAGACTATAGAATTGCGTTGGTTAGCGAGATTGCTCAGACTAACTAGCCGTTCCAATGATACGTACAATCGTCAGCGCCAATAGACTTCGTGATGGCGAACCTTGTGTATAACCTGACTCCCATAACGAAGACTATGACAATAATTAATGACCCGTTAACCCCGAATGCCTTCCTTTGGGCCGCGTTGAACCCTTCCATCGGTGAGCTGCCATTCTCTTGGCGGATGGACAAATCGCGAAAGATATTCATGGCTGATCGTGACGATTCTGTCGAAGCAGTCGACAAAGTCGGGTCCGAGTTGAGGACGGACCATCTCGCTGGGAAGAGTGCACAAGTGGCGGGGTCAGCCTGGGATATAAACATCCTCTGCTCACTTCTTTCACTCCCGTCGTCCTTCCGGCACACACCGGTTCCCCAATTGGGCTGGCTCGCGCTCGGACAGCAGCCAGGGTTACGATTGGTGATGGCTGCTGCGCTGCAGTGTCTTCCAGGAACAGAACTTGATCGTTGTCACGTAGTGCGGACCTTTTCGAGTGGGTGTGGAAATTGGCAAGGCTTGGGCGAAAGGGGAGACTTTTACGAGTCATATAGGCTGCTTATTGCGGGACGTGGTTGTAAGTGCCAGTGATGGGTGGATCAGAATCATGATACTATCTGCTTTGCGTGGAGCGTGGTAGCGTTGAGGGACAAAACCACGTTAATAGTGTCCTCAAGTCATCTATCAAAGGTCTACGGAGTAAGTCTTGCCGTGAGATTCTTCTATGGGATACTTCTTGCGCTGGAATCTTTCTCCATCTGAAAATCTTGATCTCCATCTTCTTCAAACGCCAAGTCTGCCTCGTGGTCGGATCTGACAGATTAAAACCGGTTCAGCTGGGGTAGGATCCTCTCGATGCAACGCTGTACGGTAACATCACTTTAGATGTCCGCGCGGAAGCCTCCCGTCCGTATTGGCTGTCACATTCCGTCCTCAGAGTTTCTCAATGCAGAAAATCTCCCGCTGTCATGACTCTGCACGACACTCAGCTTGCGTGCTTATGTAGGCCTGACACGCCATGTGGGAGAGACGCTGAATCGCGAGCCAAGTTTTGAGTTGTGTGACGCGATGGAGAGTGATTGAGTATGTGGATCAGTCACAGTAAAAAGGGATGTACAAATTTGAGGGGCGCGCTGGTGTAACTGAAGACTCGGTTGACAATTGATATCTCTGGATTAGCCGTCAGGCTTCAGCGTGACTTTGGGTCATCGATCGCGCTCTGACCAGAAGTTCGATATGTCAACTTTGGTGGATTCTTTCCATGCGGGGAGGGCTGAACGGCGAGTGGGGAGCACTCCGATGCCGCTTACTACACAATGGAAATGAGCATATGCGGACAGGATATACGAAGCGAGCATCCCGCTTCTCGTCTTCTTTAGAGGAAACCGCTCTTCTAGATTCTTACAAAGACAAGCCTGTCCGCGCGGCTACGACGACCAACTACCTAAGCGAACGAGATATGGCACATAACGCGCAAAAGGGGCCACGACTCCGTCAAATGGACGTTCGGGATTCCCGGTGACTCTAAGTCCGACTGCCAGTCGACTACCTTACGGAACCCGTACGCAGGGCCAAATGCCGTTGTATTAGCCCCTGCCTTTTTTTTGTGTTCGGTCCTTCGGGCCCCCAGGCATCAAACCACCACTTCGCTGGATGAGATGTTTATGCTGCGTCCGAAGTCAATCCGGGGAATGGTCATGGAGCCATAGTGTGGGAGTCGAGTTCCCGATCTTTTGAGAAGTTATCTTGTCAACGTCGGTTGATTCAACTAGAAGCTAGGTACATGATCCTTTTGATCAAGCCGCAGACTACAATCGGAGTTTTATACAACTTTGAATTAGCTTGCCATTAACATAACAAACACAGTACACTGACGGCCATCTAATACAGTCTTTCGTCCGACCACTCCTAACGAATATCCGAACTGCGCCGTGGCCTACGCTATATTTTCGAATTATCAGAGCCCTGCGCAATCTCCATCAGTGGCTTGGGTCCGATGGCGAACCCGAGGACGGCCATTCCATTCATATCGTCACACGTTCAATTCGATGACGCATACCGGTATTATACATACAAACGGCCAGCAATGGCTGCAGTGGACATAGAAGAAAACATCAGATGAAGCGAGTCGCGCAAAGTTTCACGGCCGACAGAACGCCTTTCCGAATGCGCGATGCACGGCTCGACCAGCAAGTTCCCAGCAGCTATCTAGCTTGGCTTTCAGCATGTACCGAGGCACAATAAGTGGCATCGACAGCAAAGAAACTTTCTCAAAATCAAGGCACCGCGCCAACCGCTACCTCTTACATCACCACCATTTTCCACAGTCCCACACAGGAGAAACAGGACAGCAGGTCTCGCGATGCCTTCATCAGCTTCATCCGGCGGACTCGGGAAGGGCAAAGTAACACTCAGCGGTGCACAGGAGACCCTCTTACTGACGCTTTTTGCCCGCGCCAAAGATGCCGAGTCCTCACGGCCGATCCTGAACGACCAATACGCCCTCGACATCGTTTCTCAGATCAAGGAGCAAGGGTATGACTTCAAGCGCACGACGGCCGGTGGTCCCACCACTGTCATGTTTGCGAGCTCGGTCTCGATGCGCGCTCGCATGCTGGACATCTGCACCGAGCAATTTCTGAGAAGAAATCCCGGCCCGGCTACCGTCTTGCATTTGGCGTGCGGCATGGACTCGCGTAGTATGCGCGTCAAGTGGCAGGGCGAGGGCCGCTTATGGATCGACGCCGACAGGCAGGACGTGATTGAGCTTCGAGAGCAGGTTATGAAGGAGCCGGATAGGGGCAAGGGGGAGTATCGCTTGCTCTACCCGAATATCCACGATGACGCTTGGCTCAGCAACTGTAAAATCCCCACGGATCGACCGGTGCTGATCCTTTTCGAGGGTCTCACGCCTTACCTCACCCCCGACGAGGTCTATGGCCTCCTGCGACGGATCGTGAACTACTTTCGGCAGCGCGGAGTCTATGGCGAGATTCGATTCGACGCCGTTGGATCGCTCACGTACTACACTGCCAGCTTCTTTCTCAACTCCACCTTCAAGCTCATGGGAACGCGCTTCAACTACTATCTCGACGACCCGAGGACGTTGGAGCAGAAGGTCCCCGGCCTGAAGTTCAAAGAGCGCATTTTTGGTACGCCAGATCTCTTGGTGTTTGGATTCTTAGGCTGGGTTGTTGGCTTCTTAGGATGGGTTGCCGATCTGTTTGGGCTCACAGGTCGTATTGGGGGAGGTTACGGATATGAGTTTTGAGGACTTCAATGGCCATCATATGATCTGTGTTCAGATTCAGGCTCAGCTGTATAGTCACACATTTACGTGGAATATATTCACTACTGTCTAGACCATAAGTAAGAGTAAAGTGCCCTGCCCAAGATCTGAGTCAAGTAGTGCGAGCTGTGAAGTCGGTGTGGCTTTCGCATGACGTCTTGGCGCTGATGGTACATGTTAGCTGCGATAATGAAGAGATTTCCCTTTGGTCGCCCGGTGTGGTCATTCTAACCAGTGAGGTAACCAATCCCTCAATGTCCCTCAGCTGTTCGATCATATGCAACCCCTATCAACGAAGGATTGCTATAAATTGATGTGGTATTGAACATAAATTCAGTGTTCAATTGAACTTTCTCACTAATGGTGAGCTTTTGTTCCTTTGCCCCCGACTGCTCATATCACCTTGGTATCATTTCAAAATCTCACTGACCGCTTCTCGCTCAAAAGAACTTGTACCGCACAAGCAGCAATCGTCCACACACCAAGGAAAAAGTTGCTCTTATGTATGCCTCCCCCACTCGATGGCTTGTCCGAGTCGAAATGCGCCAGCTGTGCGGCAAAGGATGCAGTCCATATTCCCATCCAACTAAACCAAAGCCATAGAGAGCCAAATCTCAGGAGATAAAGAGGCATACACATGACAATTGGGCTGACCAGGACGACAAGAAATCGGTGGAAGTGGCGTCCGCCGACTGTGTAGAATGAGGTGACGTTGATCTTCTGGTCATCGACGACATCTTGATAGCTGTAGGCCGTATTAAGGTATATGATCCAGAAGAATACCATGAAACAGAGCGGCAAACAGTAGCCGATGCTATCGCCAATGGACTCGTATCGACCGTGAATCGCGGATCGTCCCAAAACTGCGGGCCATGCAATGGTGAAGCCCAAGATATACTGTGGATAAATGCGCAATTTCAAAGCCATGGGCCGTTTGCCGTATGGATAAAGGACCGAAGCCAATACCACTGGAAACATGTGTTGAAACCTGATGACAAACGTTAGGATACCTGGCTGTTGTATCAATTTGGGGTGGTAGAGTCGGGGTGGCCATACACATCCTTTCCATTGAGCATATTGTGCACAATGGACAGAGACACGAGCAACTGCAACACCATCCACAGCATAGCATCTGTGGTGGTCACAATGCCAGCAGCTAGAGGACGATCCTTAGTTCGGGTGACTTTGGCGTCGATGTCTCGGTCCACCCAGTCATTCCAAACCATACCGGCGCCGCAAAAAAGGTAAGCTGCGATGAAGCATAGTGCAGCCTGTCGGAAGACAAAGGCAGGCTGAATGTTGCTTTTGGGATCGACGAGCTCGGAAGCACCAGCCAACAAAACCGACCAGACTGTACCAATGTGAGCGAGCGTTATAGAAACAGGCTCTGGGCAGACCAAAGACATACCTCCAGCAAACGTAGTAAAGAGAGGGTTGTACTTGTTGAACCGTGAAAGGGTTACCAAGTGCCAGAATAATGTGACCTTTTCTGGCTTAGACTTGCCCGTGTATATCTCCTTGCATTGCTTCGTAGACTGCTCCAACTTGTATAGTGCAATAGCATGTGAGATGCTTTGGTATAACATGTCGACGCGGGATTGATGACGGCGACGATTGTGGTTTGGCAAAAGGAAAGGCGTTTAATCGAAAGAGCCCACGTTCGAAGTAAGCGGACCGAACGCGCATGTGTGGTTTTAAACCTCTCGGTCTTTAATTCCTTCCCCTCCCCAGCTTTCTTTCAGCTGTGGACGCGCAGCGTCCGCCTTGATATTCCACCCGCCAAAAGGACCACAAGCTCCGCGTGTGCATTGGTTTCAGATGTGACGTAGTTTGTGCTGTTGAGTTCGTCGTTGCAGGGAAGTTGCCGTAAGGCTTTTGCCGAGGTGAGGAGGTTCACACGTCTCGGCGTGTATGGCATTGATCAGGACATCTTAGCACTGTCTGTGTGGTTGTAGGAGAACCCAGTTTGCATGATCCGCCCAACGACACATTCAGCCCAAAGCTTCCAAACAGGAAGTTCTCCAGGAGATCAACGTAGCATGTCTCGCAGAACATACTTGTTCTTGGAGCTTCATACAGATTCCGATAAAATGCTCGAAAATCGAAATTGTATTATAACGGTGCTACCCAACTTCCCAACATGAACCACGAAGTCTTGATGAAGCAGGCTAGGTCTACACAGTACGGCCAAAATCATTCTAGTTCATCTGAATTTTAGAACAGCCTAGGTCTCTGCAAGACCGTGCGCGAGCTGGAAAGCTGCTTGACTAGCCCAGCCCATCTAACGTTTCCTTCTCGATCTCCTGCAGCTCATCTGTGGGGCCTTCCACAGCAGTAGATGGTGAAGCTGGCCAGTCGAGGGATGTTCGTTGCATGAAAGAACAAGTGGATATGTTCCTTGATCGTCCATCGAACCGGCAATGGAATGGCCTAATCATTGTCATACACGTTGTCCGACGAGCTAGCAGCATCCTGGTCCGTGCCATCGAGTTCACAACGCCTATGGGTAAAGGCGCCTCACTTTCAGCCGATCGTCGATGCACAGTCGTCTCTTGGCCCCCTTAAAATCAACGGTCATCGAGTTGACACGGTCGTGCTATTCACATGATATCTACCAGAGCTGTGCTGACGTGTTTTGTCGTGGGTGGCTCTGATCGTTTCTACATGTAGAGACTGCGAGCTTTGAGATCCACTTTGAGCCTGAAATGGAGTTTGCCAGTGAGGAAGATGCTTGTTCGTGAGACTGTTGGACAGTGCCTCCCGCTAGCTTCGTCATTTACTAACGCGTAAGAGGCAGGATGTCAACAGTGAGGCTGCTAGGGTATGCCTACTTTTGGTCTTTCCCAGGCATACCTTCTCCTCATTGGTATTGGGAATAGCCTTTGCTGAGCTCTTGGCACGACCTCACCAACATGGTTCACGTGACATTCACCAAACCTCACAACAGATTTGGAAGAGAAGGGGTCTCCATGATAGTTTGCCTCGTCACTGTTCGTGGAGAGATTCATTCTTCATACTGTCATCTTGTTCAACCTTGGGGGTGCCAGATCAGGATAGCTACCAAGGTTGTCGAAACGCTAGAGTTCATATTTGGGTTGCAGGGAGGAAGAGGTACTTCAACAGGGTAGCAAGAACGCAATGTCGCTCATGTACCATCTAAATTGAGAGTGCTACCAATGTTTCATTCTTATCGAGAATCGCCCAGCACTGTATCAGTTCTTGACAGAGGCGGATGCATATGCGCAAGAAACGAGAAACTCAACTTCTCAAGAGGTCTTTGACGCAACTCCTCGATTAGTTACCATTGAGTTTCAATTACAGTATAGGGAGACTCAAGAAGTAGGCCAGTAGTACGATGGATCAGGATTCCGCGAAGGAGGGCTGGCTCGCCATGCGCCTCTATGCGGGCAACAGCAATATGGAGTAGTGGAGGTAAGCAACGGAACAAATGTAAGTATTCAGCAAAGTTCTGACCGTTGTAAAAAGGAGTTTTTGTAGCCACCATTTCTTTCAAGCTTTAGCCTCAATATCGTGTCCTCTTTGCCCGTGAAATCTGCCCCAGGCTTGCGCGTACTTTTGGCCAAAACATCAGGAAGGACACGAACAATCGACCAAAATCAACGTCGACATTGGCTTTGGCACTATGCTTTCAAGCGGAATCAGGGAGCTGGTGACATAAGCATTATGTAGTTCACTCGCGGAGAGAATAACAGTCATCCGCAAGTCATCTTACCCACTTTCCACCCACAATATTATACTCGGTAACGTCACGAGAAGCTCAGCTCATCAGTATTTTCGAGCGGTGGAACGGAAGTCTTGTCAACATAGCCGAAGAGTGAGTAATCCCCTTTCGACTGATTGCCGACTGCAGTAGCAGTAACTTATCGTCGTTGGCTCTCGTCATCCTCGTCTTAACCTCGGCATCTACGCAGCTGCATTTGGAGGCTTTAAAACAACTGCAATCGCGTTTGTTTAGTCCCTGGTTATTAGGTCAAGCATCAAGTCATCAATTTGCAATGTCTACTAGTACGTCCAGTCGTGAAGATGCCATTCCCCCAAACGTCCGTTATGTCCACGTCTCGACAAAAAACCTCGACACCTGCACACCACCAGAAACATGCCACCTCATCTCCCAATCTGGCATTGCAAAAGCCAAGCTTTCTTGGCCAGACCTCATCCTCAAATCCTTCTTTGGCGGCATCTTCATCTCTCTCGGCTCCCTCTTCAACCTGGCCATCGCAGGCGGCGCGCCCGGCCTCCGGGCCTCGAATCCTGCCTTAGCCACGATGCTCTCGGCATTGACCTTCCCCATCGGCTTCGTCCTGACCGTCTTCACCAACACGGAGCTGGTGACGAGCAACATGGCCGTCGTCATGTACTCAACGCTACAGCACAAGACATGCTGGTATGACCTCGGAAAGAACTGGGTTGTTTCCTACGTCTTCAATCTTGCTGGGTGTTTGTTCTTTGCTGGAGTCTTGGCTTGGTGGACTGGTACGCTCGAATCTGATGCGCAGACTGAGTATGCAGTTGTACAGGCAGAGAAAAGGGTGAATGTTAAATGGGTTTACAATTTCACTCGGGGGGTTGGTTGTAACTGGCTTGTGGGTTTGGCTGTGTACATGGCTATGAGCGGGAAAGATATGCTGTCGAAGATTGTGGGTATTTGGTTGCCCATTTGGACGTTGTAAGCGTCACTCAGAGTCTACTTGTCTCTGCGACTTCGTGGGTGTCAATGGATATAATTGGGCTAATTTGTAAATCTGCAGTGTCTGCCTGGGATACCAACACTCTATTGCAAACTTCTTCCTCGTGCCCACCGGCATGTTCTACGGGACCGACTTTGGCGTGGGTAAATTCATCTACCAATCTGTTATACCAGTCACGCTGGGGAACATCGTGGGCGGTGCAGTCATGGCAGGCGGGGTTCTATGGTTTTTGTACGGAAGGGACGACGGCCTAGTAGACGAGAACAACCGTCTGCATAACCGAGAGCTGAAAACTGTTCCCGAGGCCGGTATTATGGATCCCCACCAAGTACTTGATGGGAGAGATAGCGAGGAAACCGTTGCTGCGGAGAATACCAGTGGCGGAGTGAGACAAAGAAGGGGCGCAGATATGGTCTAGCAACACGAGCGTGGCAGTGGGCAAACCACATCCAAGGCACCCATCATAACCATGGCGCACTGACTGTTGGAAAGCACTACGAATACAACTAAATCTGTCTCGCCCGTACTTAATCCAGCCTAATCAGTTTAAAGTTCCGTGTTCTACATTAAATCGCTGCCTATAAAGTGGACTTCAAGGCATGAGTCGGGTCGTCCGAGTGCAATTAAGGCCGGCACCGTCATTCCCCTTTTGGACAATCGCGAGGGAGCCAATCATTAACCGTCGAGTGGACACTGCCGTGCAAGTGCTCCCCGCCTTAACCCACGCGCCTTTGATGAATGGCGCCAAGTTACACGAACGACTTCACGGTCTAAAAAGACTCTGCAAATTGGGCCCTTGTTGATACATCTACCTATCTATACACCTAGTCGCACGTCTAACTTACTTGCATATCCTACCTAGGCTAAACTCGGCGACCTCGGCCGCTAAAGGATAAACGAAATCCAGGTTTGGCTTTAATTACTGCTGGGATGTAGTTTCCGAAGACTCTCCTTCCTTCTCCACCTTTTCGACATTCTTCTTCTCAGTGGTGGTCTGTTTTTCCCACATGGCATGATACCGACCTCCGAGAGCCAACAGCTCGGCGTGCGTGCCGCGCTCAACAACGTTTCCCTTGTGGAGTACCACGATCTGGTCGGATGTGGTGATAGTGGAAAGCCGGTGGGCAATAGTGATGGTCGTCCGGCCCGCAGTGACACGCTCCAGAGCGTCTTGGATCTGTCTCTCGGTGTGCGAGTCCAAAGATGCGGTGGCCTCGTCAAGCAGCAAGATGCGGGCATCCTTGAGAATCGCTCTCGCGATGGCAATTCTCTGTCGCTCGCCTCCGGACAGCTTGAGTCCGCGTTCTCCGACCTTGGTGTCGTATCCATCCGGGAATGCGAGAATACGATCGTGAATGTTGGCAGCCTTGCAGGCCTCGTACACGTCGGCCTGAGTAGCATTCCGGTCGGCGTAGAGCAGGTTGTACATGATGGTCGCATTGAAAAGCACCGTGTCCTGAGGGACAACGCCAATGTTCTTCCGCAGGCTGTCGAGTTTCAGGTCTTTCAAGTCGTGGCCATCGACAGTGATCGATCCTTCATTGATGTCGTAGAAACGGAAGAGAAGCTTCAGGCAGGTTGACTTGCCGCTGCCAGATTCTCCAACAATGGCGGTCTTGGTACCCGGGGCAACGGTGAAGCTGACGCCGTCAATCGCAGGTTCCCCCTTCTTGCTCTGGTAAGAGAACTTGACGTTGTTAAAAGCGACCTCTCCCTTGACGGGGGGGAGGGTGACGGCGTCAGGCTTCTCCACAATCCCGGACGTTTCTTTGAACTAATGTTGGTAAACAAGGTTAGCGTTCTAGAGGTAGCTAGTTGTTGATTCAGGAGAGACCCACTAGCTCAAGCATCCGCTCTGCCTCGATCAGATTGTTTTGCAGCATGGTGTAGTAAGTTCCGAAGAAGTTTAGTGGACCCTGCAATTGCACGAAGTAGTTGATCAAGCTGACGAAATCGCCAACACTCTGTTCGCCCCGCGAAATCTTGTAGGCAGAGACCGCGACAAGCAAAGCAGTGCCAAGGGAGAAAATAGAGCTCTGTGTAAGGTTAAGAAAGTTGAGAGACCACTGCACCAGCCGTTCTGCCCTTTGGTACACTACCACATGCTCCTTAAATCTCTCGGTTTCGGGCACAACTGCGCAATTGTGCTGCACCGTCTCATACGCCATGATGGCGTCAGTCTTGGTGGCTTCCATCTCACGATTTTTGGTAGCCATGTCTCTTCTTTGCTTGCCACGGTATTTGGCCACGTAAATAGTCAGAAAGATGTAAGACCACATGATGAAGAACACGATGATGGTGTAGAAGGCGTCATACTTGGCAAAGAAGACAATACCAGCAACAAAGATATCGAACACCATGGGGAACACTTGGAAACAGAAGTTCTCTAGGAATGTGTTCATTGCAGAACCCCGGCTCAGTGCACTGGTGACCTCTCCGATCTTCTTGTTGAGATGGAACTCCAGAGAAAGTCCCAGCACATGTTCAAACGCAGCGCAAGACAGTCTGCGGAACAGTGACTGAGAAACCGGAATCCAGAGAACAGATCTCGCGGCACCGAGAATGCCCTGATTGCCTTGCAGGGCGCGGTAGACGACGTAAAGGATGATTTGTTTGTAAGGAATGGTGCCATAGCCCAACGAGTCGACAAGAGTTCCGAGCTGAATCGGCGCCAATACGTTGATAGTTCGCTGGCCGACCAGGAGTACGATACAAACGACCACAATGCCCTGGTAGACGGGGGAGTCTTTAGGCCTAGCGGAAAGGAAAGTCAGTTAAGAAAAGTCCGGAGAAGGCGGTTGAAAGCAGAGCCACTATACCAGAGGTACGGGAACAGAACCCTGAACCCAGCAAAGTAGTCAAGCCATCCTGTACCAGATACCTGGGTTCTGGCAGGAGGCTTGTGAGCAGCAGACCCGCGGGGATGGGCGCCGCCGTAGTTGTGAGATGCTCCGTTTCCGTTTCCACTTCCGTTCCCAAGAAGGGATTGTCTCTCTTCGGGGTCCGACTTGGGTTGCAGAGGCTTCAGCTTGTAGTCTCTCAGGATAAGACAGACCATCATCGCCACCAACACACCGATTCGAACAGCTGCCACAACGTCCAAGATATCAAGAAGGCCATTGGAGACGCGGAAGGAGTTCTTCTCTGAAGAAAAGACAGCTGCAATGAAGGCCTCAAAGAGAGCACCTACGATCCACGCATAGAAATGCGCCGATGTTGGCGTCCAAGGGCCTTCGGGATCAGGAAGTAAACCGGCTAGGTAGTACAACAAGACGGCAACATATGATGCCTATGTGAATGTTAACACTCTCCAACTTTCTCATAGGGGTGCACCAAAGACCCCACTTACCAAGTAAGCACTGAACGGGAACACGACCTTGCCAGCCCCATCGTATTGGCCAGCAATAGCGCCGTGAACGGCAAGGATGATAGTGGCAAGCTAGGGAAAAAAAAAGTGTTAGCTTTGAGGACAACTCGGGATCTGTAGAGATGCTTCCCAAACTCACGAGTAAGAGAGAGAGGACGAGCTGAAAGCCCCAGATTATCCGCGCGTACAGTCGCGAAGCTTTCTTCTGCTCATCGTCCGTCGCGGTCTGACGCGTGACGCCATGGCGATCCCGGTAGAATTGATAGGACTGCGCCGCCAGTAGAGTGACAAAGAGGCCGCAGGGATAGAGATAGAAGGCAACCTCCAGTCCCAGCAGAGTCTCCGCCATGACTTTAGCCGTTTGTATTCAGTTGGAGGGTGTGTAGAGCGAGGTCAAATTCATGATGGCAGTTGGGATGATGTCAACTCCCGACGGTGCCGCAGATTCTCCGACGGACCTCCCTGGCGCAATTGGGGTGCACGGACAGCAAATGGCGGGAGTTCCTCGGGCGTTGAAGATGGCAAGAATGCACATGCCATGGCGATATCCATGCTTAGGTAAGGCAGGCACGTGATGTGGATAGGAGATAGGTAGGTGTTTACCTAATCATCATGCTGCATGGTCAGCTTCTAGCTCCCACTGGCCTCAGCTTTGGCCGAATTCTCCAACGCCCGGCGAATATTTCGTTAGGTTCACAAAGGGTCCGCCCACTCTCTCGCCAGTCATCCATAAGTCTATGAATCAGCACAAGAATCGGCGCCGCCCATCCGATGTTTATCTACTCAACGTTGCCCTTCTTCGGGTTACGAGATCATGAGATGTGCCCCAAGCGAGCCGATTTACCGTCAGGCTAATGCAGAATGGCCTAGGTGACCTATCCAACTTGGTCCAAGACTCGAGGGAGCCAGAGCCGATGTCTTTGACGAAGCGATCCAAGGTCATGACACAAAACAGCGCAATCCCCACGCCGTCTCGTGTCCATAATTTGAGATTACCGTTCGGGGGCTGTGCCCGCCCGTGTTCCCCACGGTGGATGATCGCCCTGATCGCCCTGACAGCAGATGCCATGAACTCTAGAATCCTTGGCATCGCGTCTTTCAGCAAGATGTCGGGACTGCCCGCCAGACCAGGCGCTTTTCAATGTCTTGGCACTGAGCTAGCCGCAAGGGACTGCACCATGATGGCTTTCTCTAGACACAATTCAAATCCCCATGTGTCTATTTCAAGCCCCTGACGATCTGTCAGTTGGAGGGACGCTTACTCGGTGATTTAGTTTCCCCCCTAACCCAGAAACCGCTCACCTAACAGCCTTGGTGCCGGGTGCCGAAGACCAACCCATCCCAGATCGACCGTGGCTGCAGCGGCATGCCCGTGGTGCCGTGTTCCCTTGGAGAGAAACACCCCGCATGCTCATGCCTTTGTTCCATATTTGTAACGCGAGCCAAACCAAAGCGTTCCACGCCCGATCGGGTTGGACGGCAACTATACGAGGCCTCTGATTGGATCGACGATGTCCCCAGGATACAAGGTTTAGAGAGTTCAGTCGTGTAGTCAGACGTGGTGCAGGGAGCTAGGGCTGGAACGACACATGTCGGTGGCCTCTAGACTTTGGCAAAGTGTCTGAAGACTGCCGGTGCCCGAAATCCCAGGGCCCGAGAGGGTCGCTTTTTCCTTTGAAGCACGGGTCCCGCGGCCACGACTAACACTCATCTGGTCGGGCGAACATGACATGGACACCACGGCCTTGACATGGAGCCATCAAAACGGTGAGCACAGCCGTTCGCCCTAAGCAAAGGAGACGCTCATTTCGTTCCCTCTTTAGTGTGCTGGCGCAGCTCTTGCTACGGTCGAAATCAGGCTCCAGGGTCGTATTTCTTTTTCTTGCGATCAATTTCCGTTTCTGATCTACCTTGATTACTTGGTGTGTACTGTTCAGTATTTCCCTGGTTTTAATACTGCCCTTCTCCGACCTTATAGGTGCAAGACCTGGATAGATTGAAACCATCGTCACTCTATCAAGGTAGAAAAAGCCACTTTCAACATCCTTTCAAGGGCGGGCACAAGACACTTGACACTTTTGTTTCTCTTTCTCCATTGAGCATGCAACTTTCCTACATACCCTCGTCATTGACTTCTGAAAGTTCCCTTTGTTTGTCTATCCTTCCACCTCTTTGATTGCCACCTTCATCAAACGTGATTTCGAACATACCACCCAAACATCATGGCCGACTTCACGACAAGCCTAGTAGCTAGGTCATTACCCAAGATCGAGACAATCGAGAATGGACCAATATCAGGCCTCCAGGCATATGGATCGCTTCTTCTCGTCTCGAGCGTCATCGTCGTTGTCATCATCGCCAACATCCTCGAAAGATGGCTACTGGAAAGAGTCTACGGTGATATCTACGCAGTTTTGCAACGCCCCGAGAACGAGAAGAGACGGCGTTCCTTCACTTACTACCACATCGGCGCCATCATCATGCTCACGCTCTTCTGCATCGGTGTCTACCCTGTCATGCGCTTCCTCATTGGGTCTGCCGATTTATCAACAGACGTGTCGCCAGGACCAGGGAGGCGTATTAGAGTCGGCGATCTCTTGTACACGGTTTCGCAAACATACAGCGCCTACTATGTCTTCGAGCTCTGTTACCGCACGCAGTTTGCGAGTCCCCTGAGCATCGCGCATCATATTGGACTCTTGGCCATCACACAGACGGCTCTCTCCCTCTTCGGAAATATCGAAAAACACCCGGAAGCAACAATCGAGTTCTACATGTGTATGGTGTGGGGTATGTTGATAGCACTCCACCCGACTTCAAGTGCATTGCGAACTTGAATGGCTGACTTTTTGACGCAGGCGCTTTCGATGTTGTAGTAGAACTTCCCATCTACCTTTCCATGATCATCTGGCGACTCAAGCGCGGCGAACATCGACTGCTCTCCTACCTCACCTCCGCCTGTTTCGTATGGGTTATTGTTGGCGCAGTCTCGGAGACCGCAGTCACGATTTACCTCTTGCACAAGTCTTGGGACCGATGGGGTCACGTGTGGAGAGTAGTCACTCCCCTCATCTTCACGCTGTGGATCACAACTCAGCTTTACGGCGCAACGAGGCTTTTGGCGATGGCTCGGTCGGAGAAGCGGAAGGCCAGCAAGCGATCACCAGAAGAGGGTTCTGTGGAGCCCATCGCCGAACTACCAGGAACGATAGAAGACGGGGAAATTCCCGGACAAGAAGAGTCCAAAAGCAAAGCAGTCTAAGGACTTTACAGTTACTCGAGGTTAAGGACGCTGTCCACTAGCCTCAGAACGGTACACGCCCCTCATAGAAAGATTGAGGTGCTACGCCACGCTCATCGATGCTTTGACGGATATAATAGTGGTACCTGCGACACAACCCTGATCGATAATTATGGTAATCACGGATTCTGTCTGTGGTGACAACTGGGGAATCGCCATTTAAGCATAACCACCACGTGTAAAAAAGACCAGTAAACTCATGAGGACCTCATACAGGTCCTCATATTTAATCAGTAATTGAAGAACAAAACAGTCAAACCCTTGTCCTAAGATCCTCTAGCTAGCCAGATCATCGAAGATCTCAAAGGTATTGACAAGTTATTCATACATGGAGACTTTTGTCTCGTCGCGTTGCGTGTCCACGGCGGTCCCGCCTTTGAAGATTGATCCAGGCGCTTGATCAGTGCGATTTTACCTGATCACTGGCGTCTGTGCCTTTGATAGCCACTTAATTCCCTTGACCGAGTCAGTCACGACTAAATTGTTTTTCCTAACCGATCCGTACTCTGTTCATGGCCAAATTCCGTTCCTGGTTGTCCGTCCTTCGGATCGCGTATGGAGCCGAAACGAAGCCGCTCAGACTTCATTTTGGTTGACAGGTCTATGCCATTCAGCCATCTGTATTCTCTTGGTACATCAAAGAATTTCGAATCTAGCAACACAGTAGAAGCGTACCCAAGACTTCTGGCCCGCGCGTCCAGTGTTTGAGAACAACGCTCGAGATATCATCTGCGAGAAGCACTATACTAGCGACGAAGAAGAGTATCAACCAAAGCGGGGAAATCTGGAATCTGATACCAGAGATGCTTGTTTCTTTATCAACTGAGATCTTGGCTTTGAACGTTGATTTCTCCGTGTCTCATTCTGCAAATCCGAACGAAAGCTGGCTTATTAAGAGGTCGGTATTGAGGAGCTGGCTAGATCGAATACCCATATCCTTGGCAGTGATATTCTCTATGATGCAGTAGTAATCGCCCCTCAGGTGCCGAAGCCCAGGGTCAGCGAAATGGTAGAGTGAGAATTCTGACTTGTAAGCTGTGAAGTCTCTGATGGAGAGCGGACGCTCGCGAGAGACAAAGTCAAAAACGGCGGGAAACGATAGCTGGAATATGTCTCCGGAAGCATTTTGCTTCTGAGATTTTCGCTGGGCTACGACGGTGCAGTTGTTTGTCGGTGGGTTTGGTACGAGCACAGTTGAGGCGGGGCTCGACGTACTCCTAAGTTACCCTGCAGCGGCTCTTTGCCGAACAGCCAGTGTTAAATTCTTCCGGAGGGAATATGTAAAGCCTTTGGGTTGGCCTTGATGTCCTGTTCATTTTTTTGAATCAGATGGGCCGGTGTATTTTCTCAACGTGACCATGCAGTGGGCCAACGACTGTTCTGGTTGGATAATCGGCAGGTTCCATGGTCCATATTCGGCCTACGAATCTTCCAAGTCGAATCTAGCCCGATAGTGTTTCTTGTGTAGTCGTATCCATGCCACGTACAATCGGGCAACTTTGGTGATTTTATTAATTTGCTGTCGGCAGCCAGAGCAGCGACTGACAGCTCTTCGTTATGCCCCGTCTCTTTCAGTGGAACGTCGTCCTCTAGCTCCATGGCACGGCTTCCAACAGCTGAGCAGTCTAATTTAACGTAACTGAACTTTAGTTAAGATATAGTGTTTCCCATCCCAATGCTGTTAAAAGGAATCCCGGCCAAAGGCGAGTGCTCATTCACGTTGAGATCTCGATCAAAATCAAACCAATCGTCTGTGTCTAGGCGCTTCAGGAAAGGTATCTTGACGTTGCCCCAAAGATCCAAATTGGCTGTGATCCCTTCGGACATTGAGACAAGGTTGTTGTGCAGCGTCGACATAGACCGAAAGTTTGCCATGGAATTTGAGTAAGAGAATACTATTCAAGTCGCCCACTGCATGGTCTGACCCTCCGCGCACATGTATGCTCGTTTTTCTGTTATCTGGGGCAATATGCGACGGGCGACATTTCTAAAATTGATTGAGTACTCAATGTTAACAGTGCCCATATTACTCCCAGGCCAGCGTCCACGACAATGGTTGATCGAAGCTGGACCAGATTAAGTAAAATGGAGCCTACTGTACGGTTGCGTAGGAAATTGACTGCTCAAGAGGGCCGAGGGTTGTGCCGTTTTCTGGCTTCCAGGGTGTCGCTTAATGTTGTTGTTGTTGTTGTTGTTGTATTTAACGCCGTGGCGGCCGGGCTAGAGCCCTTACCGCAGACCTCCCGAAGGGTATATGGCGTGGAGGGCCGTGAGCCAAGGCTACCTACTCTACAGTACGTCGTCTCTTTACATCGTCCTCCAAATCATGCCTTGTGGCCACTACGCGTTCTGTCTGTCCCCGGTTCCCGCTGGTGCCCCAGTTTCATTCTTTCCCAAATCGTCCCTTGGAATCGGGAGGTTCTTTGTAGTCCGCACTCACATCTACGTAGGTGTGGATGCTGCTACCGCAGACAGATCTTCTGGAAGAAGTCCGTCACGCGGAGAAAGGCCTCGAAGCCTCGTGGGTCGGTGATTAATCTCTTGAAGTAGGCCTCGAGAGATCCCATAGGGCCTATGGGCTCGGGCATACTGCGAGAGTGGAGGGTCGGCCACCGTTGCCTCCTCGCCAGCGTTAGTCGACAGTAGACCAGGTGGTCCACGTCTTTCGCCTCTCCACAAGAGCACATCATTAGAGCGTCGTCGTGGTTGAAACGTCGGTGATATTGCTCGAAGTCCCCGTGACCCGATCGTGCCGCCAGCAGGTGATGTAACGTAGCCCGCGGCAAGGCCAGTTCAGGAGGGCTGGACAGAGCTGCCTCAAGCCCCAAGTCCGCGTACCGCGGCCTTCGCTCTTTATACCACCATCTCCTGTGCTGGCTTTGTAATTTTTCCCTTGCAAGCCGCTTGATGCCCGCTAGTGTTGCCATTTGACCCATCCGCGCCGGCAGTGTCGTTCCTTCTTTGGCCAGCCGGTCCGCGGCCTCGTTTCCTTCGATGCCCTGGTGTCCCGGGGACCAGTGCGTCCGTATATCAAATATCCTGGCCGCTTCTTGGATTTCGAGGAACGCGTCTTGTGACGAGTCCGGCGCCTTGCCGCGGATGCCTTGTATAACGCTGGTGTTGTCGATACATATGTGGATTGGATGACCGCGATTGGTGAGCAGAGCCCTTCTGAGGCCGGTTCGCGCCCCTTCGACCTCGGCGTCGAACACTTCTGCTAGTCCGAGTCGGCCGCACCCTTGTGCTATGCGTTTGGAGTCTCGGTAGATGACGAAGCCGTACCCCACGGCTCCGTTCGTCGCCCTGGAGCCGTCCGAGAAGACGATCATATGGCTTTCCGGTACTGTCTTTAGCCAGCGCTCGAAAGCTTTCGCAGCCTCTTCTTTGCATTGAACTACTATCTGATCCTGTGAGCTTGGCAGGTACTGTGATTGAAGGAACGCTGGTCTTCCGCATCTTGGCAGAAGTTCAGCCGTCCGTTGTAGTCTCGTCTGTTGCTGTCCCTGCTGGGAGAGCCGCGCGACTAGCGGGTGTCGGCGATCAATCCTCTGTAGTCGGACTGCGGCCCGTAAGCGGACGCCCTCTAAGGCGACTTTGGCTGACGGTAAGCCGGCGTCTCGGAGGAGGCTACTGGTTGGCGTTGTCCTCCAGACAGGCAGAACGGCCCTTGCTGCCGCTGTAATGACGCTGTCGATCTTCTGCACGAGCCCCTTTTGGCCTGTGTTGACGGGTCTTCCTTGGAGAGGCGGATTCGTGTCTGTCTCCGCTTGGCGTCTCGAAGCCGGCTTCGTGATACCTGCGTACCATGTTTCGGCGCCGAAGAGCGCGATCGGCAGTACGCAGGAGACGACGGCTTTTCGCACGGCGGCCGCTGGGAGTCCCCTCTTTGTGTTCGTAAGCTGTCTCAGATGTTGAGCTGCCCTCTTTGCTGCAGCTACTTTTGCGTCGACATGGTGCCGGAAGGACAGTCTCTTGTCGAACCAGACACCCAGCCAGCGTACAGGTTTCGTCGAGGCCTTGACCACCAAATCCCCCGCCCGGACCTCTGGCAGCTCCGCTGGCTGGCCGTGCTTCCTAGTAAAGTGGATGACCTCGCACTTGCTCGGGTCAAAGGAGACCTTGTTCTCCAAGCCCCATCTGAGAATGCCGGCTGCGCTTCGGTTGAGTATTGCGACGTTGCTCTCCAGGGAGGGGCTGATGGCCAGAGTGGCGATGTCGTCCGCGTACCCGAATCGCGGCGTTCGGGTCGTCTTCAAGTATCTCTGCGATGTAGAGCAGAAAGGCAATGGGAGATAGTGGTGACCCCTGAGGCAGCCCGCATGACAGCGGGAAGTACTCCGTTTCTTTCTTCCAGTCGACTCTAGCGGTGCGTTGCAGCAGAAGCTAAAGATCAGTCTGGTCAGGCCATGTGGCCATCCCTGCTGGACG